AAGTCGGTACGATAAAAAAAAACATATTCTTGATTACGCATTTCTAGATTAAATCATTAATGAGCGTTGAGCAGCAAATCAGATTCAAATCCAGTGAAAATCCGACACATAAGATGGCATCGAGAGTTGATTAAGGTCTTTTCATGTTAATAAATGTCTAATTAATAGCTTATATAACATTTCAGGTCCAAGAAAGACCTGCAATAGGCAGATTTAGCTCTTACATAATGTATGTTTAAACAACCTAAAATACAGACACTATTCAGCACGTGCATTTCAATGAAATACGTCACTCGGGTCCAATATTTCAACTAGTATAAATAAATTTGGTCATTTTGAAAAATTCGAATTGTCCCGGCAACTGACCACCACTTTGAATTATTCCACAATATTTACTCCGCAGTATAACTAATCACCAAAATTTGTATGGAAATGGATTCAGCTATCCCGGAGAGGTATATTTTGAAACCAAACTAGGTCATATTATGCTGATAACTTATAATAATTAACATTTTTCAGCGAAAACTGGGAGCCATTTTTGATTTCGGTAAATTTGACCCATTTGGACACGGATTTCGGACAGGTAATTTTTGGGGGGTGATAATATTATACGTCTAACCCGACCATAATCCGTGTTCGGTAATTTATATAGCAGCGGCTGCCCGGGATGATCCGGAATTGAGTTGTAATGCCTGAACTATTTTAAAGATACATTATGGGAGATAAGATATAGAGCTGCCAGTTCTCATTATAATAGTTAAACACAAGATAATGTAAAAGGAATTTGCTGAAAATTTCAGTCAAATTGATCCACTCTGAACCGAGATTTTAGATTTTGAATTTTCGGCCTAGCCTCGGTCATCATTACTAAAGTCGGTACGATAAAAAACATAGTCTCGATTTTTCCATTTTATGATTAAATCATGAATGAAAGTTGAGCAGCAAATGGGATCCTAATCCAACAAATATCGCAGGCTAGCGTTGACATCGAGAGTTGATTATGGTCTGGATAAGTTAATTAATGTCTAATTAATAATTTAGATAACATTTCAGGCCTAACGAAAGACCTGCAATAGACAGATTTAGCTCTTGCATAATGTATGTTTACTTTAACTAATATTGCGCTCAGTTAGTAACTAACTGTACGTCCATGCAAGTCTATTGACGGTGGATGATATTGAGTTGAAGACCTAGCTCCTTTAAACAACATTAAAATACGACCCACCACCTGCAGTAACTCGACTAATATAGGCCTACCAAATGTTAATTTGTAATACGTGTAACACCATATCATTTTACGTGAATTAACAATAAATTGATCACTGGATACAACGGAAACCTGTAAAATAACATACCAATTGTTTGTATAATAAATTTAGGTCTACCGTGTAATACGGCAATTTGCAACACGTTTTAATACCGTATCTTTCTACACGGTATAACAATAAAACGGAAACATTGGGGTTTTTTTATAACTGTAATATAGAAATAATCATTTGGTACTGCGCATTTTTACTGATAATAAAAGTAATCAAATAATGCGAGAAATTCCAACGTCCTATCTTTCCTCTCCCTTTTCACGGATGGATTGAAAATGATAATGTTCTTGTGTAGTGATGAATTTACGTCGTTTTTGATGATTTTTTAAAATATATATGCATAAGCTAAAAACACCTGGATATACTCTAGAAAATGTCATATACAGTTGGTTTATTAAAAAAAAAAATTAATAAAAAATAAATTCGAGCCTTGGTTGGAGAGAACCCCGTCGTTCCCCTAACGGAGCAAAGATCAGCCAACCCTGGTATCTAGTGTCCGTTGCTTGGCTGGAACCGTGGCAATTGCACTAAATTGTGAAATGAATAACAGACGGAAATGAACCTGTGTTTACTATTGGTGTAGAAGAAACCAGATACGGACCGGGGGCCGAAAGGTTCCTGAACCTGGCCTCGCGAGGGTTCGCACTCTACGGGGGTCTGGTGTGGCTCTATCCTCGACGGCGCGAAATTTCTTTTGCAAAACTGACTGTAAATTATGTTTTCTAAAGTTTGCCCTGGTGTTTCTAGCTTACGCACTAATTTGATGTTTGGCAGTCTTATCGGGAATTAATTTCTGAACCCAATATTGAATTCAGTAAACCCGAAAACGTTATTTTACAAGCAGTATCTACACGAACGAAAATCACAATTTTGGATTCTATTTTGATTGTCGTTTTAAATTTACACCATCTTGGCTAGGTGTTTGGTTAGAAACTGAACTCAGCAACCCCAAAACCCTTACATGATATATTACAAGCCATATCCAACGGAAGCCAATGACGATTAAACAAAATTCCCCCATTATCGATTTCATTTTGAATTTCTGTCGTCATGGATTCTTGAAATTGATATAATTTGAGATAAGAATTGAACCCAGCGTCATCGACAACCACGTAAAAGTAATATCCATCATGAAAAATGAAGATCAACTAAAAATCCGCCATTAATTGCTGCCATGTTGGATGTTCGAAATTTATCTTTAAAGGCTCAATACCACTCTTATTGTAATTGAATAATATGTCCCAATCTTTATTCTGGTCAACAAATTGTACTATTTTAGAATATTTCAATTAATTGATGATACAAATTTCATCTTAACACACCTTATTTAAAATTTTTGACAAATTCAAGATAATGGTTTGAAACGTCTAACGTAAACCTTTTCAAATGAAACTATTAAAAATATTTTCGAACCCTCTGGACAAGTAAATAGGATGTAATGGATAATTTACACAACAGGTAGGACACTTAAACATCTAGTACTTAGAGATATTATTTATTTTCTGGAGCTTTCAAGCCAGCAAGAGTGTTATTGTCCCTTTAAATGTCCCTAATACGAGTGACGCAGGCAGGGATCGAGTACCACAGATGATAGTTTTCTAGGGACCAGTAGCTGATCTGGATGCTGGGAATAGGGGGTGGGTTGGATTGGGGCGGTTCCAAATCTATAGGGCGCCATTTACAATTACACAACACAATGAATGTCAACAAAATACTGGCTATAACACTGAGCGTACCGGTAGAACATAGATCGTGTTGCCTATATAGGTGTTCGCCAATCGTTATCTCGACGGAAAGCAGTTTTATTCAAGTTAACATAAAGTATTTGTCATATTATGATTGTTATTGATTTTGTTATTAAATTTATGTGAACCTTAAGGGCAGTGGCTATAACGCTGAGCAACCTGAGAAAATCTGGAAAAATTAAATCAATATTCTGGCATTTGAGGTCATTGCCGGGAACAAATTTTTGTGAACAAGAGAACCAGAAATAGGAGTCAATGGAACAGAATCTCGAATTCTGCCCCTGTCAATTCCGCCTGTTTTGCAAGAGTTGTCAGAACATTTGTACAGTCTGACGCCCCACGCAACAGCGGTACTAGTAACTAACTGGGCAGTTCACTATAACCGTGAATTGATAGTGCGGAGGCAGTATAAGACCACAGTGGAGTGAAAGAATGATGTCATAATGGAATATCGCGACGCAGGCGCGAAATAATATCAGTTATTCTATAACTACATGCAAATACAAGCAAATATCATTGAATACAGCCATTGAATAACCTATAGTTGTATTCAATGGCCATTGAATAACCTATAGTTGTATTCAATGGCCATTGAATAACCTATAGTTGTATTCAATGGCTTGAAAACGTACTACTTTTGTCCAAAATGACGTCACTTACAGAACTACGTCAAACTGTAATGACGTCACAACTAGGCAACCACAATTTTTGTTAAAAAGAAAGAAAAAAGGGCGGAACCTATGATGAATTTTAACGTTAGTAGTAATGATTTTTTTTATGATAATCTAGATAGTACAGTGTATTTTGAGATTTGCATGTAGTTATAGAATAAAAACAGAACCCAATGACCATTGAATACCGTTCGGGTTATTCAATGGTTCAAGAGAGTGTATCCCTGCGCAAGTATTCCACGAGCGATAGCGGTATTCAATGGTCATTGAGTTCTATCTATATATATAACTGACCTTTCAATTTTATGAGACTGAGTCTGAAAAATTTTAGTCAATGTCATGACAAATGGGATCAAATTCTCCTTAACGAGAGGATAAGAAATGGGACAGAATCTTGAGGCCCATCCGTCAATGACAGTGATAGTGTGAATATGATAGTGATGAGATTTATAAGACAGAGGAGTTGAAGAATAATGACATAATGTATAGAATTATTTTTTAGATTATGTAACTGAGCTTTTAAGTTTTTGGGACTGGGACTGAGGGGACTTTGTCTCACGTAGGCGCTTATACCTGGTCTCTGAATTGCCATTTACTGGACTATGGGGTCTGGGGAATGGTTTTGCCGAATTCTGATACTTACAACATGAGTGAAATACGTTTTAATTTCTACTGGGATTAAATATGCAACAAGTAAAAATTCTTAAGTACATAGATCGCCTTAACATTTCATAATTTAATTTTTACGTATTTCTGAAACAAACTATGCTTCCGATAACTTCTTACCAACTGTTCGACTAAAATGACAATCAATAATATAATTTAAGTTATCAAAATCTTCGTAACAAGCTCTCAATTTCTTAAACCAACATACTCATAACAGGGAGTGTTTTTTTTTAAAACATTACAAGTTGACTAGGTTATTTTATACTATACCGTTGTAATTTAGGCCCCTACTATTTTGGCATTGTTTACCTCATTAATTCATTTAGTCTGAGACCGACAACAGTGAGAACTTATTTGGAGACCGACTATGTGACTTAAGAAATTTCGGTGCAGTATATTAATTAAGTATTTGAGATTTTTCCCTTCTATTCTGGCATTGTTTGTTTACCTCATTAATTCATTTCGTCAGTCGCCACCGATGCATAATTTTGAGACAGACTGCAGTGACTGCACATATTTTGAGACCGATTATTTTTCTCCCATGAAACTGACAGAAAGGATGATTTATATATATATATATATATATATAAGACTTCACATTGTTTTTGTTTTTTTAATCAGAGATATTCACTATTTTTACATTTTTAAACATTTTTATGTATTTACAACAATAGAATTACATGATGCATGTTTTAGGTATGTTTTGCCTCCCCGAAAACACATCAAATCTCCAGCTTAAAGCCACTGATGGTCAACTGGGGTTGAATCTTCAAATCTAGAAATGGTTTCATCTATAACCCATATAAAAAAGCCAGTGGCTAATTTCTATTGACAGACCTCTATTAATCTGGGCCCTTATTCACGGAAACTTACACTAAGTTACAACCGAAATTTTAAGAAATACGACAACTTCATTGGATATATGCAAATTGATTTGTACTAGTCAGCCAATCGAATTGCAGTATTTCTTAAAATTTCGATTGTATCTTAGTTTAAGTTTTCGTAAATAAGGGCCCAGATTTAACTGGAGTCATGAGATTATCTACAATGGATTATTTTGTTAGTTCCTTTCTTAATTTGAGTCAGTTTTAGCATGGATTAAGCCTTGAAAGATCAGCTGTTGTCTGAAAAATTTAATGATGATCCAAGGCTTTAAGAGAGAGCGAGAGAGAAATAGGGTTTAATGTCCACTCGACAAAAACTAGGTCATTTCGGGACTAACACATGGTTCAAATTTATTTCAATAATTTGCTTATGCGTAGGGGTCTTTAGAAGTGGGAGGAAACCGGAGGACCTGGAGAAAACCCCCGAAGTTGGACAGGCGACTTTGTCACGTACAACCAGGAAATCGAAACCACGCCAGTTGACTCAATGACAGACCTTATGATACAGCATGCATTCAGCCATCCCCCCCCCCCCCCCCCAAGAGGCTTTAAGTCCTAAAGAGTAGATGTCAATTACTTATAGTTATAACATATATGGGGAGAGTTTAACAATTATGGATACAAAAAATCCCCAACTTTATGTGCATGCGCAATAATTCTGTTGTCTATATATACCCGGTAACGGGATCATTTTTGTAACCAGTTGATAAAGGGCGAATGCTCGAAACGCGTCCTGAATAAATCTTTTTTATATCAACACAGTCTTGTCATGTTTGTTACCGGGGATTTTTTACTATGAATTATGTATACATGACCTATATCCATACCGACTAAGCTGGGTTTATAGTTTATACTGTTTGTTCTATCTGTGTTTAGTTGGGCAGCTCTCCCAAATTGTCTGTGAGGTCATGAACTCAAATCAAATATCTTAAAAGGTTTCAGATTTCACCATGAAGAGGTTTACAGAATCTTCATAAAAGAGTTACATCCATGAATGTCATGTTTGATGACTTCAAAGTCATGAAAATCGGTTTAGCTTGGAGGAATATGCACCATACTTAATATACATAGAAGTTAAAATTTACAATTGTCAATAAATTATTTTGTGGTTTCTTGTTGTTCAAATAATGGATAATTATTTGTAATATCCTCCCATGTTCTTTTACCATCTACCAAATCTTTGACTATTTGGGGTAACTCGTTCAACTGAAAAACATAGAAGACACGGATAAAATAAGCGTTCAAAAGATGGTTAAATAGAGAGAGAGAGAGAGAGAAATGGGGTTTAACATCCACTTGACACAAAATAGGTCATTACGGGACTAACACATGGTTCAATATTTCAATAATCTGCTTACGCAAAGGGATCTTTAGCAGTTATTTTTCTGCTTTTAATTCTTCACATTTCAAGGCGCTACATTTATCACATTATGTCACCTATATATAGAATTGTATGATTATTATGTCCAACCATGTGGGTTTTCTCCGGGTCCTCCCACTATGCACAAGCAAATTATTAAAATAAAATTGAACCAAGAGAGAGTGTGGATGGGTGGGTGTGGAAAAATACATGTAAATACATGAGGTAATTAATGTGATTGATTTTATTTGTATGCCCACATTTTACAAGATGGCCAAAAACAAGCTACATAAGGGGACATAATCTGGGGAGCTATGGTCCGATATGAAAGAATATCAAAAGAAATGGAAATCTCTGGGATATAAACATATATTTTAAGTTTCATCAAAGTCAGACAAATATTCTGACACCTTGTTATTACATACTTTTACGCTATTTGCGATCAAGGAGGGAGAGGGTTTAAAGTTCACTCAATGCAAACTAGATCATTTCGGGACTAACATAGAGTTCAATTTTACTTCAATAATTTGCTTGCTCAATTTTATTTCAATAAGTTGCTTGTAGCGTTCTTTGAACAGAAGGAGAAACCGGAGAACCTGAAGAAAACCAACAAGTTTGGACAGGCGACCTACTCCTTGTCACGTACAAGCGGTGAAGATTGACAAGAAATTTCTAACATGTATCAATACTTACAGAGGCCCGGATCTGTTTCATTGAATCTCGTTCTCGTAATGTAGCTGTGGGAGGTGTATCTTTAAGTGTGTCAAAATCTATAGTAATACCATAAGGTATAGCTATCTGATCAGTTCTAGCATATCTTCTACCTATACTACCACTACTATCATCAACTTTATGCGATATATCATTTTGATTCAAGGCTTGCGCTAAACGAAAATAAAAACAGAACTTTCATCACAGTATAAATCAATGGCTGTGCTTTATTTACCACAGTATATATAAACTAATTATCTCCCCTTATTACAAATTACTGCACAAGGGGATGCTCAATTGTCCTGAATTCTCAGGATTGTAATAGAGTTGCATTCAGTCCTGTCACAGTTCTGTCAATCTCAACAACTGAGGTTGCTGAGTAGAATCGTGACATAATAAAACACAACAAATATGTTTCGGCTGTCCTGATTGGTTGAGAGGTTCCCTATGCAGTCGACGCATACATCCGCCCTTTTCCTCGATTGTTACTATTTTCTGGATTGCGAGAATTTAATTCTGAAACGTTCAATCGAGTATCTCCCAATTGTAGCCCATCTCAAATAAAAAGAAAGAAAAAATGATGTTCTTATAAATGAATGAAATGAAATGGGGTTTAACGTCCGACTGGGCTAATGAAGACGGGCATATGCCATGGTGTGCTATGAGGGAAATTTTTCCAGAGCAGCAGCACTATGGCCTACTCTTATGTCGAATTCCAACTGCCAAGGGATCTTTTACGTGCACACCAATGTATACATGGAACCCCATTTTTTTTTTGTCCCTTCCGAACGACTAGACAACTGTCCTTGTCAAGCCCTCCGTCATGCACCACTGACGAGGGGAAACCACACCAGAAAATCATGATGAACTACATTGTAATGGCGATTTTCATCTACATATTTTTTAGCTGTTGTGAACTAAAATCATTGAATCGCTTTAAATTATTTAGACTACCACGACAATCAAATAATTCCTATCACACTCTAAAACAAAACTATTAAAATCCACACCACCGACACAATCCGAAACACTGTCATCCAATATGAATGGTAATGTCACTAACTCAAAATGGTCGTTTAGACATATCATCTTTCTACCATTGTTTGTCAAGAAGAAACAGTACGATTTTTAAATGTCAAACAGACAGTAAACAAACTATAGAATGTAGTTTGTTATAAGGGAAATAACTCTCATTATGCTGACACGAGTCAACATGTATCAGTTAAGGATTGTTTATGTTTGATTGTGTTTAAAAATCTAATTCTACCTTTCACTTTAATCTCAATCAGAAATATAATGCCCTGTGTCCACTCAATCTGATTAAAACATAGATCCTATTCCGTTTAGTTGTTTTATAGTTCAAAATTCCATTTTACTTGTCTTTACAACACTAGGATCTGGAAGAGTTGTTATATATCAGGTGTTCTAGTTGATGTGAGGAATTGGTCAATGAAACGGTCTGTGGCAGCGAGTTTTTAGCGTGCGATGCATGGAACAGTGTGTATCCTACCAGAAACGTCACCGCTGATTGGGTAATCATATGTATGACGTCACAGGGACAAAAGCCGCTTGTATGACAACTGATGCGACCTCCCACTACAACCGGTCAGATCTTCATGTAGTAGAGGCCATCGAAAGTATAAAAAAACAAAATGAAATATAGTTCTGTATTTTAATCAGACTGTGTGTTGGCCTATGATTACGGGTTTAAATGAAATGAAATGAAATGAAATGGAGTTTAACGTCCTACTGTTCTGCTCCTAACCTGGGCTAATGAAGACGGGCATACGCCATACAGTGTGCTATGAGGGAAATTTTGCCCGGACAGCGGCACTACGGCCTACTCTTATATCTAATTCCAACTGCCAAGGGATCTTTTACGTGCACGCCAATGTGTACACGGGACCTCGGTTTTTTCGTCCCATCCGAACGACTAGACAGCTTTCCTTGTCAGCCCCTCCGTCCGGCATCACTGACAAGGGAGAACCACGCTGGAAAATCTGGATGAACTTTCTCGGCCAATGCAGGGATCGAACACCCGACCTCCAGGCTAGCGAGCTAGCGTCTTATCCACTTAGCCACGTGATCCCTCGATTACGTGTTTAAAGATCGGAGGCTACTAATGTTACTGTAGTTTACACTTTAATCCAGAAGCATGAAAAATATCTGGCCAGTTACCACTGGTACGGGACTAATTACAGGGTATGCACAACTCAGAACAGTTAAAATTCCAGGAGTTTTCCAGGAGTTATATACCAGATTCCAGGAGTCCTGTATAGAATTCTACATCATAATGTATTTTTTTTACGCTCGGAGAACATTTTTACGGCCATGTACTCATGAACATTTGAAGAAAGATTTGATGACTGCGTTCAGTTTTATATCTTAAAATATATAGCAAAACCACAAATGTTAATTTTCCAGGAGTTTCAAGGAGTAATCTTGTTTTTCCAGTACTGGAAATCACATTTTCATTTTTCCAGGATTTTTAAGGAGTTTCAAGGAGTGTGCAAACCTTGTACTGTACGAAAGACATTGCCGCAACTACATGTAACTTAACAAAGTACAAAGGAATTATCTAAACTTACAAATATTTTTGATGTGGATTCCAAAATCAGGATTGTTGCTTATTGGTAAGACAGAACATTTATATGGTGCAATGGACGCTGGTAAACTAAGATACTGAAAACAAAACATCAAATAGATTTAACGGATCAGTGTATATTTTAGCTTAAAACTTAACCTAAGGGACCCTCTCTGAATTGGTACGCTTGCATCCAAAAGAATAACCTATGGAACTTTATTTTGAATATTGAATCATGAAGGGATATGTGTCAACATTTTCTCACTCCATTTTTTCAAATATACACATTTTTATTTTTTGAAGATATAGGAACTTGAGACATGATACAGGCATCAAATTTGATAAATTTAATCTAAACTTACTGATCTCTGTTCATCACCTTCACGGACTTTAAAATTATGTTCAAACACAGAATACATTATACGTCCTATACCAAACGATGGTTCTATAACGGATGGCGTCAATTCTTCAACTAAAATATAACATATCATTAAACAGACATTATGCAAGAGGTAAATCCGCCTATTACAGGTCTTTCTTTAGGTCTGAAACATTATATAAACTATTAATTAGACACTTATTAACATGAAAAGACCATAATCAACTCTCGATGCCATCTTATCCGTCCGATTTTTAATGGATTTGAATCTGATCTGCCGTTCAACAAGCGTTGATGATTAAACGCAAAAACGGATAATGGAGACTTTTTCACTTATCGTGACAGCGCTAGCAATGACAATCGAGGCTACAAAGATTTTAAAATAACGTTTTCTCGGCTTAGAGTGAAGCAATTTGACTGAATTTTTTGAGCATATTTCCTTTATATCATCTGGCTTTTAACTATTATAGTGAGAACTGCCAGCTCTTTATCTAATCTCCAATAATGTATCTTTAATATACACTATAGACAGACATCCACATAAACTACATTTATAAAGTATAAATGATTGTTCTTAAAATAATGAAATGAGGTTTAACATCCTACTTTTTGCACTGACTGGACTAATGAAGACGGGGTGTGAGTGAAATTTTGCCCGGACATCAGCGGTGCTACCCTTATTTCAAATTGCAAATGTCAATAGTTCTTTTATGTACATGTCAATGTGAATGCTACATGGAACCTCATTCTTCCCTCCATCCCAACACTTGGACCATTCTACCTTTCACAAGAGACTGTTCCTCTACAACAATAATATATGTTACCGATTTTTATTTAGGAATAAAAGTGAAAATGTTTTTTTTTTTTTTTACCATGGACTGTTTTCTGGTATCTTTTAACTGTGATCATTTCAGGAGTTAATTTATAATCTTTATCATTCACAGTAACGGTCGATTCTCTGCAAAAAACACAAACAAACAAAAACTGAATAGTAAGATATTAGTATTAAGCATGGAATCAAAACCATGCCACTTGACTCAATGACAGACCTTATGATCTAAAGCGCACACATTAGACCATTCAGCAAGCCAAATCCACAGAAAAATAAAAACTGTTATAGATCAGGTGCACAACAGTCGAACTTTCACTGGAAACGAATCGGAAATGATGATAACAAGAGAGAGAGAGAGAGAGAGAGAGAGAGAGAGAGAGACTCCACACAAACTAGGTCATTTCGGGACTAACACATGGTTCAATTTTATTTCAATTTTATGACTCACCCTACTTGACTTTCGACAGCTATCCAGAATTTTTGAACCCAGGATGGGGTATCACAGAGAGAGAGAGAGAGAGAGAGAGAGAGAGAAATGGGGTTTAACTCCACTTCGGTCATTTCAGGACAAACATATGGTTCAACTTTATTTTAATAATTTGCTTGCATGTAGGGGTCTTTAGCAGTGGGAGGAATCCGGAGGACCCAGAGAAAATCCACGAGGTTGGACAGGCGACCCAACTCCTTGTCACATACAACCAGGGAATTGAAACCATACCAGTTGACTGATTGACAGACCTTATGATACAGTGCGCAGGTGCTCACCATTCAGCCACCAACCCCCAAAATGATGATAACCCCTGTTGAAATAAATCATTGCTATTTATTTTACTTGTCCTGATCTAATATAAATATACTTACTTGTTTTCAGAGAGATTCTTTTCTATTGTTAAAACATCCTCTGTTTTAAGTTTATTTAAATATTCTGAGACTAATTTAGCATCTTTTTTAAAAGCTTTACCTAGAACCCCCATCTGTGGCTGGAGTTCTGTCACATCAATAGTCTTGTATCAATTATTAAGGATATATAAAATAATATCAACAATCATCATCATGAAGATCAATTAGTTTGTTCATTGTTTACTAATAATATATCATTTCATTGTCGCTTTAAGTTGCTAAAGTAACGATGCATGAGTTGCAGTTTTTGAGAACATATCAAATTTCTCACAACTGAATAATCCACACTAATATGTGTGTGAGAGAGAGAGAGAGAGAGAGGTGATAGATAGAGAGAGAGAGAGAAATAGGGTTTAATGTCCACTAGGTCATTTCGGGACTAATATATGGCTAAATTTTATTTCAATAATTTGCTTGCATGTATGGGTCTTTAGCAGTGGGAGGAAACTGGAGGTTCCAGAGAAAACCAACGAGTCTGGAATGCTAATATGTTTATTATTTATCATTTAATTAAGAAAACAAAAGCAAAATACCAATGCCAAAAAGGCCCATCAATTTGGTTCATGGAGAGAGAGAGAGAGTTTAACTCCACTTGACACAAACTAGGTCATTTTGGGACTAACACATGGTTTAATTTTATTTCAATCAATCGCTTGCAGTGGGAGGAAACCGGAGGACCTGGAGAAAACCCACAAGGTTGGACAGGCGACCATACTAATTGTTACATACATGTATAAGTAGGGAATCGAAACCACGCCACTTGACTCAAAGACAGACCCTATGATGCAACGCGTTAACCATTCGATTACCCCTCTCCCCCCATACCTCGTGGGTTTTCTCCGGGTTCCTCCCACTGCTAAAGACTCCTACGCGCAAGCGAATTATTGAAATAAAATTAAACCATATGTTAGTCCCGAAATGACCTAGTTTGTGTCAAGTGGATGTTAAACCCCATTTCTCTCTCTCTCCCCCATCTTGCTATTTAGGGAGCGGCATAATCAATGAAATTTTTAATTATCATATCTTTGTAAATACGAAACGTAATTTAACCATTTATGGACTGATATTCCCATTAGAGATTTAACTTTCACGATATTGTAGTTAGTATGAGATTCTATAAGTCTTTAAATGTAATCTTAACTAAACTGTTATATCAGAAAAAGGATATTGGTTCGGATAACTTTCTTTCAGCCACTAGTTTAACTCCAGTAGCTTCTGTATGTTGAGTTAAATCATAACAAGATCTGTCAGCACATCCAACACATTCTATCCATCCCTGGAATTAAATCATATATCATAGTCTACGAATCATCTATCAACCCATTAGTCGTGTAAACATTTATCATCACAAAGATTGTACCAAACTTTAAATTGATCATTATAAAAAAACATTGTATTTAACTCTAGAATACAGCTTATTATAATAAAGTTCATTCCAATTCTGAGGCCCGCTTTTCATGTATACGTTAAAAGTCTATTTTGCAACTGTAATGGGACCATTTCCATGTAAGCGTTTGCTCAATGAGCGACTTTTTCGCTGGTGTTTTTTTTTTCATGCGAAGTCTGCACATGTGGATGTTTACATTCTGGCATACAAATACGGTTTTTCTTCCACAAAATCAAACAAGCACTCTTGTTTTAGCAAAATCTGCTTGCAAATGGCATACTTTTTGGACACGGTGATATTTTAAAAAGGCCGCAACTGAACGTAAACAATGTCTGACTCTGTGGTGTAAAGAGAAATTCTCACTTATATTGTCATTTACTTGGGATTCCCCAAACTTTTCAGCGATTTGTCTGTACACATAAAAATACAAAAAATAGCATGCGGAAATGCATACATGGAATGCAGGCCTTATACTATAATTGTTTATTATATAAAACATAGTATTTAATCCAAGAATAAAATTCATTACAATGAACATTGTACATGTTTGTTATTATAAATATAAAACAGTAAACAGTATATATAATTCTAGAATACAATAAACATTGTATCCAAATCTAGAATATAATAATTTCTTTACAATAAACATTGTATCCAATTCTAGAATATAATTATTCCCTACCATAAACCTTGTATCCAATTCAAGAATATAATTATTCATAACCCCAACCAGAATTTAACCACTAATCAAATTCATTTCATTCAATCTTTTACTCACATAAGATGTTTTCATTTCAGCATCCCAACAGTCACAGGCATAATGGGCCATTTCATTGGATAGATGTTGACGGAATCGTAAACGCTTGGGGTCCACTCCAACTTTATTCAAAAACAGATAAATTCTTGCCATGAAATATCCAAGTGTTTGGTTGGCTATTAATTTCTGAAATAATAAAAAATAATGATAGACACAAATAATAATCGATGTCTGAAAGTTATCCATACAGACCTAAATTTCTGGCACTTTATTTTGCCGACTAGAAGGCAAAAGGTGTTTTTTTTTCTTAAAAAAATATTATATACCCCCCCTCCCCCACACACAAACACACCCACACTTTACCTGTCTGGCTGAAAAATCTGATTTAACACTTAGCCCCCACACACCCTGCATGTATGCCATTGCAAAAGACCATATTTAGAAAGTACAATGTTACTGAATAAAATTTAATGTCTTTAATTTTCCACAAACTTGAAAAAACTGAGAAATGGTTTAACATACTTTTCCAACAGCTTCACCAATTGTCCAGGCTTCAGCTGATTTTCCATCCATCTGACTACATGCAGAATATAACATAACCTTTAGGTCTGCAACATTCTCAAATTTAGGATGACTCTTATCATCTGGATCACAGAAATGCTCAATTTCAGCCATGGTAAATTCACTGTTGCAAAAAAAGAAGTAAATATTGTGAGAGAGAGAGAGAGAGAGAGAGAGAGAGAGAGAGAAATTGGGTTTAACATCCACTCGACACAAAATAGGTCATTTTGGGACTAACACATGATTCAGTTTTATTTCAATAAATTGCTTGCATGTAAGGGTCTTTTAGTAGTGGGTGGAAATTGGAAGAACCGGAGGAAACTCACGAGGTTGGACTGGTGACGCTACAAGCTGGGAATTGGAACTATGCCACTTGACTCAATGACAGACTTTATGATCTAACATGCACGCGTTGACCATCCAGCCACCCAAGTCAATATCGTGAATATTTAATGCAATACTTTGCATCCTATGCAGACGATATAAAAAAGCCAGCGCTGTCTTTGGGTAAATTTTTTTTGATGGGCCTCCTGACTGAATCCGAGTTGGGTTATAATTTGGTTGGTTTTATGAATCAAATGTTAACTTATCAATTTGAGTACCCTATGAAATACAAAAAAAACTTACCGTACTCTTATTAGACCCGATCTTGGAGAAATTTCATTTCTAAATGAATTTCCTATCTGAGCACCAGCAAAAGGCAGTTTGCCAGAATTGAAACCTAAAAGTCTTTTAAAGTTAACAAAGATACCCTGAGCTGTTTCTGGACGTAAAAATCTGTTGAGAAAAGAAATGAAATGTCATGAATGCTATATGTAGTAGATAACAACCACTTTCCATATTGTAATTCAACATAGAAATCCTAAGGGCTAAGGGTGGAGAGAGAGAGAGAGAGAGAGAGAGAGAGAGAGGTTAACATCCACTTGACACAAACTAGGTCATTTCCAGACTAACATATGGTTCAATTTTATTTCAATATTTCGCATGCGCGTACAGGTCTTTAGCAGTGAGAGGAAACCGATGGACCGGGAGAAAACCCACAAAGTTGATTTAATGGAGGAAGAGTCATGGTTAACACATTGTCTGATTTAATGGATATTTAATGGAGAACCGGCCATAATTAACACATGTCTGATTTAATGGATATTTAATGAAGGACCGGCCATGATTAACACACTGTCTGATTTAATGGAGACTTACCCTTTTAATTGTCCAGTTGGTCCAATGGACGTAGCAAACATAAGATTAAATTCTATTGGATCAGAGAGATCATTACCAGTTACTGGTGACTTCATGTTATATTTAATTAATGTTTCCTTCATATCATTCATATTCATACCATCAATCTATTGAATAGATAATACATGATAATAAGTTCATTGGAATGGGGGGATAGAGAGAAAAATAAGTGGACTTAGTGTCCACTCGACACAAATTAGGTAATTTCAAGACTAACATATGGTTCAATTTTATTTCGATAAATCACTAGTGCATTGCGGCCTTTAGCTGTGGGATGAAACCGGAACAAACCCACATGGTTGGATAAGCCACCCTACTCCTGGTCATGTACAAGAGGGAAGCCAAACCATGCCACTTGACTCAATGACAGACCTGATGATCTAAAGTGGGCTAGTTCAACCATAAGACCGCACCCCACCCAATCTGATTAAAATACAGATCTATATTTCGTTTCTTAATTTCGTTTTACTTGTCTTTACTATACTAGGATCTGGAAGTGTTCTTATCATTGACGTGTTCTGAATGGTGTGAGTGATTAACCAATCAAACGGTCTGTTACGGCGAGCTTTAGGCGTGTTTTGCACGGAACTATGGGTAATCAACTAGTAACATCAATGCCGATTGGTTAATCAAATGTCTGACGTCATAGGGTCAAGAGCCGCTCATATGACCTCTGATGCGACTTAACGCTACAACCGGTCAGATCTTCATGTCAGTCAGATCTTCATGTCGTGTAGGCCATCAAAAGTATAAAAAAAAATGAAATGAAATATAAATCTGTATTTTAAGCAGATTGATCTAGATTTGGTGTTACCGAAATATTGGAAAATTAAAGAGGAGTAAAGAATATGATAAGTACTAACCATTGGTAAAAGTTTTCTTGCTTCGTTTTTTTTATCTTCTGACAGTTTTTTATCAGTTAATAATTTTTCTAAGTAAGCTGAAAAAGATTAAAAGTCAATCAACATTATATTGATGTACACCCATGTTAATTATAGTCAACCATCTCCATTTTTAAATGCACCAATGATCCCCTCTTCTTGAAATGCCAAGCACAATAAAGGATGATACAAATTTTAAACTATACAACCATATTTCTGAAGCAGTGGTTAGGGTTATTATCAATTCTCTGTCATTGCTTTGTGAAGATATGTTATAAAAAAAGGGCAAAAAAATCAAAGATATTTGAAGTAGATTTAAGGTAAAGAAGAAGTTTTTACCTGAAATGATTCAAGCTAATTAAAGTATTTAAAGGGGGTGGCAACAAATTCCAGAGTTTCGGCCCTTTAAAATGTATACAGCTTTTAACTATAAACTCAACTCAAAAACAAACTTGGTAATTTCGGGCCTAACATATTGTTAAATTTCATTTCAATAATTCGCTTAAGCAGCAGGAGGAAACCAGAGGACCTGGAGAAAACCCAGGTCACTCCTTGCCACATCCAAGCTGGGAATCAAAACCATGCCAATTGACTCAATGACAGACCTTATGCTCTAAGCCACAGGCACTTAGCCACCCAGCCCTCCTTTTATATATACTCTTCAAAAAACGTAGGGGATATTAAAATGCAAATACCTATGCAGGTTGCAATATGATAAATAGTCATGGACATTTGACATGCTTTGAGAGTATGTTCACAGATGAAGAACTTTTTGCCCCAACAGAACCACTGATCTGCACATGCCACTCGCAATAGCGCCATACACGTGGGATGGGTTCATTGTCAAATTTGACACTTTAAGGAAGAGTTGATGAAAACTGCCGCATGCTGGTTTATCTATCCATGTTTGCTTTCCTATCGGTTCTTGCATAAGATTTACTGTTTAGCGTATCTTTGCTTTAGTGTGTTACGAGTTACGACAACACTGCAAGAATTGGCCGTGGCACTGTAAGAGGAGTGGGTTAGATTGCCCCAAATCGTGATTGGACGGTTGATTAGGAGCATGCCAGAGAATTGCTGAATGTCTGAGGATTGGTGGAGCAATTACTCATTAAGACAAAAATCAAAAACGTCCATTTTCACTTTTGGCAGTGTATCTCTTTGCGAGTGAAATGGGGCCGTTAGATAAGCCGCCCATATGAACTGTTTATGTTCATGTGTAGGCAATTGGCCTGTTATTTCCATACACTGGTTACCTCTAATAAAAACAGCAGTGCATTTCCGCAGTTTTGTATTGTTTTTGAATATCCCCTATTTTTTTTGAAGAGTATATATTGAAACTAGATCATAATAATTGTATTTTACCTTCAATTAAATGGTCTGCTCTAAAACATTCACCATTTTTTAAATCTTTAACCATGTAATCTTGAAATCTGTCAACATGACCTGAAGCTCTGAAAAATATTTTACAATTAAAAAAAACATAAATACAGCAAGATTGAACTGAACTTTCCTCATATGGAAATTGCATTAACTCAGTGAGTATAAAGTTAACAAACTGACCTGGACTTCCTGTGTCAGATTCCGGTGTTGGCCGTGAATGTTCAACGTGAATTCTGGGCCAGGTCCTGTGTGTACACATTGGAAATGAAATGGGGTTTAACGTCCTACTGTTCTGCTCCGAAATGGGCTAATGAAAATGGAGAGAGAGAGAGAAATGGGGTTTAACGTCCACTCGACACAAACTGGGTCATTTTGGGACTAACATATGGTTTAATTTTATTTCAATAATTCGCATTTGCAGTGGGGGGAAACCAGGCGACCCTACTCTTTGTCACGTACAACCGGGGATTCAAAACCACGCCAGTTGACTCAATGACAGGCTTTATGATACAGCATGAACGTGCTAACCATTCAGTCATCCAACCCCCCTAATGAAGACGGGGTGTACACATCCGAGTGCATGTATGTAAAAGAACCCTGGTCATTTGGAATTCAAAATTAGAGTCGGTTGTGGCGTCACTATCTGGGCAAAATGTCCCTTCACAATCTTCATTACCACAATCGGTGCAGAAAATTTACACATTTTAATTTATCATGCTTCCATATTAAAATTTGTCAACTTACTTTAAAACTTGAGCAGGCGTCAACATTGCTGACTCTATTTCCAGCATCTGCTCTTCTAAAACAAAAAACTTTCTCCAAAGCTGTAACAAGTTTGCTTTCATAGCACAACCCATTGGTCCAAAATCATATAATCCATTAACACCTGGAAATAGCATGTTATAGATATGTAATGTAGGAGACACAGGGAACATAAGCTAATAGTTTATTAATTCATTTCACATATAAATAGGACTTTTGAGAATGGAGATAAAACAAGTTTATCATTTAAGGACAAAAGGGTGGCACATTTGAAATTGTTAGGTGATTATTTGAGTGCTCTTGAGTTCTGAAAGTAAACTTGATTATTCAATGTCTAGATTAAAGCAACTTGCAGACGTGGATCCAGAGCCCCCCCTCCCCTCCCCACCACACAATAATTGCTCCGGTGTTCACATATTGTCCCGACAACACTTCAATATGGAGACCTGATACATCTTTCTTGACAAATCCTGAGATGTAACTACATGCAACAAAATGGAGGATCTACTAATATCTGTAGTACAGTTCTTAACATGCTCTCACTCGATGTGTCTAGTGTAAGTTAAAAGACTAGAGCAAGTGGCCCATACATATTCTGTCTGAATGAATGGAAGGACATTGTACATGTATGAGTTGTGTCATACAACATATCAGAGCCTAAAATAAGGTTAAATTCTTGTAGCACGGTTTCTTTGAAAATTCAAAGCAGAAAAACAGCATCTGTGGACTATTCTGGTGCAGTTTACATTGGAGTTTATTTGGCTATGCGCAGCATGAAAACTCAGCTTTAGGAAAATAACACACCACTTTTCTTACAATAATATCTGAATTAAAATTCAAATTCTATCATCACATCAACATCAAAACTCCAAGTCTATCAGTAACAAGGGTACACCATTTTTTCAGAGCATAGTTTTCTTATTTTCGAAGCACAGGTTTTTCATTTCAAAGCATGTTTGTGCTCCAAGGCACATTACTTTAGGCCCTGCTACATATATATTTGTTGTATTTTATACCCTAATAATTTTTGAGGATGTACAAATACATGTATGGAAAAGATTGGAATCCTGACGGGACTATGGTACATGTATGTTAATTGGACTAATTAGAATGACATCAATAGTGGACATACCTCCATATATAGCAAAAGATTGGTCATAGAAAAACCTCTGTTTGAGCAAGTCCTCCATCTTGTGTCTATCAAAATCATCTTTTGGTGTCAATTTCAGTTCCTAAAAACAAATAAATATATTGAAGGATCTTAAACACAAAAGGTTTAAGCTTAAACCTGGCATGCAAAATTTCCATCTGTTTAAATCCATTGCCAGTCTGTCTTGAGTCAAAACAGGCATATATAACAGAAAAGAGAATTCTACTGATGGCAAACCATGCACAGGAAATGGGATATATCATTGCATTGTATTCTTGCAGAGATAGCAATAATTACATGTATCTACAGTCCCTGAGGTTCTACGGGGGTAGGATGGTCCAGTGCTTAATGCATGCTTAAAACCATAGGGTCTGTCATTGAGTCAAGTGGCATGGTTTTCAATTCCCTGCTTGTACTGTGGGGTTGCCTGTCCAACCTGGTAAGCTTTCAATGGGTCCCTGGATTTCTCCCACTGCTGAAGACCCCATACGCACTACCGATTTATAGAAATATATAAAATTGAACCATATGTAAGTTGCGAAATGCCCTAGTAGTTTTGTCGAGTGGAGGTTAATCCCCATTTTTCTCCCACAAAGGTTCTCAAATCATCAGTCCGTGACTGGTCTGATACCGACAGAGGCTCAGATGATCCTCAGCCTGGAATTCTCATTAAATAAACAAACTAAATCTAATGTTACATGTGAATAAAAACAAAAGTGTATAAGCAAAATCGATTTGTTTGTTTTTCCCACCTAGCTGTACATCATACTCCTCGCAGTGTTTCGTTTGATTATACCTAATCCCACTTAACACTGCTATAAGGAAGCAAATTTCTGTTTCAAATTATGACTGGTCAATAGTCTGATTAACAATCAATAGCTAACTACGCAACAATATCATTACTCTTTAAACAGTGCTCCAAATTGGACCAGATATGATTACATAACGTTACGTCATGACTCACAATTTTAGAATGCCCAATTAACCAGTGCATAGCAGAATATTGCAGAAAAACTAATTGTGTGACAAATGAGGCTATCAAAACAAATACAATGTAAACAATACAGTTTGGAGACAAACAATTATTTCAACGTATCAGAAGCCAATCCAGCAAAGGCCAGAGAGGGATTTCCCGGGCCATTGCATCAGGAATATGGCTGTAAATAGAAACATTTCTTTCCATTCGATCATTGGCTGATCGATTGCAATCTTCTACTATTTCTAAAAAAAATGATTTACAATGTACATCCATCTTTTGAAGGGATGGGGTATTTATTAAAACCCATTACTTTCTACTTTCTCAACTACTTACTGTTTCTTCAAGGTTTCTTTTGCGTATTTTTAACTCAGCTACAGCTCGCTGTAAATCTAAATCTGGAGCTTTTTCTTCTTTTAATTTTCTAACCAAATCACCCTGAAAAAAAATGGTTACAGTTATAAGCCATGTATGATGTACGAGTACTTAGTTTACTTCTATTTACATATGATGAAATTATCCGGAGCAAATGCATTAAACATACATTATGCAAGAGCTAAATCCACAAATTGTAGGTCTTTCTTTAGGCCTGAAATGTTGTTATCTAAATTATTAATTAGACATTAATTAACTTATCCAGACCATAATCAACTCTCGGTGGCATCGCTAGCCTTCAATAATTACTGGATTGGAATGCGATCTGCTGCTCAACGCTCATGGATGATTAAATAAAAAAAATGGATAATCGAGACTGTTTTTTATCGCACCGACTATAATAATGATGATCAAGGCTAGGTCTAAAATCCAATCGCTAAATTCTTGGTTCAGAGTGGATCAATCTGACTGAACTTTTCAGCAAATTCCCTTTCGATTATCTACATGTAGTTTTTAACTATTATAGCGAGAACTGCCAGCTCTTTATCAAATCTCCCATAATGTATCTTTAATACACCCTTGAATTTTGATGTAAGTTATATCTGGTTTATGTAAATGTGAGGAGAACCCTTAAAGTTTCAAAACCTGTTTCTCATCATATTGCAGAACATTGTCAAACATAACAAATTAACATGGAAAATTTATTATTAGTCTCCTGATTTCTCCGTAATGAACTTGATAACATGAAGGATTGATCGGGGAAAATAATGTTCAGTCTATCAGGATGCACGCTCCAGATTTTGCCAGTCTTAAATGTTTGTAAAAATAAGTTGATGTCTTACAAGAGTCTGGGATCTATATTATGTTCTGCCTAATATATGCACAATTAACTCTAGATCTAAATACTGTAGGATTGTGTAGTATCAATCAATAAAACCACATGTATGAGGTTCAAGAGGTCAAAGTTAACCTCATTAAAACACCATTAAGGCTGAATCAATATGATTTTCTGTTTTTTGAGATTTTAATAAATAAATAGCTACTTGAATCATGTAAAAGCTGTTCTGTATAAAATTTTAAAACTTTGAAAATATGGTATGGTACTAAGAACAGCTTTAGAACAGCATAACCAAATAATTATCAGTTTTAAACAAATCTTTTTCCCGAAGAAAAAAGAAGGAAAACTTTTACAGGTGAGCCTAAAAAACAGAAAATCTAATTAGTGTGGCCTAAATATCAGCTGAAAAAGGGGAAGATTACTGTCAATCATCATAGCCTCCAGGTAAGTTTATTTAATGTGGACATTAACCCATAGATCTCGTATAATTTGTATAATTAAAGTATTTAATGATGCACCCAATGATTTTCATAATAAACTTTTACTTTTAAGATGCATTATGTAATATTGAGATAAAGTTGTTCTTCCTTATTTTATTTCAAAAATAATTAATGATAAATTTGAAGCCAGAAAAAAAATCTGCAACAGGCAGAATTATTATCTCTACATAACACATCTTTAATCAGAAATTGAGATATTAAGGGATATACATATACATGTACATGTAAGGGACGACACTTACTTGAAAATTATATGAAAAATAAGTTTTAAAATTGAATATAATTTATTGATTTAGCAAATACGTTTCAGCTAGACAATCAAACATACGTTTCAACTAAACAATCATACAATGTTTTATCATGCCATAAGAAAGAGCAATTGTGATGTGTGCTGCTTGACTCATGTGTTACAAAAAAATTATTTGTAATCTTCAAAACAGCTCTGTTTGTAAAATAGTCATATTACATGTACATGTATGGAAAAAGGTCAACTCCAAATGAGCATTAAAATGAAATGGGGTTTAATTTACACTGGGAGGACAGGATAACCAGCCGAGAATAAAAACAGTGATCATTTTTATGTTTTGACATGCAATTATCAGTTTATTTTCTGGTAAAGGACACATCTAATATGATATATTTGGTCATATATACATGTGTATGTCACTCCCCAGTCCTCTTGCACAGTCAAATGACAACCATTGGATGCAATTAATTGTTTGAAATTACTCTTGATTGTTTGAAGAATACTTGTAGTACCATTTGAGGGGAGGTGTTCACATTTACTGTATGAATAGGTAAACCAACACACACAAACAGAATCTTACCCTAACAGAAAGATAAAAAACTTCATCTATCAACCATCCGTGTTCGAGATAGAGATCCACCTAGCAAAGCCTGATGCAGATCATATCGGGCTTCAATAAGCAAACCTGACAATTTTTTTCTTTAAATAAACAACTATTGATTATTGTTATTTATAACATTTCCAGGCACATCCAATATGCAATGTAATCTTACCTAACATGGGTACAAATATCTCTTTTAAACCTGGCATTTTAAATTTAACATCTTTACATCATGAAAGCGGGGTGAATTTTTATGTCGTTTAGAACATTCAATGTACTAACCTGATACAAGTTGAGCAGTGTAATAATGAATGTCTGTATCAATTTTGATAAAAACAACACTTGACTGTTTCACTACATTGGGCAGCATAATATGTCCTAATAGTATATATTAACTTACTTTTACGATGTTATATAAATCAATTACGAAATTAAGTTTGCCAGGTGAAACTAAAGGCACCCGGCCATTACCCAATCATAGCAATCAGTACTTTATGTATCTCAATATTTTAGGTACATTCTCGTAGCCATATGTACATGTACATGTATGTTACAAAATGTTGCTAATTCTATATTTACAGTGGTGATTTTAACATACATGTATGTGTTTGACATTGTGGCAATGTTGACATTAGTGGAAATGTTCCAAAAAGTGCAATTTCGTGTAAATGCAAGAGTTATATCCCTTGGTTACAAGTATATATATACATACATGTAGGTAAAAACTTCCAAATTTGCTTGGAAATCGTACATTGATGGGCATTTTCACACAACAATAATTTAGCATACATGTAAGGAATGGTATATTATCAATTATCGATATAAATTATTGTCATATGAGTTTAAATAATGGTAGATTTGGGTGCTACAGCTACAATTAATACTAATATAATACTATGCACATACCGGTACATCGATCACTGTCATCAGTATTAATAAGCTTATATATTTTTACATATGAAGTTGTACAATGAATAGGTATTAAGATATGTCAGACAATCGTAGTTGTCAGATTATGAGATTGTTTCAAAATTCATTAACATATGAAGAAGAAAACATAATATCTTTATACCTGTTCCTTAACAGATACTCTGAGAGGGGCTAAAGTTGTCTCAATTTCTGGATTATCCATGATTAACTTTCGGATAAAATTCTGACGCTTCTCGGCTCTCTTTCCTCTTCCCCAATCTGAACTAAGTTCGTTGTTTGCCGATTCCTTTTTCTGGAGAATACACGAATATGTTAGTGATCTGAACGACAACACAGCTGTCCTACTACTAAATACACACTGAATTAAACGCGACAACTGTTTCATCAGAATAGTCAATATGCCACGCTCTCCTCATCAGATGAAAAATCGAACGGATTCATTAAACTTAATTTCGAGTAACTATTATTTCATAATTAACATAATACTCAATTGTGAAGTTATTTCAGACAAATAGAAGGATACGTGTATTTTTTATCTACAGGCATAACAATATTAAAACATTATAATCGATACTTCGATTTCTTTTGTTTAATAAAGTGTAGCCAACACCCCGACCAGTCTCTATACGGGACTTCTGGGATAGTCCAAGATGTCAGCGCCCTTGCGGCATGCGACTTTCTCATTAATGTCATACAGTAGATACCGTTGTATAAAAACTGCCACTTTAGAAAGACAAACTAATTTATGTTTTTGGAATACAAATCTTCCATCTTTAGATTTATCATGTTATCTCATGTCTTATCGATTTTATTGCCAGTGTTATCGTTATTTACGAAGATCCAGCAAAATAAACAAATCGAAAGTAGCACTATTACCTAGAAACAACAGAAATAATTTATCAACAGATGCATGTACTCCAAGATATGTACTTGGTATTGAAACAAGTTGTGACGATACTGGTGCTGCAGTGGTTGATTACCATGGAAATATTATTGGAGAAGCACTGAACTCTCAAACACGAATACATGTGGAGTAATTAAAATTATGTATTATGTTACTGTTTTAGTGTTATGCAGTTATGTTGGGCGGATTCTTCACCCCTCGTGCAGATTGTAATTAGCCCTGCTACATGTATGTGTAGCACAGAGTCCACTTTGTCTACGCAGATTGGACCCTGTGTGCGCTGATAACTCCTCGATGTTTTTAAAGATGAAAGTACATGCAGTGTGTCGGACATCCCATGTAGGATCTATCCTCTATCGACTTTGTGCTGTAATGATTTTTCAAATAAATTTCAAAATCACTGCATAATTAGCATGTGTGCTAAGAATAAGATTTAAATTCAAGTCTGCAGTTTCTCATAATCTTCGCTATTTATATATGTCAACCCTTATTTCAACTTAAATGACAATAATTTAAATTGATATTTGATAATATATTGTTCCTTATGCCAAATTGCCATTTTAATTGAAAATCTTAGCGTTTTTGTGATATGAATTGAAATAACGGTTGTTTTGGGTTGATTTGGGTTGATTTGGATGGATTGGATTGCTACCAGTGCATACCATATCAGTTATATATGCTATAATATACTTTTCCAAAAAAGTAGGGGATATTTAGAAACAATACAAAACTGCGGAAATGCACTGCTGTTTTTATTAGAGGTAACCAGTGTATGTTAATAACAGGCCAATTGCCTACACATGAACATAAACAGTTCATATAGGCAGCTTATCTGAAAGCCCCATATCACTCGCAAAGAGATACACTGTCAAAAGTGAAAATGGACGTTTTTGTTTTTTGTCTTAATAATATGAGTAATTGCTCCACCAATCGTCAGACATTCAGCAATTCGTCATGGCATGCTCCTAATCAACCGTCCAATCACGATTTTGGGCAATTTGACCCACTCCTCTTGCAGTGCCACGGCCAATTCTTGCAGGGTTGTCAGTCGACGTTGACGTCGACGAACACGTCTCCCGATCAAATTAAACGTAACACACTAAAGCAAAGATATGTTAAACAGTAAATCTTATGCAAGAACCGATAGGAAAGCAAACATGGATAGGATAAACCAGCAAGCGGCAGTTATCATCAAACCTTCCTTGAAGTGTCAAATTTGACAATGAACCCCTCCCACGTGTATGGCACTATTGCGTGTCGCACATGCAGCTCAGTGGTTCTGTTGGGGCGATAAGTTCTTCATCTGTGAACATACTCACAAAGCATGTGAAGTGTCCATGAATATTTATCATATCACAACCGGCATAGGTATTTGCATTTCAATATCCCCTACTTTTTTTGAAGGGTATATTTTAGTAGAGTTTTTATGGTCCCAAAAAATTCTATGTACAAAATAATTTTCTAGTAATATTGTGAATTTAAATTCCTTTTCAATTTTTTTTTTCAGGATGGGAGGAATAATTCCTATCATTGCCAGGGACTTACATAAACAAAATATTGCTAATGTTGTGGATGAAGCGATAAAAAATGCTAAATTATCAAATCAGGTAACAGTGTACAATGCTTTTCTTATTATGGGCAGTCACAGAATTTCCACAGTTGTATCCAAAAGAATAACCCACAGATATATCTTAAATCCACCCGCCCACCCATCCTCAACAACAGAGTAAGAAAATGTTGACATATTTCCATTCGCGACTCAACATTTAATTTATCATTTGTAATTCACAGTGTCATTTAAAACACTCACCTATTTCTGTCTAATTAATAATTTAGATAACATTTCAAGCCTAAAGAAAGACCTGCAATAGGCAGATTTAGCTCTTGCATAGTGTATGTTTAAACCGGTGAAAATATAATGGTATGAAATATTAGTATAACTAATAAATAAAATGTTTGTTTGTAGGATATAGAAGCAATTGCTGTTACAACAGAACCAGGATTGGCTTTATCACTGTTTATAGGAGTCAATCATGCCAAAATGTTAGCAAGCAAATACAGGTAAATCCAAGATTAGCCGACAGATTTATTAAACAATGCTTTAAATCATCTTGACAAGTTCGATTGGATCATATGATTGTATGTGTAAACCAAGAAATGTCACCCTTCTCAGCTTTGAATGTTTAATATACCCTGTAAACAAGACAATTCCTGGAATAATGAATTACCAGATGTTAGTCTCAATGTGATGTAGTTCTGTAGAGTGAACATTTAACACATTTCCTTCATTCTATCAACGTAACTGGTTTCCTCTCCTCACTGCTAAAGCCCTCTACGCGCATGTAGTTCTGTAGAGTTAACATTTAACACATTTCCTTCATTCTATCAACGTAACTGGTTTCCTCTCCTTACTGCTAAAGCCCTCTACGCGCATGGAAAATATTGAAATTAAAGAATTGAACCATGTGTTAGTTCTGAAATGACCTAGTTTGTGTTGAGTGGAGGTTAAACCCCATCTCTCTGCTAACTGAGCAAAATTTCTTTTATAGCATAGTTACTGGCGTTTACTGGTGAGTTAGGCAAGGACTTTAAACCTCATTTTATTTCATTTTCTGTCTGAATTTGGAGTATCTACTTCTGTAATTGTGTGTAGGTATAAAGGTCCATACACATCAAGATCTATTTGTTGCTGACAGCCAACTGTTTCTTATAGGGGGGTTGGATGGCCGAATGGTTAGTGCGTGAGCATTGTATCATAAGGTTAGTCATTGAGTCAACTGGTGTGGTTTCCATTATCTGGTTGTACGTGACAAGGAGTAGGGTCACCTGTCCAACCTCGGTTTTCTCCAGGTCCTCCGGTTTCCTCTCACTGCTAAAGACACCTACGCGCAAGCGAATTATTGAAATAAAATTGAACTATATATATGTTTGTCCCGAAATGACCTAGTTTGTCTCAAGTGGACATTAAACCCCATTTATTCTCCCTGCTATTTGTTATATGTACAATATTGGTAGTATGTTGTTTATTTCCAATAAGATAGAGATTGTCTATCTCTGTACCTTCCAAAACTTGCCTAGAACCGAGGGATGTTGATGACTGAGTTTTCTTGTTTTTCTTTTAGGAAACCTGTTATTCCTATTCACCATATGGAGGCACATGCTTTAACAGTTAGAATGGTAGAAAGGTACATATTATTATATACACTACTGTAAATACAATAGGTAATAACATCAACAAATTTAAATTCAGCAACAAGGTTGTGTTTTCCGATCATTTCGAGAATGACGGTTATGTATTTTTGGGCCTGCAAGTTAAAACAAAAACAGGTGACATTCCAATCATTTTCAGCTTTAGTCATAGAAAATATAAAAAGTCAGAATTGGAAATTTTAAAAATCATCTTGAGCAGCAAACTACTCTAAAGGTACATGTATGTGAACTGTGGCCGGACTATATGACGTTCATAGTGACTTTATGTGGATACAATGTTGCTGCTCAATACTAACATTTATCTTTATAATTAAATGTATTAATAATGTTTTTTATGTGAGAAAAACTTTTTAATTATTAGAATTATATACGTTCATTTATTTTCCGGAGAATGCCTTGGTTTCATGGACCTTCCCAGTTTAAGACAGTTTTGTTCCTGATTTTCAGAGTAGAGTTTCCATATCTAGTTTTACTCGTGAGTGGTGGCCATTGTTTATTGGCATTAGCACAGGATGTCAACAAGTTCCTGTTGCTTGGACGAGGCTTAGATGATTCACCTGGAGATGCCTTTGACAAGGTCGGGTAAGGTCATAGGGCAAAATCTGTTTGAAGGGTTTGTCACCTCTTTTTGAGCCCATGTCCTGAAACAGTATAATGGCAATATATTGTGAACTTTTATTATGATATCGCAATAATGAAAATTTAAAATATCGTCCAGCCCTAGTTTATTTGTATATTTAAATTTTAATGCCCATTTGGTCCTTTGATCAGGTAATTATTTGAGGATAATCATCACATGACATGACACATCCATTTAAATTTTGTTCAAGATAAGTATTTTTATACGGCCACATTGAAATATGGTCATATATTGTCGTCGCCTCGGTCGGTCTCCGTCTGGACGCTCTAGAGAGAGAGAGAGAGAGAGAGAAATGGGGTTTAATGTCCACTCGACACAAACTAGGTCATTTCGGGAGACTAACATATGGTTCAATTATATTTCCATAATTTGCTTGCGTGTAGGGGTCTTTAGCAGTGTGGGGAAACCGGAGGACCCGAAGAAAACCCACAATGTTGGACAGGCGACCCTACTCCTTGTCACGTACAACCGGGTAGTCGAAACCACGCCAGTTGATTCAATGACAGACTTTATGATACAGCGCGCACGTGCTAACCATTCAGCCATCCACCCCCCCACGCTCTAGAAAATAAAGTTAATATCTGATTGACTTTAAATTTATATACAGTGTTTAAGGTTATGAGACGAAGAAGCCTATTGATTTTCAACAAATTCTGATAATTACTGCCAGAGTTATGGCCCTTGATCACTTTGAAATACCTTGTGGACGCTCTACAGACTAAAGTTAATATTAGAATATTGGAAGCATAATTATTTTCAATGATTTTCGATAATTACTGGCAGGGTTATGGCCCTTGATAACTTTGAAAAATATTGCTGATGCTCAAGCTAAATTTATCTGATTGAGTTTAGATTGATACACAGCTGTGAAGGTCTTGAGACGAAATGATATTAAATGATTGTTTGCCAAACATTACGGGGGGTTGGATGGCTGAATGGTTAGCGTGCGTGCGCTGTATCATAAAGTCTGTCATTGAGTCGACTGGCGTGGTTTCGAATCCCCGGTTGTACGTGACAAGGAGTAGGGTCGCCTGTCCAACCTCGTGGGTTTTCTCTGGGTCCTCCGGTTTCCTCCCACTGCTAAAGACCCCTACGCGCAAGCGAATTATTGAAATAAAATTAAAACCATATGTTAGTCCCGAAATGACCTAGTTTGTGTCGAGTGGACGTTAAACCCCATTTCTCTCTCTCTTTTGCCAAACATTACCATGGAGCAGAACTAGAAGCCAAACAAATTTTAATGATTTTCTATTAATTACTTAATGAGTTGTTACTCTTAACCAGATTGTAGTATATTATTACCGACAAGAAAAAATATGCTACAGCTTTTGTTGACTGCCCGGACGACTTTGCTGCTGTGGGCATATGTGTCGTTGCCTGGCAACCTATCTGTATGTTTTATTTATAGACAGCACGACAAATGAAACTGAAGAATTTAAAAGAATGTGCTGGTCTTAGTGGTGGAGAAGCTGTAGAATTAATGGCTAAAACTGGAAATCCCAAATCATTTCAATTCCCTGGAGTATTGTCACAAAACAGAGATTGTAACTTTTCCTTTTCTGGTCTCAAATTTCATGCCAAAAATCTAATTTTCCAAGAAGAATTAAAACAAGGTATGTAAAAACATATTTAAAAAAAATATTGTTAGCTTTGTTCGCTCTTCTAAAGAAATGTGTTGTTTTCTAATATATAAGGACTTTGTTTTTGTACCATCTGAAAGACTAGACCTTCCTTTACTTATAATATCCCAAGGTAGATTTGAACCCGAGACTCAAGATTCCAGCGCCTTAACCACATGAAAACAATGACCTATTTAGATCTCCTGATGGTGAATATGCTAATTAGAGCTAATTACTAAAGGGTTATCATTAACTGTTGTATTTACAGTAGAGTATATGATAATATCTACCTTTCTATCATTCTAACTGTTAAAGCATGTGCCTCCATATAGTGAATAGGAATTAGAGGTTTCCTAAAAGAAAATAAAAAAAAGAGTCATGTTGGTGTGTAGTAATACATTTAATTAGAATTTTAGGAATTTGTAAGCCCTTTTCTCATCTGTTAAAGCTGGCACTTGCATTGCTGACATAGAAAGTTGATGTGATGTAATTTCTATACAGGGATATTCACATTAGATTGCATGTGAACTTAAGACAATTGGTCTGACATATCTCCCAGATACAGATGTTTGAGTTAAACTTTCTCAATGGTTATTGATTTTCTATGAGTTTAATCCAAATGAACCTGCCTTGGTTTGATTTTTGATAACCTGGTAATCATTAAACATACATTATGCAAGAGCTAAATCTGCCTATTGCAGGTCTTTCTTTAAGCCTGAAATGTTATCTACATTATTAATTAGACATTAATTAGCTGATCCAGAACATAATCAACTCTCGATGGCATCGCTAGCCTGCGATATTTATTAGATTAGGTTCCGATTTGCTGTTAGACTTCCATTCATAATTTAATCATAAAATGGATAATCAAGACTATGTTTTTTATCGTACCATCTTTAGTAATGATCGAGGCTAGGCCCAAAATTCAATCGCTAAAATCTCGGTTCAGAGTGGATCAATTTCACTGAAATTTTCAGCAAATTGCCTTTACATTATCTTGTTTTTAAGTATTTTAGTGAAAACTGCCAGTTCTTTATCTAATCTCCCATAATATATCTTTAATAAAGTATTCAAAATTAATTACTTTTATTTCATGGTAAAATGATAATACTTCTTGGATAGTAATATTTTGGAATTAATGTAGGTATTGATGGAGGGAATGTTCTTCCCAATGCTGGAGATATATGTGCTTCATTTCAAGATGGCATTGTAAAGCATTTGCTACATCGCATACGTCGTGGTTTGTTGTATTCTGAACTGAAACAGCTATTACCTGCAGAAAATAAAACTCTGGTATGTAATATGTATTCTTTAGATCTATCTATCTTTAAGGGCATACAGAGTGGGGTGGGTGGTTGAATGGTTTAACATGTGTGCTTTAGAGCATCAGGTCTGTCATTGAGTTGGGGGGTTAGGTGGCCGGATGATTCTTGCATGTGCATTGGATCATAAGGTCTGTCGTTGAGCTAAGTTGCATGGTTGTGAATCCCCACTATTGTACAACCTCGTGGGTTTTCTCCGGGTCCTCCGGTTTCCTCCCACTGCTAAAGACCCCTACGCGCAAGCAAATTATTGAAATAAAAATTAAACCATATGTTAGTCCCGAAATGACCTAGTTTGTGTCGAGTGGACGTTAAACCCCATTTCTCTCTCTCTCTCTCTACTATTGTACACGACAAGAAGTAAAGTCGTCTGTCCAACCTGGTGGGTTTTCTATGAGTCCTCCATTTTCCTCCCACTGCAAATTATTAAAATAAAATGGAACCATGTGTTAGTTCAGAAATGACCTAGTTTGTGTGGTTTAGGGTTAATTTTGTACAATCTGATTAACATACAGATCTAAATTTCGATTCGTTTTTCTATACTTTCAATGTCCTACACTGCATGAAGATCTGACCAGTTGTAGTGAAGGTCGCATCAGGGGTCATACAAGCGGCTTTTAACCCTATGACATCAGACATTGATTAATCAGTTTCTAGTCGTTTACCCACAGTTCCATGCACAGTACGCCAAGAACTCGCCGTAACAGACCACTTCATTGGCTAATCTATCACATTAACTAGAACGTGGCTTATATAAAACCGGAGGACCCGGAAAAAACCCACGAGGTTGAACAGTCGAGCCTACTCCTTGTCACGTACAACCAAGGAATCAAAACCCCCCGCCAGTTGACTCAATGACACACTGTACTACGGTACAGCGCGCACGGCTAATCACGTGCTATCCATACCCCCCCCCCCCCCCCCCCCCGCAACAAAATCTGTGTTTTAATGAGATTGTATCTTGTAAAGATGTGTTTTAGATTGAACCGTGTAAAGATGTGTTTAAGATTTGAACGTGGTGATAATGTATTTTAGGTTTTGTCTGGTGGTGTAGCTAGTAATATGTATATAAGACAAGAAATAGAAAACTTATGTCAACATTTTAATTGTCGGTTGGTTTGCCCACCACCAAAACTTTGTACAGATAATGGCGTAATGATTGCTTGGTAAGTACAATTTTCATAACTGTCAAGTAATGAGATTGATGTCAAGTTTTGATCCTTTGAAATGAAATAAAATGGGTTTAGCCTCCTACTATTCTGCTCCGACTTGGCTAATAAAGACAGGCATACGCCATACAGTGTGCAATAAGGGTGATTTTTACCCAGGCAGTGGCACTATGACCAACTCTTATATCGAATTCCAACTGCCAAGGGATCGTTTACGTGCACACCAATGTTTACACGAGACCTTAGTTTTTTATCCCATCCGAAAGACTAGACAGCTGTCCTGTACCACTGACAAGGGGAAACCACGTCGGAAAATCCTGATGAATTTTCTCAGCCAATGCATATCCTTCGAAACTGTGAAATAAGAGTAGAGTGCATGCCTGTCTTCATTAGCCCAGTCAGAGCAGAACAGTAGGATGTTAAACCCCATTTCATTTCATTTCTCTGGATCCTTCATTGTGAATTGCTAAACGGTATACAACAACACCTAGCAGCTAAAAAGATGAACCAATGTCTTGTGCTTATGGCCAATCACAAAGCACAATATCTTGTTTGAAATGTCATGAGAAGTTTTGTAAATATTTCAAATACAATTTTTTGCAGGCCTTAAAAGTAGGGCACACTAGATAGCTAAACCGATGGATGACAAATGACAAATTCCCGTATATAATTCTTTATATTGATATTTCAGGAATGGTATTGAAAAATTAAAGAGGGAAATAGACTTGGTACAGGTGAATGACTTTGATGAGATTGATCTTAAGCCAAGGTAAATGAATGAATTCATCTGATATTTTTTGTCCAATCATTCAAAATTTGAATTATTTTAGTGTCTTCAGCAGGCAATATGCAAGAGCTAAATCTGCCTATTGCTGGTCTTTCTTTTGGCCTGAAATGTTATATAAATTATTAATTAGACATTAATTAACTTATCCAAACCATAATCAACTCTTGATGCCATCGGATAGCTTGGATATTTTAATAGATTTGAAAACGAACTGTCAGCTCTTTTTTACAAAAATGGGGTGAATATAACTGAATACTTTTCAGAAATCTTGAACTAGTTATTTCGAATTCAGAAATCTATCACAAATTTCCAAAAACAGTTGAATATGACTGATAAGTGATATGGATAATATGTATATTTTTTTTTCAGGTCACCATTAGGTATTGATATGACAGAAGATGTTATACGAGCAAATATCAAAGTACGAGGAAAACTACCTGTCTGATTGATTTGGTGCAGTTTACAATATATTGACCTGTAATAATAATCACCTTTGATCTTGTTGTTGTCCTGTATGGTTTTAGATTTGTTGTTATTACTTGTCTTTGTGTATTTGAGGCAATTGGATGGCTGAATGATTAGCATGTGCGCGCTGTATCATAAGGTCTGTCATTGAGTCAACTGGCGTAGTTTCGATTACCCGGTTGTACGTGACAAGGAGTAGGGTCACCTGTCCAACCCCGCGGGTTTTCTCTGGGTCCTATGGTTTCCTCCCACTGCTAAAGACCCCTACGCAAGACCCCTACGCGCAAGCAAATTATTGAAATAAAATTGAACCATATGTTAGTCGCGAAATGACCTAGTTTGTGCTGAGTGGACGTTAAACCCCATCTCCATCTCTCTCTTTCTCTCTCTCTCTCTCTCTCTCTCTATTATACACCTTGTCCATCTTTGCTTTATAAATGTTTATAAAATTGTTCAAGGGCTTTAATAAAATGTTACAACACTGCTGCTTGTGTTTTGTTTGGGTTCCAACGAGGTGAAATATTTCTAGGGTGGACACTTTCTGACACACCTGTGATATTGCCATATATTTCACTTTGAAAATTGTAGGTTTGGAAACTTTGGAATGTATATTGGCAATGTGTTACTTTTTTTAGTTGCTACTGAAGTTGAATATGTAATCCTGGCAGTTATAAGTTTTATGTGGTGATATACTTAACTACATGTGTATATTAGAAGGTGTGTTCCTGAATTTTGGCATTAAAAAAATGCAACGCGAATTTAGGCAAAAAGTTTCGCTTCCCCTGTGAAAAAAATTCTCGACCATAAAAACAATAGATATACATTGTCCATCAAGTTTACAGCGCCCCCTGAGAACACTTACCGCCCCTCACCCCATTGCTCTGAGCTAGTTACCACCCTGCGGGAATTGATATTTAAGTGATATTAAAGACCTTAGTGATGTCTATATTTTGAGCTGTAGCAGGAAAGCAAAACACTATAATGACTCGTTTCCGAGACATAGAATATGTTGCAGGATTTGATCGCTGTTATGTTCCGAAAACTTATGTACATGATAGAGGCTATAGTTTTTAAAAGATTTTTTTTTCAAATATGGTTTGACGCACTAGAGGAAGAACCCTATCCATAATATGAGACCTATGGTTCCAGAGTTTTGCCTCCTTAGCCCAAAGGTTTGTGAACACAATAGAGGCAACACATTTTAACAGATGTTTTCAAATCTGGCGTGAATCATTTGATTCATGAGAGGACGAACCCTATTGATATATAGCCTTCCATAACCTTCCCTTCCACGGTTAACCCACGGAAAACCATCTGAACACAATAGAGGAAATAGTTTTTAGTGGATTTATTTCAAATTTAGTGTGAAGATATACTGTTTGTGAACACCGTACATGTATATATTATTTGTGAACACCCTACATGTATATACTGAACACCCTACATGTATAAACTGGTCACTGAACACCCTACCTGTATATACTACATGTATTTGTGAACACTCTACATGTATATACTATTTGTGAAGACCCTACATGTATATACTGCCAGTGAACACACTACATGCATATACTATTTGTGAACAGCTGAAAAGGAGAGCTGTCTAGTCGTTGGGATGGAACGGAAAACCAATGTCTCTTGTACACATTGGTTTGCACGTAAAGGATCCCTTGACAGTTGGAATGCAGTATAACAGTAGGCCGTTGCGCCGCTGGCCGGGCAAAATGTCCCTCATAGCACACTGTATGACATATGCCCGTCTTCATTAAAATAGTCCAATCGTAGCAGAAGAGTAGGACGTTAAACCTCATTCCATTTCTTTTCTATTTTTTGGGGAAAACCGCAAATTATTATTATTTGTTTTAATTTTAATACTTTGCCTTTCATAAGGACGACTTTTTGCTAAAATAAGTACTGTGCTTTATACTGCGTAGTATACGTCTCACTAATAATAAAAATATTAATACATATAAATATATATATAAATATCAGCTTCATAAGTTCTTTCATTACATATCGGATCCATTCATCGATTCCACAGAGTAATGTGACAACCACGATGTGCAGCCGACAGCATCCAGATCATTGTGGTTTGAAGCACAATAACATGGATTCAGAAATACGTGTAGTTGATCATACTTATAACGAATCAACGGGTTTAGACACCGCTGGTTTTAATAATCATGGAGATAGGATTAATGCATTAGAAAATGATGGTAAGTTCAGATAGGTCTTGTTATAGATGTTCTATAGATCGTTTTTTTTTGTCCAGGCTATAAATTGTTGATAAATTTTAAAGCCATGTTATATAGGAGAAAATAATCAATATCTATTTAGCCGGTATGTCAGTGACATCAACATCGTTTTGACACTCGAGCCACACCCTATTTATTACTACAACCGGCGTTGGTAGTCTCCAAATCGCGCTGTGCAGTGCCGAATTTAGATGAAAAGTGGACCTAGGCTATTCAACTTAAGAGGCCCCTCCCACCCCAATCCCCCACCCCCACGACTAGAGGGGGAAGAAAGTGAGTTTTAAACACAATTAAACAAAGCCGAGAATTGGTGAATGACTGTAGTGCGCGCAGGAAAGGTTTATGACAGTGTGAAAAATATCAGACACCTTGATCTTGGGACCTTTATATAGCAGGCTTCAACCTTCAACCTGGCAAACCAATAAATAAATTCGGCACCGTGTATATCATTCTTAAAAGATTCGATTATTGTTTAATAATAATTCATGTTTCATACACCAACTGACGATAATACTCAATGGTCATCCATTTTCTTCTTCCTTCGACGATTTATTGGCATGGTTTAACACGGGAGAAGATCAGTCCGAAAAGCTAAAGATTACCGATAGCTTACTTAATATTATTCGTTCTTAATGTTTTTATTTTCGTTACCCGTCTTTATTTTTGCTCCATGGTTATTGTTGTTTTTTACACACACTGTTGCTGGAGGCTCCGTCCATGGACTTTTTAAATTTTTATTCATAATTTTGATTATTCTTGTAGCATTTTGACCCGTAAAGCGGGAGTGATAACGAATGATTTACGCATATTTTATATACATGTAGGTGTGTGTACAACGGGTAACAAGAACAGTTTATCTTTAGATGAGGTTTCATTTTGTCGAGATGACGTCATTAGTGATGCAGATATAGACAGATCTATGACAATAGAACATCCAGTAATGCCATTGCCTTCTAATAAAAAAACAACAACAGGACCCATATTACAGGCGAATGGTGTGAAATCTGAGATAACACGAAGAAGTAAACTCTACCATACAACATTCTTGTGTTTTTCGTTTTTTGCACTGGTAAGTGAATTGAGTTTTAACAGTGTTCGGGCCCTTTGCTGGAGGGGGGGGGGGGGCTTCCATCGGACGCAGTACGAAGCCAACGACCAACGTGCCCATATCATTATGGGCGCCCCATTGGTTCCGAACTTTTTATTTTTTTCATAAATTATTATAGGTACGCTAAAGTCGTACTCCTTATAATGTTCATATCGAAATATCGTAATACGCCAATATCGCAAATTCAGCCTCAAAATTGAAATTTTCCCTCATTTTCATATTCCTCTTCTCGGGTGCAAACCCTATTTTCCCATATTTTCTGGGAGGAGAACACCCTAGACCCTCCTCCGAATTATTCGAAGGCAGGCGTGTCCACTGGACCGTTCGCCGTTGACCGTCAAGTGTAGGTACATCGACGACGCGAGGGCCAGGGTACCAAAAGATAGGGGGTTGGGTCCGGGGGGTTCTCTCCCCCCGGCCTCTAGAAAATTTTGAAATTTGTCAATTCCGAGAACGGCGCCTCTAGCATTCCAAATTCCAACATAAAACCCTTTAGAATACATGATAATGAAAGAGACAAAAGCCTGAATAGTGCGAGAGCCGGTTCGCGACCGACCAGAGAGCAATTACATATCTATCATTTAAAAATGAATCGACTAGTAAAAAGGTTGAAAACTTGCATCATTAGGGCATGGGTATACATGTATACCCCAGAAAAGGGCAGGGTACCATTTGTATACCCTTGTACCCGGGTTCCGGCGCACCTGTCGGCGCCCCCAGAAGCCCTTGCCACCGCCCCTCCCAACATGTTTGGGCTATCTATATACGAGCCTGAAATTAAGATAAAGATTATGATAAAGAAGAGAAAACAACACAGAAATGAAATCTAATATAATTGATAGATCCGCCCTGTGCTGCCTGTGAAATTTGATGTTTTTCTTTTATTTATTAATTGAGAAATCAAGCGACACAAATAGGAATATTTATTATTAAAATGTTATTACACAGGCCATAGTGTTGGGCGATTCTGAATAAAATATCTCGGACATTTTGACCAATTTATAATATCGCGTACGGACCAAAGCCATTTGTTTTTCTGAACCATATAGTCGGAAATGTACGACAAGTAAGTTTGCAAACATATATTTATACTATTGTTTTGATATTCATTTGTATCTATATAGGATTTATGCTATTTATGTATTCGTTTTACCTAGGGCTTTAATGTGGGACAGAGGGGTCCATCCTTCCTGGATTTACAGCTAATTACCAATACAGATATTGAGAAAGCTTCGACATATTTTACAGCTGGCTCAGTAGGCTATCTTTTTGGATCTTCAATCTGCGGCTTACTATATGATAAATTCAACAACAATCTTCTACTCTTTTTGTCTACTTTTGGATTAGCTGTTTCAGTTTCTGTTTTGCCTCTCTGTTCACCATATGTTTTGATGCTTGTGATGTCCTGGGCAAACTCTTTCTTTATGGGTTGGTATGATACTGGTAAGTACTGGTATACTTCTCTTTAGTTCACATCGTGGATTATCCGGGATGAGGTTAGCAGTTTTATATAGAGACACAACTGTTTGCTTTGAGAAATGGTCTCATGAAATGAAAAGGAATCGGGTTTAATGTCCCACTGTTCTGTCTCGACTTGGCTAATGAAGACGGGCATACGCCATACAATATTCAATGACGGAAATTTTGTCCGGACAGTGGTACTATAGCCTACTCAGGGGCTCTTTTTCGCCCACGTCATAGTGTACACCGAAGGACTATACGTTGGTCCTTTTCAGCCCCCTCCCCGTTCTGCAACAGTTACTAGTGTGTGTGTGTGGGGGCGGGGGGGTGCACGCCGGAAAATCCCGATGATCTATCTTGGCCAACACTGAGATCGAACATAGGACCTACAAGTTAGCGAACCAAGTTCTTACGCACTGAGCCACCCACTGGCTCCAGAAAGGTAATCTCACGTGTTCTGTAAAGAGTTACAGATTTCCTAGACATATAGCATACGAATTATTTAATCTTCTTGCATTATAGAGTTATTTTAATTAATTTTGTCAATTTTATATCGTTGCTCATATCCGTCTGTCAAGAATTGGCTTGTAAAGCATTTGGGGTCAGGTGAGAGCAAGTCCTATTGATTTTCGAACTGTACAGAGTAACGCGCCCCATTTCCTTAAGCTCCAAGTAGACTTAGTTTTTCTTTCAATTTGGATAAGCTGCTGTCTATGGGTATCCCTTTTTCGAGACAAACATGTAGGTTATGAGTGGATTTATGCAGGTTATGAGTGGGTGTATATCCAGATTTGAATATCTTTATAGATATATTAATAAATAATCGATTGTTTCGATTTCAGTGGCAAATGCAGATTTGGTATCGATCTGGGGTTCTGAAGGACAGTCTTACATGCAGATACTTCATTTTTCATTTGCATTTGGAGGCATGCTTTCGCCTCTAATAACAGAGCCGTTTTTAGCCAGACAAGAGATCGATTTGAACCTGACATCGAATATTCCGGACGTTTTTTTCCAAGACAACAATATATCCACTACAACCATGCTAACCTCACAGTCCAACATATCAACGAATAGTACTCTGACAGCTATGTCTGTCACTGAAATACGTATAATATTTGCTTATTTAATTTCGGGTACCATTACGTTACTTTCATCGATTCCTTTCGCAGTTCTTTATTTTCAGCATAGGAATCGAGTTGATGAAACACACCATGGGGCCAAAAGAAAGGACGATGTGTCAAGACTTGACCTGCCTCTGAAATATTATATATCTACTCTGATTCTTGTCAATTTATTTTTCCTTTTTGACAGTTCGGTAGAAGACACATTTGCTGCTTTCATTATGACATTTGTAGTTATGCAACTGAACTGGAGCAAAGCACAGGGCAGTCAGATAACGTCTGTTGTTTGGGCGGCTTTTGCAATTATGCGATTTGTAGGAATCTTTCTCATACGTTACACAACCCCCGTGAAATTACTCTTTATTTTTATTGTGATGTCGATGCTGTCATTAACAGGGTTTTTGGTATGTTCACACTTTGCCTTTAGTATCGGAGTTTGGGTTTTTGCAGCTTTGGTTGGAATATCCGTGTCGACCATATTTCCGACAGGTGTTACATGGACAAACCAAGCTCTTATTAAAGTGACTGGAAAAGTGACGTCCTCTATCATCATAGCTTGTTCAATCGGCTCAATGATTAACCCAGTTATTATTGGCTATCTGATGCAAGAACTAAGTCCCATGTGGCTTTGTTATCTATTATTAGTCCAGAACATAATTTACGTCGTATTTTTTCTAATCTTATTATATTTTGCGTATGTGATTCTGATTAAAGTCAGGTGTATGAAAGGTACTGGAAACATAGACCAAAATTCAGACGATTCTCGGGACAAAAACCAGTGTTATGTTGGAATAGTGACGTGGATGTAAATTCAACTACATGTAATCATCGAATTATTAAGTCTTTCCAGAAGTTTGTCTAATTATCTCTCGTAGTTGGAATCTCCGGGCAACCCAGTTTAAAATCTGGTGATACAATCGCGACATTATGTGCCATTCCCCGGGTTATTCATTTACAAGTCGATTAAACAGAATATAATACCTAAGTACTGCAGATCTATAATTATGATTTCTGACCTCGTAATATGTGATTCGGGAAAGGTACCCTTGGAATTCAAAATAATAAGAGATGGTCGTAGCGCCGCAGTCTGGACGCACGCCCCGTCTTCGTTAGCCTAGTCGGTGCATACAAGTCGTTGCATACCCTATTTCATGTTAACTTTGCAGAAGTGTCAGCTACAGCTGTTACAGAATTAGTAAATATACCCTGTAGAGCACAAGATTCATGATTGCGTATGGTATGCTTTAACACTAATCGACGAGTCTTCCTTACTTTAGCCAAGATATCACGAAAACAATCCACCGGACCACCGCAAACCGTAAAAAGAGTAGGAGGTAGCGCCGCTGTCCGGGCTAAATTTATTTCATGCCACACTGCATACCACTGGCCCTTCTTGTTACAGTAAGGTAAGACACTATTTCAAACCCGGTTTGTGAGAAGAATTAAATTTCAGATGATAACCAAAATGCCCAGGCGCGGATTTAATAAGGGGTGGGGTGGGGGCCCTCTGAGACCAAGTAAGCGCCCCTTAAAGTCAATAAGACCGTTGGGGGATTTGTTGTAAATTGTTGATCGATTATTTTGCAAACAATATAAAGTTCTTGCTGTGACCTCCAGTCGCTGTATTCAATAATAATTGACTGATATTTTAATGTAGAAGTGATGAGTTAAATCTCGTCATATTACTAAACCCCCCACCCCCAATCAATAACCCAACGAAGCAAAATTTGACATATAAATTAATTTAAAATATAAATAGAGAGAGAGAGAGGGAGAGAGAGCCGGAAGTCACATACGATTTAAATCCTAATTTTACGACCCGATATTTCAAATTATAGAAGTAAAAACAGACGTGGCAGTTTGGTATATATAATTTATTGCTCAGTTATTATTATAATATTATTTAACATTAAAATCATCTTTATTTCTAGATTTATCTACGAACATTTGGTCCTTGTTTTCCATTTATTAAGCTGGAATAAAAAAACAAAACAATATATTATAATATTATTCTCACGAAGTGGTAAAATATACAACCAGTATTATTATCAAATATTGTATAAAAAAATTAATCATACAAACAGACTGCAGAAGAGTGCCAGATTTGGATAAAGAGAGGTCTTAGGTTATTCCACTTATGTGGCTCCTCCCAAAGACAGCTTTACGTGTAGGAAAGGAAAGGAAATGAAATGAAATGGGGTTTAACGTCCTACTGTTCTGCTCCTATACTGGGCTAATGAAGACGGGCATACGCCATACAGTATGCTATGATGGAAATTTTGCCCGGGCACCGGAACTATCGCGTACTCTTATATCGAATTCCAACTGCCAAGGGATCTTTACGTGCATTCCAATGTATACACGGGACCTCGGTTTTTCGTCTCATCCGAAAGACTAGACAGCTGTCCTTGTCAGGCCCTCCGTTCTGCACCACTGACAAGGGGGAAACCATGTCGGAAAATCCAGATGAACTTTCTCGGCCAATGCAGGGATCGAACACCCGACCTCCAGGCTAGCGAGCCAGCGTCTTAACCACCTAACCGCGTGTAGGAAAGGCTTACAATAGTATCAAAAATATTATGCTCATTGATATCGAAACGTCGTAATTATAAAATAAAACCAGTGATTGTTTTCCATAAAATTTGTGTTCTGTTAATGTTAGCCGGAGGTCCCATATATATCGAGGCCCTGTTTCAGTTTTCCAAGTCTATAGGTAAATCCGGCACTTATAAACTGTTGTAGCATCGCAGTTTGTGTCCCATCAAAAGGTTTTACTAAGCGTGCGGACGTAAGTTTAGGGGATATCCGGAGTTAACTCATGTCCCTCGCAGTGTTTCGTTTGATTATACCTGTACCAAATACCCCTCAGGTATATGGAGTTACCTGAGCTTGGTCCAAAATATCTAATGTCGACCTACCTGTATCATTACATTTATCACATCCACAAGATGATATTTCTGGTATTTGTACATCTCTGTTTGTACCTCCACAGTTAAACGTGTATGTCTTCGAACCAGTGTATGTTCCAGTGCAGCACTTACAGTTCTTGATCATGTTACCAGAGGCGAAGTCGGGTATGAAAGAACTTGGTCCGCATTCACCCTCGCAATAATTGTATGTGATGTTTTGTGTTGAAACACAGTTTTCGAACGAGACTTCACCGGAGAAGACTGCCATTGAACAAGTCTTTGGTTTACAAACAGTTCCACAACATGGGTCGGGTACGAGGCTATGGGTGGTCTAAAAAAACAATAAAATCAAACCATAAATAATTTTGTACAACCACAATGGCACGCAATGAAATGAAATGAGATGGGTTTAACGTCCTACTTTTCTGCATCGACTGGGATAATGAAGGCGGGCGGGCGCCGTAGGGTGTGGTGTGGGGAATTCTGCACGGACAGCAACGCTACGGTCTACTCTTATATCGAATTCTAACAATCAGGGGATCTTTTACGTACACGGAACTTGGGTGTTTTGACCCATCCTAACCAGGTTCACCGTTCTGCGCCACTAATAAGGGGAAATCGCGATGGAAAATTCCGGGGAGCTTTCTCGACCAACACCGGGCCTCCTGGTTAGTAAGCTACAGAGCCACCGCGGCTCTCAGAATGCCACTAAAGCTAGGAAGAAGTGGTCAATCTCTATATAGCGTGCAGTGTCTAACGGACAATCTTTTGCCGTAAAAATATATTTTCTTCGTGAATTTTGGTGAAGAATGACAACTAATAATGTTCTCACCAGATTACAAGTGCTGATATCGTCGCATGCTTTTGGATAGTCTATGATCTTTCCGTCCAAACATTGGTGACTTGTGCAACCATCGGCGTCCTTCCATGTTTCATTAACCTAAAAAAAAGAACAAAATAATAAATCGTATATATTACATGTTCTATAGATATCATAATAATCCAATATTTTCTTGATTTACATGCAATATTGAATTTCAAGACGAGCTACAATATATCCCTTTTTTCGATTTCCCAAATATCGCCGCCGTTAAGAAAATTAGCCGTTAAGTTCATTATCAATGACCTGACTAGAGTTTTTGGTTCTTCTGTTTCTTCAACCAAACGCCCTAACCGAAGTAGGAGGAAGTCTGAACACAAGGCAATACCATATAGTAGCCTAAAATATGAGAATGTTCTCAAAAACGCCGTCATCACGATATACTCTGAACAATGATTCCCGAGGTGGGGCCTGGGAAAATTGGGGAAGGGCGTAGGTTGCACCAATGGGAGGTAGGCTGATAGTGAGGTACAGTAATCTGCATTTGTATTTGTGTGAATGCGCAAGTGAATTTTATGACAAATACTTTTGTTGAAGGTGTATTCTTATGTGGTGCATGGGTGAAAAAGGTTGGGAAACACTGCTCTAGAATAATACAATACAATGTTTGGGAAATGCCCCCTGTATCTCTACAGGTTACTTACTCCATATGTGACACCATTGAAAACACATTTTTCACATTCAACAGGTTCAACACATGATCCATCCAACCGTCTGTAGCCGTCAGCACATATACATGTAAATTCTGGTGTTCCTGTCTCGCAGTTATCTGGTGGTGTATCCATTCCACATGTGTATTCACAAGCAGTGAAGTTGCTGGGTTTCTCATTAGGTTCGGTACAATCTGGAATTAACATTGTCCAAATATAATGATTTCAAAACGTATTTCTGATTCATAGATCCAATTGTCTACCTATCTAAAACTAATTCATTTAGCCTGGCAAACGCTAAATATTTGATATTCAGATACTAAAATTTGACGTTAGGAAGGGGTCTTACTTTTTTCTAGAATTTATGGAAAATTATAACTTACTGCAGTCCTGTAAGAAACACGGCTCGGTCTCTGAGGCGGGTGTAGATTGGACACATTCGGCACGAACAGTTCTTGTTCGAGTGTGTGTTCCCCATCCGCATTCTTCTGGTACTGTTTTGCCGTTGAGAGAACATTGAGACCATGGTCCCCATTCTGTACCGTTAACACCTAGAAAACAGAAATAAAACCAATGATGAACCATCCCAGATTATTAAATTTCAAGTTTGATATACAATATATCAAATGATAATGGCAAATAGAACATAGGGGCATAGGTGAAGTTTCTTTCAAGTGGGAGCCGCAGTGACACGGTAAGTAAGACGCTGGCTCGATAACATAGACATGCTGGGTTCAATGTTGGCCGAGAAAATTTCTCGGGATTTTTCGGCTTGGGTTCCACTTGTTAAGAACCTTCAAAGTTAATTTTCTATATAAAGGTAGGCCGTAGTGCCACTGTCCGGGTAAAATTTCCCTCGCATACCACACCTTCATTATACCCGTTGGTGTAGAATAGTAAGACGTTAAACCCCATTTCATTTTAAGTTACTATTGCATCTTTGTGTTATCCTTGGCTCTTATTGTAATTGTCTATGCTTTGCTGGTCTATGTTTAGATGTACCGTTTTCGTTCAATGTCATTTAAAACGTCCGCCTTCATTAGTCCAGTCGGAACAGTAAAGCAAAGTAATAGTAAAGCAGGGCGTTATACCCCATTTCATTTTATTTTATTTCTATTTGAAATGGAAAAAAAGAGAAATAGAATAAATGTACATTGTATATACTTACATAGACATGGTTCGTTATTACATTGTTCTACTACTGGGTCAATGCTGAGACAAACATTAGCTTCGTTTTGGTTGACCAAGATCTTGGGTCGTGATCGTGTTCCTACTGTTCCATTGCTTGAGCAGTTCTGGCTACAAGGTGTGTAATCGCCAAAGATGAAATCACAGCCTGTAATAAAGGAATGTATTTATGTATAATTATTTATTGACCATCACTATCTTCCGTCTAAGGTATTTCATTAACTACAGTGAATAAATGTAGTCTTCATTATCTCGGTTGGTGCAGAAAAGTAGGACGTCATTACTCAAACCCCATTTCATTCATTCATTGTCTTCCATACTTAAAACAATATGCAATGTATTATATACGTAAAAAATTTGTTAAGAAAGAGAAAAAAGAATTTATGTTTCTCGTGCAGTTTAATAAGAAATATTGTATTACTTACATGGATCTGGACCACATAATTCTGTTTCTTGTGCGTCACCAACACATGTAGCTCCGTTACATTCAGCCTCGGGTGATCCACAGATTCGGTATCTGGTCTTGTTGTAATTTCTGCAGTCCTTCGAGCAATTACTCCATTGTGTCCATGTTGACCATTGTCCATCAACTAAAATGTGCAAATACAAAACAGTTAATTCGTTTTTGTTATAAAGCTTCTCAAAACAAAGTTATCTCAACAGTTTTTATCATAAAATAATTCCAGATTAGGAAAATATATAACGATTGGTGCCTGGCGTTAACGTCTTGCTTTTAAACTGCGCTGTAATTTAAATGCTCGCGCAAACTTTCCAACTTTAAGCTGTTTGATGTAATATTTGTTTTCATTACACGTGACATGGTATATATTGTATAATATCAGACTGTATTGAACACTAATCATTTGATTACTCATTATTATTTAATATTAAATTTCACCAACATCTAATTAGCTATAAGGTTTACACGAGGCTTATCTATTATCAAATTATGTCAATTAAGAGTCATATCACCGCCAAACATTGATGGTGGGCTATTTGTTATAACTTAATGTTGACTTAATTTTGATTTTCTATTTTGCAAATTGAAATCGATTATCTTTACAGTTATAATTTTCTAGCACCCCCGTAAGATAGAATACATAATAATATGCCATATTTGATTGCACGGGCGCACAAATGGGGGTTTGTGTGTGTGTGTGCGTGTGTGTGTGTGTGTTAGGGGAGGGGCGTACCCCCCCACCCCCGCTTAGTCCAGATAGGCAAACGGGTCGATTTTGCCGAGTGGGTCGATTTGTTCGGGAAAATGGCCAGTTTGCCGTAGTCTCTTACACATTTAATCAAACCAAGATGAGACCTACTAATCAATATCCAACTGAGTCATTTAAAAATTAGGTAATGCTATACTTACTAACTACTTTTCGACCTAACTGAGGGTAATAATTGATTTTGTAATGCTGAGCGGGCCTTTTTTTAATGGCGCCCCCTTTCCCCCTTTCCCCTGGGAAAATGTTTGTGTGCCCCTGTGTGAGTGGATGTGAAAGTCATAATTCAGACTATTTTACAAGATAGTATTTTCTTATAAAAGAAATCTGTAGCCCAGTTATTTTTGTTTGAGCTTAAGAATACTATGGCACTATTCTGCTGTACATACCATCTTGTACAGCATCTGGACCACAATCAAGGGTTCCATTCTTACATTCGCTGGAAATAAAAGTTTCAAAATTAATTATATTGTCATGAAATATATGAATCGCTTTATTTCTGCCAAAATAACAAACGGTATCAGTACATCAGACGATTTCATTTGATTTATCCACAATCTGATTACATTTATTTCTTTTTTTTTTGTTATACTTTCAAGGGCCCCACTACATGAAGATCATATCGGTTGTAGTGGGATGATGCGGCAGGGGCCATAGACCCCTTTGCTTTCAATCTTAACACGTCAGACACTTGATTTATCCACCATCGAATTATTTGTCATTATAAAATTATTCGATTATACCGCTACTCTTCATTACATTGTGCTTCATGATGTATTAAAATACTCACCATTTTGTGCAGTTTTCAGAAACAGATTGACCATTTGGAAGTTCAGTACCATTTTCGAGAACACATGGGCATGGGCTCTGACAGGGTTCAGTCTCAACATCTGTTGGTTTGGGACATGTTGGGCTGTTAGAAGTTCTGTGAAAAAAATAAGTTTGAAAAAAAAAATATAGTTAATTTGTCTTGCTATATTATGTCCTTAAATCCTATAATGGATAATGAAAACAACGATTGTATTAGAACAATTCTACATCACATGTCCCAAGTCAAGAGATTTATACATAAAATATGAAATAAGGGGAATCTGATCGATAGATACTGTTGGATTTCGAAATGAGCAAAAAGACCCTACTTGGGACACGGCATTCACCAATACTATAATAACATACAAATTGTGAACATCTATCAGTTTACACCAAGAACATGGATCCTTTCACAATCTGCTAACAATACGCTTAGTTCTTTGCCTTGTGCATTTTGATTCCGCGCCTATACGTTGGTGCAATATATCCCGGTTGGAGTTGAGGCGCAGTAGTGGTATCTGTTGTCCAACATCAAGGGTTGTCTTCGGGCCCTCCGGTTTCCTCCCACTGTTAGTCCCAAAATGCGATAGTTTGTGCCGAGTTGACGTTAAACCCCATTCTATCTCTGTGTGTTGCCTTGTGCTTTACGGGTAATGATAGTTAAGCACAGTTTCTGGTAGTATGTAAAATATGTATGCACAAGACTCACCTGGAACGTGATCGTACACCTTCTGTGCCCACAGAACAGTTGCTGACACAGTCTGACCATACTGACCATTCGCCGTATACACAACCTGATCATTACAAATAAAAGACATTTATTATTTTATCAGATAAATACGATATTTATTGGGTCATTAAATACATTCATGGTCAACAATTTATCAGCTAAAAAACATACTCGGGCAGTCTATATAAGTAGAATATATCAAAATATCCACATAAGATCTAGAGTAGCATAAACACATTTCGAAAACCAAATCACATAATCCAATGCCACTCAAGTATAACATTTGTAATTGTCGAATGTATTTTTTTGCCACTTCAGACATCAACATAACAGTTGATTACTTCTGTCCCTTAGTCGCCGGTTTCCCTGGCCACAGGGATGCCGGAGCAAGACAAATTTTGCCCCCTCCCATTTTCCAACACCTGTGCAAGGCCTATGCAAATATTGGGTTTCTATAATAAACTTTGCAGATCACGATCACACGTAAACAAAACAAAATAGATATTTATGGCCCCCGGAGTTATGTAGGGTGATATGTTAACATGTAAATGGTTACAGTCGTGCAGAAAAGAAACGTTATCGCAACCTTCTTATTTGGTGGCTATAGTAGGTTACAATGATTAGGTAAAATTAAGTTAAAATGACAAAGTTGTTATAATATTATTATTCTTGGTAAACACTTGAACGTTCATTTTATAATTAATTAGTGAACCTTGAAATAATGTTAGCATTTGGTTAGCGTTTGTAACTGTTGAATGAATATATAATAAGAAAATACTTACAATCTTGGATTGGTGTACATACGTATCCGTTGAGCATATCACATTTGCTGGAATAATTAAGATTTTATTAAGCATTGGTTAAACACATATCACACACAGGATATTGCAAAACAGAGACATGTTAGCACCAATCGAAAATTACTTGCAAATAAAAGCTCTATATAACGTTCAATAGATAATGTTTGCAGGGATGTCGGATACCCACACACTCCTTCCACAAAGGTAAATATGTGGTTATTAATTTAAAAAAGTGTCCCTGGGACAAGCCTTCGGCACCCAATTTTTTTCTGGGCTAGGCTGACAGCTCCCCCTCCCCTCCCCAATATGAAATTTGTTTCGGGTTTGTATATTATTCACAGTCTTCTTAACGTTTGTTATACTAACCAGGGACTAAGTGCGTCATAGTTTCGAGTTTCAAAGCGGTTTTCAATATTATAATCAGAATCATAATGCTAAATCAGTGTCACATCGTCGACTCTGGCATGTTCCACAGAGCCCAATATAACCTGGCGGCACTGGGAGACCCCCCCCCCATACACCCCCGCACACACATACAAATATTGTTTGTTGACGGCCCGGGCGGGATCTTGTTCCTCACGCAAAATCATGTTCACCACGCCCCTGATACTGACAATGATATAATAAATGCCAAAACAGACCATGTCGATTCCCGAACACCAGAAATATGCGAATAGTGGCATAGTAAACAAAACATCACAAATAAATGTTGTTTTATAAATTATAAGCTTAAAAATAACAACGGTACGGTTGGCTGTCGACCATTTTTGAAGCGTGCAGAATAAAAGAGATGTTGTTCGAGTAACACCTACCATTCTTCACATGTTTGTGTGTTATTAGTTGAAAATCCGACTGGGTATTCGTTACCATCACTGTCGAAACATGGACATTCTTCTCTTTCCAGACACATTTGGTTGTATGTGAATCTATTTTCTTCACATCTACATGCTGGTAAGCATGTTTCATTGTTGTATACTTCTTGTGGTGTTGATCCTAGTCGCATATCTCTACATGATTGTACACTTGGTAATGAACAATTACTGTTGTAGAATTGGTTCGTTTCACATATGGCTGTAGAATAAAAACATGAAATGAAATGGGGTCTAACTTAATACTGTTCTGCTCCGGCTGGGCTAATGAAGACGGACATACGCCATGCAGTGTGCTATGGGGGAAAATTTTCCCAGGACAGCGGTGCTATGGCCTACTCTTATGTCGAATTCCAACTACCAAGGGATCTTTTACATGCACGGTTTTCCTTTCATTCGAACGACTAGACAGCTGTCCTTATCAGGCCTTCCGTCCTGCGCCACCGAGGAACTTTCTCGACCAACACCGGGCGCGAACCCGTGACCTCCAGGCTTGCCAGCCAGCGTCTTACCCATTTGGCTACCGTTGCTCCGCGGAGTAAACAAACAGTACATTCTGTAACCGGGTACAAAAGTCAGTGTTAACTACGTAATCTTCCCGAATATAGGAAAAGTGGTATCACGTTTTCAAGAAACAGCGAAAACGGGCATACTTGTGGATAAATAAGCTACACCGTATTCTTCGGTGGATTAGGCGCATGCGTATATAAGGCGCAAGGTGAGTTTGGCAGAGCTTTTCCGGGAAAAAATAAAAGTGCATGGCTTCGACGCACCTTTCTACCTGGCTTTGTGAAACACCTGTCATACCACTCGTGTTCCAAATCAAACCTTAAACTATAGTTCGTCCAATTATATATTTATATACATATGTTTTGAATGACATATCAAACTATGTATATTTTTTTTAATTGAACTTGGTAAAGCTATTGGGTAAACAGTAAACACGTGTGTAATGCCATCATTAATATTACCGATCTTAATGACGTCGTTATCATATTCAAATTATCACGGCACAATTGAAATTAAAGAAGACATGAAGGTAGCTTATGTTTATTTCGGCGAGGAAACAAAAAGAAATGAATTACAATTTGAATGGTGTACTTACGTGTTGATGGACAGGAAACTGCACAGTCTCGGCTTTCAGATTGAAGGGCTTCGGAACATACACAGCCAGCAGTATTATTACTACATGTCCTGCTTCTTGTTTGAGTCGTCTGTAGGCAGGCTGAAGTTGGGCAGTTTGAAAATTCACTCCATGTACTCCAGCATTCGGGTGTTGGTGCTATAACAGAACAAACAAAACAAATTAATATTGTTGTAGTAATGATAGCCATTCAAAAATATAATGATGAACGATGACGTCCCTTGACTGGCGTGGCGAAGACCCACTGGCATTCGTTAAACAAGTAAACTTACACTTATAGATTTTATTTATCCTAACCTTAATTGTAGAGGACTGGCAAATAAAGTAGCTAAATCTAAAGATTATTGTGGGTTCCAATGGCTTATGGCCCAGTGGGAATCTGTATAATTATATTTGTTCCCTGGACCAAATTTAACACCAAGTTTTTGGCGCCATGTCTCCGTAGGTCCCATGTATATTTATTCGGCAATGTCAGCTCTTAATATGCGTTGTTTAGGTAATTTATCCATAAGAAGTAAGTATACTTGAATTTTAGTTCACATATAGGGGATTATTTTCCAATTTAACCGATAACATCGTAATTCAAGAATCGGAATACAATGGACATGGCACAAAGTGTGTAAAATATATACACACGTTAGGTATGTTTTTTTATGGCAGTTACGTTAAAATAACAGTTGTATTAGTAAGTGCATGGGGGCATGGGGACAGCACCACACACAACAATTACACAAGACAAATCTACGGACAGGACCATTCATTATACACAGGCCCCTCAAACAATAAACGCACATATTTGATCAAGTGTATGGGTCCGGGGCTGACTGTTAGGGACATAAGAGGACACTGCTGTGAGTCCTGATCGATTATTTGCTATAAGAAAACCATTAGTAAATAACCATCAAAAAACATAAATGGGTTTATGATCAATGGTATCCTATATATGTACATACTTGAACATGGTTGTTCATTACATGGCTCGACTTCTGGTGCTGAACAGTTCGATGAGCTACCAGCGGGTTGTGCATTACGTGTTCGGGTTCTTTCTCCGCCTCCACAGTTCTTTGAACAGTCACTCCATGGTGCCCATTCTGGACATTCGCAATCCATGACAGTACATTTTAGTGTGCCGTCCATTTCACAAGTGCTGAAAAATACATCACATCATAAAGAACACACTGGCTTTACCAAATAAATTTCGAAAGCGGAGTTCAATTAAGGTAAAACAGAACAATACGGCAATGTGGGATAAATGACTTTCTTCAATTGGGGGGAGAGAATGGTCTAACATATGCGCTTTAGATCATAGTGTATGTCAATGAATCAAGTGGCGTGGTTTGTACGTTTGTACGTGATAATTCCATGATAGTTAATAGTGAGAGCTATGTCTCATTGGCCCACATATGACTAGCCCACATGTGATATATGTCACAGAGTTAACTAGATATTTAACGAAATCTCTTCAAGACATTAAAGACTACAAGAATACTTGGAACGTAGGTGTAGCCCAGATGTTAAAAAAGAGTTGAAGGTCTGTTAATTAAATACAATCAAACTCACCAGTTAAGGCACTGACCAACGACAGTAACTCCTGATGCCAACATCTGTCCATTTCCAAATCGTACTAAAGTTTCGTTATTCTTTACAACCTGACCTTGATCGTTGACCAAATAACCCAACTCGTTGTTAGCCGGCAGGAAGGTCAGTTCAGCAATAATATCAGCTTCGTTCAAACTACATTGACAGCTATTACATGCTTCGGTTTCGACATCGGGAGTGCTGTTATCTCCACAACATGTGGCACAATTCCTTATGAAACAAATAAAGAAACAATGTAACATTCAATAGAATGAAATGTGTATGACGCTTCGTTAAAATTATACTCGACCTCAAAATCATTCGCTTAAAAACTGATTGGTAGAATACAATTAACGAAACAAAATCAAAACCCCAGAAAGTATAAACAACCCCAAGTAATCAAAACTCGCAATATCCCGGTCTTCTTTTCAGTGTAAGAGAACAACATTCACCCAATCAATACGTTCTCTAATTCAAACAAATCAATTCTGGAACTTATGATTGTAAATGGCGAGAAGCTTTGCTGAGATCGGGGTCTGTGGTAGATCCCCTCTTTGATTTTTTTCTTTTCTGAAACCAAATCAATATAATCACAGCAGTGAACAAACCTATTCTAGAAATAGCAAAATAAGTCTAGAATAACCCCCAGCTCATGCCCTTCATTATGGGTATACACTGTGGCAGTATTATCCTCACCTTGTTCGTGATCGTGTACCGTTCATGCATGGTGTACATGGTCCCCATTCTTCCCATGGTCCGAATTCCCTTACACAGCCTGGAAAATAAACATCAATGTATATCAGCTTTATGCCCATCAAATTCACTTACATTAATTTGATTATATTAATATAAGATGTCAAGTTTTAAAGTAGCGTGTTAAGAACCAAGTTGGACCAGTTGGGTATCAAAGTCGCACCTGTTCGACTAAAATGTTTATCATTTATGAATTAAATCGTAACCTATTATACAATTAAATATGTATGAATTAAATCGTAATCTATCATACAATACACCCCTCTACATATTTATTATGTATGAATTAAATCGTAATCTATTATACAATATATCCCTCTACAAATTATTTATGTATGAATTAAATCGTAATCTATTATACAATATATCCCTCTACATATTTATTATTTATGAATTACATCGTAACCTATTACACAATATCACCTCTCTATATATGTATTATGTATACATCAAAATAACGATGCCCCATTGACATTTGTAGATAAAATGTCACATTTCTCACGGTTTAATCCATGCTAATATGTACTCAGATTAACTATTTACCTTTTTATATTAAGAAAAACAAAATCAAAATACCAACATGATCAGATTTAAAAGAGGTCATTAAACTGTCGGAGCATCGATATCCCTCGGTTTATTTACATAACGAGCAGCATCGATGAAATTTCAATTTCACATATCGTTGTAAATATTGAAGGGAATCGAATCATTTTTGAACAGATATCCCTATTAAAGACCAATTTTTCACAATATTGTAGTTTACACCGGGCCTGAAGATCTTCTATACAATGTCACCCCTCTGCATATATATTTAATAGGAAGAAAATGGCTTGCATGGCAGTAATCTAAAGTCGTTACGTAAAAGTTACCACCTCACTGGTTTAAATAGTTGGACTTGTTTACATATTTAATATGGATTTAGCCAACTGGCAACCAGGAAGGAGTAGCAAGTACCAACCTGTGGGTGATGATGGCGTTCCTTGTGTTGCTGGTAATGTAGGTGAAGTAACTGCTGGTGGTCCTGAAATATTCATTAAGAAATACATCGTAAATTATCTAAGTTTTAGTCGACAGAATTAAATAAACTTGTTAATATAACATACTCAAAATATGTAAGCTATGTGGACTAACCAAAGAAGAAAAAGCAAGTGTTTTAAAAAAAGAAAGCATACGACTCTTGACACTTTCAACAGTAAAATGAAGTGACAGTTCGACACGGGTTTCCGAAGCTGAAGATAATGGAAAGATATAATCCAAGACCCTTAGCCGAATAACCAGTATGGTGGTTAAAGTTTGCTATAAATACAAAATTCGTATATGACGCCATGTGCGCGGCATCTAAAGGTTACAGGCCTATTTACCAGACCAGTAGTTGAAATACAGGAACTTTCGATTATGCATTTGACCAATCGGAGCAGGAGGTTCAGATGATTTAACAAAATCACTGATAATACAGTACATATTATTTAGAATGTATGTATTCCTTACCTGTAGGTGAGGTTCCTGCTGTACCAGCTGTTTCTAAAATATATAAAATAGAACATGTTAAGTAATACATATCTGCATAATTTTAATGCATCACAGGTCTTTAGCACTTGCAGGAAATCGAGGAACCCATGTGGTGAGATGATTTCATAAAACGATAAATATGGAACAAGTTCACTTTGTATTTCTCGTCCATTGGTTTAATATTTATATCAGTTCAAAATGAATTTACATCACAGTTCTCAAATGAATAGCAGGAGTATTTTCTCCCGAAACATCCGTTTTGTGTGCACGTCAATGTATACACCATACGACCCTATATTGCCCCAACAAAACGACGAAAACTATCCAGTTCTTATTCCCAGAGAAACTATTTGAAATTATATACCTTCGAAGCAGGCTCTGACATCAATCTTGAAAACAGTAGGTTGGTCTACAGATGTTGGTGTTACTTCGATTCTGATATTTTCGGCTACTGTTCCAGCTGGGAATGAGGCTTTAAGGCTAGGTAATGATAAATCAGCCTTAAAAATAAAGCAAAACACAAGTTAAAATACACATCAAGTAAGAATCGCGATAAAACACATGTCAAGAGAAACAATGCTATAGTCAACAAGCCCACAGCGAGGCTGATGTCCCCCACCGGAATCCCAAAATAAATAGATGACACATTTTAATTTATCGCACATTTATTTTTTTCAAAAGTATCAAGCAATCAAACTGATTATCAACTATACACTAAGTTTCATCACTCTCTATCAGATAGAATCAAAGTTATCTGGTCCTAAAGCATTGAGTCTGCTTAGCTTTAGCTCGAAATGTTAATCATTGGACTCACTCAAGACATTCACCTAATGAACATCTACATCAAATTTAAACATTCTAACTCAATTAAAAGCTCAGTTATTATGTTCCAAAGTCTTGACCAGTCAAATTGCTTATCATTCCTCAGCCTAAGCAGAAAATTCCCATCATCGAACTTAGTCAAGGTAATGATATAATGAATCTATACTCCTAGTTTCATCACTCTCACTTAGTTATAACCAAAGTTATCGTGCACCAAAACATCAAACAATCAGATTGCTTATCTCTTGATGAACTCCATCAAGGCATTGACCTAATAAACACTTACCCCAAGTTTGAAAATTAGTCAAGTTATTGATGTAATGAAACTATACACCAAGTTTCATCACTCTCACTTAACTAGAACTAAAGTTAACGTGTCACAAAGCATCAACCAATTAAATTGCTTATCTCTGCTTACCCTAAGCAGAAAATGCTCATCTTCGAACTCCATCAAGGCATTCACCTAATAAACACCTACAACAAGTTTGAACATTCTAGCTCAGATAGTTATTGTGTTTCAAAAAGTGTGACGGACAGACGGACAGACAGACAGACATACAGACAGACATACGACTCCATTTTAATAGCCCCCTGCTTTCTTCGGAAGGCGGGAGACAAAAAAGTAAATCAATTGGGCATTGATATAGGTGGAGTTCGATGATGCTTGTCGCCTTTTGGAAAGCTGTTGAATCAAAACCTCTGTTGAACATGTTTGTGATATGCAGTATTAGTTGAGTACTGTTTTTCACAAATATCTAGTTAAGACAGAGAAATTCACGTGTATATATAAGCACTGTGGTACATGTCGAGATATTACAAATTGATATTTAGCTTTACTTGGTGCATTTTGAACGTGAACCACCATTTGGTGATGACCTAGCGGAATGTGAGCCACTAGCCTCGTATATTTAACCCCAAGCATCGCCATCGTCTATTGTTATGTACCCAGATGTCGGTGTCATTCCGATACTGAGAACAGGAATAAACGGAATAAAAATACAGCTGACACTGCCAGTCTTTGTCTGTAATAATAATTGCATACAATACATAGAGCCAGAACGATGTGTTAAAAATATCTTGAGGTACAGTAACCCCCAATTTCACGCGAGTGCATTAGATGTACGTTTATCACACTGCCAGCCGTTATTTGTAGCAAATACTTGCATACATTACATCCAACCAGAACAGGATCTTGAAGTACAGTAACCTCCAATTTCACGCGAGTGCATCAGATGTACATTTGGCACAAAAAATCCAGCTATCCCTCAACCTTCTCTGCGAAGTTCCACTCGGTGATCGGTCTAGGCTTCTATGCTATTGGGAACTGAATAGATTTCGTATGTGATCAGATATTATGTAATTATTCTTGTATTACAGACCGTTTAATTGTGTGTTACGCATGCGTGCCATTCAAAAGGGGCCCCGCGATTGTAGTCAAGCCCAGGGCCCCGCTTCGGTTAAGCTGGGTTTTGTACATAAACACACATAACATCAAGACGAAGCAAAATGTACTTACTGGGTTCAAGTACGTAGCTTCTGTTTCTGAACCGCCAGTTGGAGTTACAAATACTCTAATAGATGCAACATTCTGTGGTGATACAAGCTGCACTGATTTAAGTTCTACCTCTTCATTTGTGACTGGTGTCAAATCAATTGTTACATCTGGTGTACTTCCAGCAGGGAAGGTGGCTGGGTCTGTACTTGTTGGTCTCAGGTTTTCTACATCAGTTGCTGGCACAGTTGTAATACTTGAAGCAGGGATAATAGCAGGATTATCCATTCCATTTACTTCAGCACAGACAACTGTAATTCGAGGAAAAAGCATGATCATGAAAACATGAACTTGGAGTAACTAGTTTTCTATTAGTTTATATTGAATTGAATGTATTCAAATTTACAGAATATAAAGTTAATAATGTAAACAATAGCTAATACACGATATTTAGAATTTATTATCACCTACCTGTAGGTGAGGTTCCTGCTGTTCCAGTTGTTACTACAAGAGAGAGAGAGAGAATGTTAGTTTGTGTATTTTGAGTCGAGATATCCTTTGTGGTATGAAAATGATTCCTGCTAATTAAATGATTTCTAAAGGCCAGGATTTGCCGATATCTCAGTTTCAATGTATGAAAGTTAGATTAAAGATTTTCAGTCCACAGTAATTTTAGAATATATCATATACTCACCTACGAAGCAAGCGTGTACACTAACATCAATGTCAACTGGTTTGGTAGTGTCTGTGGGTTTTATCTCTACCAAAATATCTGTGACAACTACTTCCGGTGGGAATGTAAGACTACCGTCTGAAGGATCATCCTGTTAGCATATATAAAAAAGACAAGATATTCAAAAGCTATCGAACATTGCTATTCCTAAAAGTAAATATTTCGTGGTATCTTCCAAACATAAATACCGAAAGAATTATAAAGAATAAAATTTATTTAAAATTGTAACATATCTGAATTTGGACTTAAGCAGCGGCATTTCTGAATTGTTAAAGATCCGAATACTTACATCAGTTGATGTAAGTAGGGTCCAAGGTGCTGAAGGTCCCGTACGTCCAAATACTCTAAATGTGTCGACATTTTCCTTGACTGGAAGATTTACTTCTGACAGATCAACGGGTTCACCATCAGTAATTTTCAATGTGATGTTGGTAGGCGTGTCCGATGGGTTAATTGTAAATGGATCATCGCCTGGTCTCAGATCTGCTGGGTTATCCGTCGATGGGAAGCCAGGTTCTTGTTCAAGGTAAGTATCAGGTATAACTGTTGGGCTTTCCATTCCTTCTGTTACAACACATCGTGCTGGAAAAAAGACATTGCTTGATTGCTAATAATTAAAGAAATTATAGGATAGAAAGATAAAATATATGTTTATGATATTTCAAGTTCAATATTTAATTACGTTTACATTGTTATGATTTATCGTTTAAACATGACTGTATACATTAACTTACGTGTAGTTGTTCCCACTGTAAATAATAATAAAAATAAATATTTTAATAGAATATTAGAATCGTTTACGAAAGCTTGAGTAATTCAAACAAGGCTGCTTTAAATGACTGGTTAATCTCTATCAAACTCTGGTACTATAGCTTGCTTATACAAGAGCAACAAAAGTATTAAACATTCCAAATTATATAGCAAGATGTGTAAAATTGAATATATCTGCATATGTTTTTATAGTACAAGCCAAAAAATATTTTCGAAGAAAATTACGATTTTTATCGTTTAATAGATGTTAAGAGGTCATCTTAATATAAACTAATGTCGGATACAGAACAGAAAAAGTTGAATATATATAATTACAGGTTGGTGATGTTCCAATTGCCACTGTAGGTGATGTTCCAATTGCCACTGTAGGTGATGCACCGAGTCCGGCTGTTTCTTAAATAATTAATAAACAACATGTTAATTACAGTAGGTGATTGTTTCTAAAAAAATTAATATAGAACATGTCAAGTAATCCATATCTGTTATATTGTACTGCAATAACTCGCAATTGCAGGAAATTGAGGAATCCATATGGTTATTTGATTTCATAAAACGATAAATATGGAACAAGTTCACTTTGTTTTGCTCGTCCATTGGTTATATATTTATATCAGTTAAAAATGAATTTACATAACAGTTCTCATTTGAATAGCGGGAGTATTTTCTCCTGAAACGAACGTTCTTCGTGCACGCCAATGTGGAGATCCGACATCATAAGACCCTGCATTGCCCAAACGACGAAAACTATCCAGTTCTTATTCCCAGAGAAACTATCTGAAATTATATACCTTCGAAGCAGGCTCTGACATCAATCTTGAAAGAAGTAGGCTGGTCTACAGATGTTGGTGTTATTTCGATTCTGATATTTTCGGCTACTGTTCCAGCTGGGAATGAGGCTTTAAGGCTAGGTAATGATAAATCAGCCTTAAAAACAATGCAAAACACAGGTTACAATACACATCAATTAGGAATCTCGATAAGACACATGTCAAGAAGAAACAATGCTATAGGCATAGTGAAGACAGAGAAATTCCCCTCTATATATAATACCTGTGGTACGTGTCGAGACATTACAAGTTGGGCCTGGAACCATCATGTGGGCCTTTAGCCTCTTATATCTAACCCCAAGCCTCGCCACAGTCTATTGTTATATATCCATAAACGGAATAAATATATTCTGGTACCGTCAGCTGACACTGTCAGTATTCGTTTGTAGGAATAATTGCATACATTACATCCAGGCAGAACAATATGGAAAAATATCTTGAGGTACAGTAACCCCGGATAAACACACATAACATCAAGACGAAGCAAAATGTACTTACTGGGTTCAAGTATGCAGCTTCTGTTTCTGAACCGTCAGTTGCAATTACAAATACTCTAATAGATTCAACATTCTGTGGTGATACAAGCTGCACTGATTTAAGTTCTACCTCTTCATCACTGACTGGTGTCAAATCAATTGTTACGTTTGGTGTACTTCCAGCAGGGAAAGTAGCTGGGTCTGTACTTGCTGGTCGCAGGTTTTCTACATCAGCTGCTGGCACAGTTGTAATACTTGAAGCAGGGATAATAGCAGGATTATCCATTCCATTTACTTCAGCACAGACAACTGTAATTCGAGGAAAAAGCATGATCATGAAAACAGGAGCTTGGAGTAACTAGTTTTCTATTAGTTGATATTAAAGGAGCTAAATCGCTAACATTTGGGACCTAGAAATTGACACAAGTGGGTCGGAACTCATATAATACTGTAATGGTTTCCGTTTTTACTCTAATTTCAAATCAGTTATGTTCCGCGAAATAAGCCAACAATCTCAATCGAATGCAAATGTCTAGCGCCTGGTTATTCCAGTCTACATACGCCGTTTAGTTTGGTGCAATATGTCTAGCCTCGTTCCTCGAGTCTCTTGCTAGAACTGGGACTGAAACGCATTATGGTACATGATTCGTGTACCAATGGTAAAATGTTTATTTTGTCTTAAATATTGGATATCAGAAGCCCATCTTTTCCCGGTAAGATCACAGCATCAATGTTGATTTAAATTGACAAATAATTTGTGTTTTCAATGTTGAACATTTTGGATGATATTGAGTTAGAGACTTAGCTACTTTAAATGTCATGTGGTTAAATTTACAGTATATCAAGTTAATAATGTAAATTATAGTTAATATATGATATTTAGAATTTGGAGTACCTTATGCAGCACATACAAAATAACAGACTGTAATCACTTGATCACAATAGCAAAGCAATATCAGAAATTTTGCACTGTATTAAATCCTGCAGAATAAGTATTTAAATAACAAAACAATATATACTGGGCAATTAATTACCTGTTGGTGATGTTCCTACTTCGGCCGTTGGTGATGTTCCTACTTCGGCTGTTACTAAAACCAAGCAGAAAATCAGTTATTTTGGTACCAAATACAATGTATCTGTGTCAATGCAATTATATTTAAGATAAAGTTAATTTAAAATTTCTCCGCTGAAATACAAAGACAACTAAATCAATCCGGCTCTTACCCTCGAAGCATGCTATTATCTCCAGATCCACAGACACATCAGTAGTGTTATCAGTTGGTGTTATAACAATGCGGATACTTCTAGCTTGAGTTCCAGCAACCAAATTAATTGTTGGGTTGTTACCACTGGTTTGTGACTGAAAAAAACCCATCATAAATAACTATCATCCAACTTAACGAAGAAGAACTTATCGTACTTTCCAATAAAATATTTCTCAAATCTCATCTTGCTCAGGCAATTAATAGAACACAATTTTTATGGCAAATAGTATCAGCAGAGTTTTAACTGTTTAATAATAAAAAAACTTGATGTTCCATCCTTTTAAATAAAGAAGAATTTCCACATATAAGATAACACATTTCTCCATTTCAGTCTCAGCTATCAATTGACAAATAATCACTACCGTGCACATCGTGTACTTACGTCTGGTGTCGTTACTGCAGGCGATTCACTTCCATCAGCATCAGTAATGAATACTGTCACAGATCCAACATTTTCGGCGTTTGGTAGACGAACGGATACAAGTTCTACAGCATCGTCGCTATTAGAAACCAAATCTATTGTAATTTCTGGACTAGTACCTGCCACGAAGACGGCCTTGCTCTCGCCTGGTCGAAGATTTTCAGGACTATCGACGTTTGGAGCCGAGATGCTGGTTATGGGAATAAAAGCTGGACTATCCATACCCTCGAGTCTTGTGCAGACAGCTATAAAAGAACACGATACAGTTTATAAGAAATGAACTGACTGTTCCACTAAAAATATGTTATACAATACCACCCATTTCCTCATTTTTAGTCGAAGGCAAATCTCTTAATTACATTTCCATAACATTAATCTGAAGTTACATAACCGAATGTGATACCCTAGGCAAAAGCTACCATCAGAGTTAGCAGGTCAGTTGTTTAAATACTTGGACTTGTTAACATATCTAATATGGATTTGGCCAACTGGCAAACCAGGAAGGAGCAGCATGTACATACCTGTGGGTGGTGGTGGTGTGCCCTGTGTTGCAGTTGATGATTCAACTTGCACTGGTAATGTAGGTGAAGTAACTAGTGGTGGTCCTAAAATATTCATTCAGACATAAATCTTAAAATCTTAAACATATTCATTAAGACATCAATCGTAAACTATCTACTTATTTTCAGTCGAAAGAATTAAATGAAATCATTAATGTAAAATACTCAAAATATGTAGGATATGTAAACTAACCAAAGAAGAGTTATCAAGTGTTTTAGAAAAGTAAGCATATCCTGCATCAAGAACGACTCCTATCAATTTCAACAGTAGAATGAAGTGCCAGTTTGGACATGGGTTTTCGAAGCTGAAGATATTAGAAATAGATAACACAAGGCCACCGGCCGAATTACCAGTTTTGTGGTTTAAGTTTGCTATAAATACAAAATTTAAACTGGTCGGTGTTCTTCTACAGGGAATCAAAATTTGACGCCATGTGCGCGGCACACAAATGTCACACACATATTTACCAGATCAGCAGTTGAAATACAGAAACTTGCAATTATGTATTTGGGTAATTGAAATATAGGAAATGACTGCCTTTACTTGTAACAGGCAAGGGTAGATGATTGAACAAAATCACTGATAATACAGTACGTATTATTTAGAATATATTTATTTTCCTACCTGTTGGTGAGGTTCCTTCTGTACCAGTGGTCACTGTAAAAGGAGAAGTCATTGTATATTTGTATTTTGTATGTTTGTGTTTGAAATTAAAGATGGCAAAATAAAACTACATTTTTATATCGCGGTGAAAACGTTAGCATAAAAATGTAGTTTTATTTTGCCATCTTTAATTTCAATTATATATTACCAGCACCATGGACCCTATATATATATATATATAGAGAGAGAGAGAGAGGGGGGGGGGAGAGTGAGCGGGAGGGAGAGAGAGAGAGAGAGAGAGATATATAAATGCTTTATACAGGTCAGGTTTATAGCACAAATGAGGAAGGTTGATACTCCTTTACAAATTTGGTGGTCCACTTTAAGTTCAGAATATAGGAGATACTCACCTACGAAGCAAGCGTGTACACTAACATCAATGTTAACTGGTTCGGTAATGTTTGTGGGTGTTATCTCTACCAAAATATCTGTGACAACTACTTCCGGTGGGAATGTAAGAATACCGTCTGAAGGATCATCCTGTTAGCATATATAAATAAACACAAGATATTCAAAAGCTATCGAACATGGCTATAACTAAAAATAAATATTTCGTGGTATCGTCCAAACATAAACACCAAAGGAATTATAAAGAATAAAATGCATTTGAAATTGTAACATATCTGAATTTGGACTTAAGCAGCGTCATTTCTTAATTGTTAAACATCCGAATACTTACATCAGTAGATTCAAGTAGGGTCCATGGTGCTGAAGGTCCCGTTCGTCCAAATACTCTAAATGTCTTGACATTTTCCCTGACTGGAAGATTTACTTCTGACAGATCAACGGGTTCACCATCAGTAATTTTCAATGTGACGTTGGTAGCCGTGTCCGATGGGTTAATTGTAAATGGATCATCGCCTGGTCTCAGATCTGCTGGGTTATCTGTCGATGGGAAGCCAGCTTCTTGTTCAAGGTAAATATCAGGTATAACTGTTGGGCTTCCCATTCCTTCTGTTACAACACATCGTGCTGGAAAAAAAGACAATACTTGTTGATTGCTAATAATTGAAGACATTATAGGATAGAACGATAAAATATATGTTTATGAAATTTCAAGTTCAATATTTAATTACGTTTACATTATTATAATTTATCGTTAAACATGAATGTATACATTAACTTACGTGTAGTTGTTCCCACTGTAAATAATAATAAATAAATATTTTAATAGAATATTAGAATCGTTTATGAAAGCTTGAGTAATTTAAACAAGACTGCTTTAAATGACTGGTTAATCTCTATCAAACCCTAGTACTATAGCTTGTTTATACAAGAGCAAGAAAAGTATTAAACCTTCCAAATTATATATTAAGATTGGTAAAATTGAATATATCTGCATATGTTATTATAGTACAAAAAATACAGTCTGATACAGAAAAGAAAAAGCTGAATATATATAATTACAGGTTGGTGATGTTCCAATTGCCACTGTAGGTGATGTTCCAATTGCTACTGTAGGTGATGTACCGAGTCCGGCTGTTTCTAAAATAATTAATAAACAGGATGTTAGTTACAGTAGGTGATTGTTTCTAAAATGATCAAAACATAACATGTCAAGTAATAACTTGGATGCATCACGGGTCTTTAGCACTTGCAGGAAATCGAGGAACCCATGTGGTTAGTTGGTTTCATATTGCCCGTCCATTGGTTTAATATTTATATCAGTTCAAAATGATTGAGTATTACAGTTCTCATTTGAACGACAGGAGTGCACCATACGACCCTACATTGTCCCAATCAGTCGACTATTTAATATTATATACCTTCAAAGCACGCTCTGACATCAATCTTAAAAGAAGTAGGCTGGCCTGAAGCGGTTGGTGTTACTTCGATTCTGATTTTTTCGGCTACTGTTCCAGCAGGGAATGAAGCTTTAAGGCTAGGTAACGATAAATCAGCCTTAAAAACAATGCAAATCACAGGTTAAAATACACATCAATTAGGAATCTCGAAAAGAAACATGTTGAGAAAGACAATGCTATAGACAAATTAAAATTAATTGGGCAGTGATGTAGGTGATATTTGGTTGTGGCTTGGATAAACATTGTGGGGGGGGGGGGGGTAGCCTCTTATATTTAATCAAAAGTCTCGCCACTGTCTATTGTTATGTATTCAGATGTCGGAGTCATTCCGATACTGAGTTCAGGAATAAACGGAATAAACATACAGCTGACATTGTCAGTCTTTGTCTGTAGCAATAATTGCTACACCAAGCCAGAACGATGTGTACATAAACACACAGAATATCAAGACGAAACAAAATGTACTTACTGGGTTCAAGTATGCAGCTTCTGTTTCTGAACCGCCAGTTGGAGTTACAAATACTCTAATAGATTGAACATTATCGGGCGATACAAGCTGCACTGATTTAAGTTCTACCTCTTCATTTGTGACTGGTGTCAAATCAATTGTTACATCTGGTGTACTTCCAGCAGGGAAGGTAGCTGGGCCTGTACTTGCTGGTCTCAGGTTTTCTACACCAGTTGCTGGCACAGTTGTAATACTTGAAGCAGGGATAATAGCGGGATTGTCCATACCATTTACTTCAGCACAGGCAACTGTAATTCAGGGAAAAGGCATGAACATTAAAACTGAGAAGTGGCGAACATATTTTCTTTTAGTTGATGACAGGAAATGGCTATCAAGTACATGACCATGGGAACACTATTGATAATCAACTGTTATTTGCAATGATGGGGACGAATTTGCTGTCGATCTGTCTTTTTATGATCTTTACCGAGATCCATGACTGTGTGAGCGAGAGAGAGAGATGACCGAATATATTCTCCACGGGAAGTACGGTGTTGATAACATGTAACGGTCGCCAAAACATAAAAACCGGAGTTAATCTAGATGAAATCACGGAATTATTTGGTCGTTATTTCAGATTCTTACTTATTTGTTGTTTTTCTTAGTAGAATAAAAATTAAATCAATAATAAGTTTGTGTGTTTGGTAATAACGAAAATCTAGCTAGATTTTGACAAAATAAAGCAACAACAAAACCCCCCAAAACAACCAAAAACCACCGTCCCCAATTCTTTTTAAAGGAACATTTTTTTTTGTTGTGTGTGACCTTATGTTTATCTTATACCACGTTCAAGCTCAAATGTTGAAGGACGTTTACACTGTTTTGATTTATGGTTGAAATTAAATATATTTGTTAATATAAAATATTGAAGTGTTATCAAGTGTCAACTGTCTAGTGTCTGCTACCATATGTATTTTAATGATTAAGTTGGTGTTCTAGAACAAGTTAAGCACACGCCGTCTTATTTACGACAGACAAAGGTTTGAGCAGAGTTGCATACACACCGGGTAAAATACTAGGGCGTGTTAAAGAGTTTTCTGTAAATGTGACCGATTCGTATACAAGGAAGGAATAACTTTATAATTAGCCAGGTTTAACAACCTTCATACCATGTAAATTTAGTATCTAAGTTTGCCGGAATACATTATTTTCAGTGTATGTGTATAACTTATATAAATTCGTATATATACATGTGCGGCATTTTAGTATATGTTTCAAATAAGGTTTACAAACCTGTAGTTGACACAAATGGAGTACTGCTTGGTGGTGGAGCTAATGTAGTAGTCGTTGATGGCTGTGTTGTTCTCTTCTCGGTAGTAGATACAGCTAAGATAAGATTTTAAAAACACACATAATTAAATCAAATTTAATGAATTCTGAGTTGTCTATATTCTGAATACTAATAGATCAACCAATACCCTAGTTTCGTTTGGTTTTGACATTGTTAATTCACTCATACAACCGATAAATATATGAAAGGTTCTTTTGGTTTTGACCTTATTAATTCGTGGATATATCAACGATCGATAAATATATATAATGTTTATTTTGTTCTGATCGTCACTCCTAAATCAACAACTAACAACTGCAATAAATATTCATTTCATTTGTGTTCGTGACATCGATGAAAACTATCAGAAAAAAGACGCGTGGCCGGTGTTTCGAAAAGCATATATAAGTTTAGTCCAAGTGTATTTCCATTGTCTGGATGTTGAAGTCTCTAGAATAGTTTGCCTATGGACGAACACATTAAACTCACGCTGTCAGTTTACAGTTAACTCAGCTTGAGTTCAGACACTGAGTTGACCTAAAAACACGAAGTATACTTCGAGAATTTCCATTCAATAAAATTGAGAAGATTTATTTAGTCTTTTGTGTGTGTGACACGTGAGAAGCGGATTAGAACTTGATTCCAAAATAGCATATTAATTTTTGAATATGGCAGCCATTACCGGTATAGATCTATTCTTGATGTAGATAGTTCTCTGTATTCAGAATGATCAAAGAACTCAACAAGGTTATCACACTCGTGAATACTTATCGCTAACAGTTATCTATGTGGAACTTGGAAGTTCAATGGACACCTAAACCCATTTGGTATTAAACGAAATAAAATGGGGTTTAATGTCCTGCTGTTCTGCACTGACTAGACTAATGAAGATGGACATACGCCATACAGTGTGATATGAGGGAAAATGTGCCCGGACAGCAGCACTACGGTCTAATCTTATTTTGAATTCCAACTGTCAAGGCTTCGTTTATGTGCACGCCAATGTGAACATAGATATCGGTTTTCATTCCACCAACGACTAGATATCGTTCCTTGTAAGGCTCTCAGTCCCACAACACTAAAATAATATTTAGGTTAGGCCCCTATTGTCCTATTAACACTACTATATTTCGATGAAGCAAAACTGAAAATATTATCATTTTGTATTCCATAACGTCAGCATAAACAAAGGCAATAATAAGTATACCAAGTTATCTAAAAATAATAAGTGGCATTTTATCAAATATTCAAGATAACAATTGACTAGAGTTTTAAAACTTAAATTAACAAAAGATATACGGATGCTAAACACCATATACAACCTCCACCAAAAGCCATTAATTTATAATACAAAGAAAAAAAATATACAATATTATAAATAAAGAATAAATCTCGCCTGACTGTCCCTTTAATGTTATGTCTTACTGATATACAAGTCTAAAAAATAGGACCTATATCCCTGTGTATCATTTCCGTTTCACTATCAATCTATGTTAATCTATGTCTCGACACAACTTCAAACAACCCCCTATACCCACAACACCCCACATACACTCCCTCCCCACGCACACACACACACACATACATACATAAATATAAAGTATAAAATTATAATATGGTGTCTTCTGTTTAGGTGAATTTAATCTCTATTTCTACGTTATTCAAACAGTACTCACTTGAAGTAGAAGATAATATTGTACTAGCTGTAATAAAGGGAGAATATGAATGAGACGTTGTTTCATTTCCCGAACAAATGTATGCGAAATTATAGACAAATTGAAATTATAAGAACACTACACGAATTTGACATTTAATTAGTTACCGCTTTATCTAAAATTAGAATTTTCTTTTATGATTTCAAAGCTACGCTTGAAAGCCACATTACATAAAAGGACAACCAGCCGAGAGGAAATTTATCTTGAAATACACAGTATTAGATCAAATAAGGAAATTCATAACAAAACTTGGCGAAAAACAAGAAAATGGAACGCAACAGAAATACGTTGCGATTATTCACATGTAAATGAAATATTGTATTGGATTCAATATGTAACAGTAACTATTTTAAAATGAGAAATGAGAAATTCTAACGAACAGGAACTAAAACTATAATGTTTGCTTAAAAAAAACCAAAACAAATTCACCAAAAAATAAAAAATAAAAAAAAAACCCAAAAAAAACCCCCAAAAAACAAAACAAAAAAAATTCAAACGTTTGTTCATAGCGAATATGTCTAACAAAAAAAAAAGAAAATATGCCCTTGTAAGAACAATGTTGTAAAACAGAAATGACGAATTAATGTCACTTAATCACTGTAAACTAGAAAGAGAACGTACCTTGGGTTGCTGTAGGAGAAGTTATTTTTTCGGTTGGGGATGTTGGGGCTGATGGGGAAAAAAAACAAGACAAAGTTAGTTTAATGTCAATGTAGAATTCATGAAACATGTCATGGTTTATATTAAGTTTTTAAACTTCGAATACGGCCTTATTAGGTTTCTTGCTTGGGGATTACTACCTATCAATTCCGGCATTCTATAACTAATCGAACGACACATCATAACGCTTAAAATAGATTCATTAACAACTTAAATTATATGATTTCGTGAGAAAACAAAATTAATAGTTAAACAGATTCTTAGGCGAAGTTAGAGATCCTTGTTCTGTAAATGAAATTGAGAATATGGTTCAAATCTTTTCGTAGATATTGAGTAACCTTAAACCAATTATTATATACAAATTATACACTGCTGTGGTATCAACAGATAAACAAACAGATAATAAAACGTATTTGTTGTCTTTATTTATCTAATTAGTAAACTTCTTAATAGTCATAAACATAGAAGTTTCAAATTATGTAAAACAATTCATGAGAAGGGGAAATCATGGGCGATAATCCGACTGTTAATGTCTAGAATAGTTAATGATATTCAGTGGATGGGTTTAGTAAATCATCTAAACGGTACAGAGTTATGATCTATGAAACTATGCTATATGAATGATTAAAGAACTAGTCATTACATATACATATCAAATATGGTTACATCATGTAGAGGAAGTACCAGGCTTATCAGTCCGGTCAATTACCTGGCGGTGATGCACCAGGTGTAGGAGCGGTAATTGGTGTGGTATAGGGCGTTACAATTGTCGATGTTTCGGGGGATGTTGCAGTTTGGGATGCCCTTGTTGGTGGAGCTGTTGGGGATCTCCCAGCGGAAGTAGCACTGGTTGATATTTGAGGCGGCGGAGTAGTGGGTGATGCTGGTGAAACAGTTTGGGATGTTAGAGTTGGTGGAGCAGTTGGGGGTGTTCCAGGCGTTTGAGCAGGTGGAAGAGATGTTGGTTGTGGTGATGATGGAGGATACACTGTCGTTGGTGATGTTCCAGGTGCCGGGGCAGTAGGTGATGTTGTGGGCAGTGGGGTAGTTGGTAATGTTATAGGATGCACTGTAATTGGCGATATTCGTGATGGTTGGGCATAGGGAGATGTTCCAGATATGAACCCAGTTGGTGAAGTTACACGAAGCCCAGCAGTAGGCGAAGTACCAGGTGCTGTGGACGAAAATGGCTCTGTTTATTCAATATTATGAAGAGAGCAGTTAATTCTTTTTATCTGTTTATAGTTTTCTATTAGTTGATATTGAATTCCATGTAGTCAAATTTACAGAATATGAAGTTAATAATGTAAACTATAGCTAATACACGATATTTAGAATTAAATTCAGGGAAAAGGCACGATCACGAAAACAGGAACTTGGAGTAACTAGTTTTCTATTACCGATAAACCCTTTTAAATATCATCACACCTAATTATTCAGATATCACTTTTCAGGTTCATCAAACCTACAAGAGGCCTCAAGTAGTTTGCGGGAAAAGTTCCGGGCGCCATTGGCGAAGTTCTTGGTGCTGGATATATAATTGATTTGTTTTTCAGGCTTGGACTGCTGAAATTAAAGTGCTTGACTGAAAATATAAGCTGGGCCTCGAAGAAGTGTAACTGTCAAGCACTTTAGCAATATTATCCATTGCTTCTTTGTGTAAATAGACTACACCAAGAAAAACAATATCCCCCAATTCTGCTTTATGTAAATAGACTAAACCAAGAAAAAAAATAATTGTAAGTGCATAATTACCTGTGGGAGAAGTTCCGGGCACAGTTGGTGAAGTTCCGGGTCCAGTTGGGGAAGTTCCTGGTGCTGCAGATAGAAATAATTTTATCTTAGATATTTCAGTGGAGAAAGAAGTGTTTGTTAATACTTGAACTGCTAAAATTAAAGTGCTTGTCTGAAAACTGGCCTGAAGCTTCGGAAACGTGTAGCTGTCAAACCAATTGACAATATCACACATTACTTCGTTGTGCAAATAAACTACATCACGAAATAAATAATTGTAATTTAATAGATGAATTTAGTGGTCTGCTATAACATCCTTGTAAATTAGATAAACTGTTCCTGATGATTGTAGATTCGGATCTGTAATCGGTGCTTTTATATGACAGTTTGTTGCATTCAAGCTAATGTAAATTAAACCATATATGAATATACTAATATAACACATTATATACATTTAATGGATAGGCTAGGTCAATTCAATGGACAAATGGCAAAATAGATCTGGTCATGAATATTACCTGTAGGCGATGTGCCGGGTGGTGGGACAGATGGAGAAGTACCTGGTGGCGGTGCAGTAGGCGATGTTCCTGGTGGAGCTGCAGTGGGTGAAGTTCCCGGAGGCGGGGCAGTAGGTGATGTTCCAGGCGGAGGAGCAGTAGGCGATGTTCCAGGTGGTAGAGCAGTAGGTGATGTACCAGGTGGGGCTGCTGTTGGCGATGTTCCTGGTGGTGGTGCAGTAGGGGACGTTCCAGGTGGTGGTGCAGTAGGGGACGTTCCAGGTGGTGGAGCAGTAGGTGATGTTGCAGTTGGTGCTGTAGTTGGGGATGTTCCAGGTGCTATGGGTGAAAATGTTAGCTAGGTATTAGAAAGATAATTATTTATCAGTTTGTAATTCTTTGTTTCATTGATATATTATTCCTAAAAGTACAATAGCACCAATATCTTAGGAGGTTTATGATGAAATGACTCGGTAGTGTTTCGTGCCGTTGTTCATACCAATACGAAATTTATTATACTATTGCATCAGACAAGAGAACACATCTTCATAGCCAATTTGTCGTGATTACCAGATATAACGTTCTGCATTTTCCATCAATTATCAAGGCTCATTTAACTCATTAATATGAAAGAAATGTTTCAGGTGTATTGCTAATGTGATATGCGAGTAGATGTTCCAGGTGGCACTGCAGTCAGTGATGCTTTAGGTGGAGCTGGAGTTTCATATACTGCGGGTGAAAGCGTATGTTACATACTTTTACACACGGAAGCTTATTTCCAATATATATATTTTAAGCAAACAATACCATAGGGAATAAGACCATTCTGACATAAAAATATAATGTTTACAATTCTGTACATTATTTAGATTGCATTTGTCAACTTACTGATCACTTTGATATATGCCGTATTTGTTGGTTATGTCTTTTCAGATTATGCATTAAATCATAAATAGGACCAACCTGTGGGAGATGTTCCTGCTGTGGCAGTCTCTTCAAAACATGCTCTTACATCCAAATTAAATTTAACAGCAGCTGAAGTGATGGTTGGCACAATAGTAACTCGTATCTTTTGAGCTTTGGTTTCTGGAGGGAAATCAGCTTTTGGTATCGGGTCCTGGAGACCAGCCTATGGTTATACAAATATACCATTTTTAAATTGCCAATTGAAACCGTGACAAAAGAGACAATATTTAGCAAAAGGAATTACAATGCTTTAAAGGGGGACTATTGTTTAACTACACGTTTCGACAGAGATAAATGGCATAACTTTATGAAAAAATAATTAAATTTGACAGGAACTGAAGTGTTCGTTGGCACCAGAGTAACTCGTATCGTTTGAGCTTTGGTTACTGGAGGGAAATCCGCTTTTAGTGGCGCGTCCTATGATTTATACAAATAGCTCATTTTTAAATTGCCAATTGAAACCATGGCAGTGCTAATATTGAGCAAAACGGATCAAAATTCTTTAAAAGTCTACTATTTTTGAATTGTCTACACGTTTTGCCTGAGTTTCTCAAGACATGCAATAAAAATGACGTGATTTTATGCAAGAATAATAATACGATTATATAATAAAAATGAAGTATATGTATAATACTGTATTTATTTTGAAATGATCTATTTGGATTTAAATTTAACCATAAAATATCTATATCTTTTCATGGGATCTGAATGTGGCATCTTTGAACGTGCATATTTTGATTTGTAACTTGCTAGTTCAACCGATGTACAGTTCGGCCCCATAACTAAATTTTATGATATATAAGCTACTTTGCAGGTCATACACTCATTGATAAAAAAAGTCTTCTTTCCCACTGTCAAAAATAAATGATATACACTCAATGAAATATCTTTATGCACAGTAAGTATCCATATACATATATTCAAAAACTAATATTCGTGGCCAAATAACGTAATGTAAAGCACGTAACTGTTTTACCAAATTTACTTCGAATATAGTATTTAAGACATTAGACTTACTTGATCTGTTACAGGAGTTTCATTGCCCTGTGAATCAATCAGCACTATTTCTATGGATTCGAAATTCTCAGCATTCGGGAATGTGATGGATCCCAGATCGACATCCTCATCGGTATTAGGTGAAAGATCTATGGTAAATAGTATAGGATTGCTGCCGTTGGGTATGATAGATAATGGGACATCGCTTGTCCTTAGATTATCCACTTGGTCAGGTGTCAAACCCTCAACACTTGAACTTGGTATAAATGCTGGTTTCTCCATTCCATTTATCTCCTCGCATCTCTCTGAAAAAATTGTGAAAAGAATAAATGTTAACTCCAATGAAATATGGATTCAATTTTCACAGACTTCATGCATGTTTGAGATTTTCCGGTGGCGGTAAAAGAAACTGAGAAACTTGTTATGGTAATTTCACGCATATCAAATACAGACAGACTCTGTTATCATCTACGCTTAGTCTAAGAAGAAAACGTTCCTAGTCGAACCGAGTCATGGTTTTGAAGTAGACTACCTGGGAGTGAAACTTTACACTAAGTTTCATCACTTTCACTCAGTTAGAATCAAAGTAATCTTGCCCCAAAGCAACGACCAATGAAACTGCTTAGCTCTGTCTGCTTAGCTTTAGCGGTAAATATTAATCATTGAACGCAGTCAAGACATTCGCCTAATGAACATCCACACCACGTTTAAACATTTTATATCAATTAAAAGTAGAGTTTTTATTTCCAATAAAATCGCTTATCACTACTTGGGCTACGCAGAAAATGTTCACCATTCAAGTTAGTCAAGGGATTCATCACTTTCAACCAATTAGAACCAAAGTTATCATGTTCAAATGCATGAACCAATCAAATCTCTACTTAGCCCAACGCAGAACATGCTCCTCTTCGAACTTCATTAAGGCATTCAACTAATAAACACCAAGTGTGATGGACAGATGGACGGACGAACCTATTTTAGTAGTCCCCTGCTTTCTTCGAAAGGCGGGGGACAAATATTGTATTACTATTACCTGTGGGCGAAGTTCCGGGTGCAGTGGGCGAAGTTCCAGGAGCTAGAAATAGAAATGATTCCATCTTTATCTTATTTATTTCATAATAGAATCAACGCTGATGTTAAATTTTGGCCTTAAATACTTCAGAAAAGAATTGTTTTCATTACTGAGGTGTCGACAAAGCTTAGCTGTGATATCTGTTTGTAAGCAGATTACATCACTAAATAAAAAATTGCAATGTAAGACTTGTTGTTCTGCATTTAACTTTGGGGAAAGAAACTGTCGCAGTGGGAGAAGTTCCAGGAGCTAGAAATAGAAATGATTTCATCTTTATCTGATTTATTTTCATAATAGAATCAAGACAGGTGTTAAATTTTGACCTTAAATACTTTAGAAAAGAATTTCAAGTGTTGTTCTGAAGACGGAATTGGCGTGTCGACAAAGGTTTGCTATCAGGCAAACTGGTAATATCTTTTTGTAATGAGATTACACCACTAAATAAAAAATTGTAAAGCAAATCTTGTTGTTCTGCATTTAACTTTGCGGAAATTACCGGTCGCCGTTGTTATGCATTTAACTATGGGAGAAGTTCCGGGCGCAGTTAATACTGCTGGATAAATAAATTGTTTGTTTTTAAAGGCTACGACTGCTTATCTGAAAATATACCTGGGCTTCGAAGAAGTGTGACTATCAAACTAATTGACAATATTATCCAATGTTGATTAGTATAAATAGACTACAACAAGATATAAATAATTGTTGTCCTGCTCTTACCTGTGGGAGAAGTTCCGGGCACAGTTGGCGAAGTTCCGGGTGCAGTTGGTGATGTTCCTGGTGCTGGAAATAGAAAGGATTTTAGCTTAGATATTTTAGAAACGAATGGATTGTTTGTCAGTACTTTAACTAGTCAACGTAAAGTGTTTGTCTGAAAACTGACATGGAGCTTCGAAAAGCTGTAGCTGTTAAGCAAATTGACAAAATCACACAACACTGATTTGTGTAAATAAACTACACCACGAAATAAATAATTAAAATTGTATAGAAGACTTGAGTGGTCTGTTATGACATCCTTATGAATTAATTACATAACATGTTCCTGGTGACTGTAGATTTGGATATGTAATTGGTGCTTTTATAGGGCATAAAATAGAGTAGGTAGTAATATGAAAATGTTTGGGTTTGGGATGGTGATGGAACCCCATTGAGAACAGTATGCGGTAAAATAATATTTGATATCAGTGGATAATATGCTAGTCATCAATAGAAAATAGAAAGCCTATTTCATATTTCATATGTAGGTGGGTGGTGCTTCAAAAGCGATGGGCTTGGTCAATTCAATTGACAAATGGTAAAACAAATCTAGTCATGAATATTACCTGTAGGCGATGTGCCAGGCGGTGGGATAGAGGGAGAAGTACCTGGTGGCGGTGCAGTGGGCGATGTTCCTGGTGGTGCTGCAGTAGGTGAAGTTCCTGGAGGTGGGGCAGTAGGTGATGTTCCAGACGGTGGAGCAGTGGGCGATGTTCCAGGAGGTGGGGCAGTGGGTGATGTGCCAGGCGGTGGAGCAGTAGGCGATGTTCCAGGTGGTGGGGCAGTGGGTGTTGTGCCAGATGGTGGAGCAGTAGGGGAAGTTCCGGGTGGTGGAGCAGTAGGTGATGTTCCAGGCGGTGGGGCAGTGGGTGATGTTCCAGGTGGCGCTGCTGTTGGGGATGTTCCTAGTGGTGGAACAGTTGGAGAAGTCCCTGGTGGTGGAGCAGTGGGTGAGGTTCCAGGTAGCGCTGCTGTAGGTGATGTTCCAGTTGGCGTTACAGTTGGGGATGCTCCAAGTGCTGTGGGCGAAAACGTTAGCTATGTGTTAAAAATATAATTATTGATCCATTTGTAAGTATTGATTTTATTGAAATTTCCAGCTTCATCATAACTATAAGAGATCCTGTAGTAGTTTGTGGGAGAAGTCCCGGTCGCCGATGGCGAATTTCATAGTGCTGGATATTAATGATTTGTTTTTCAATGCTGAATTTAAAGTGCTTGTCTGAAAATATAAGCAGGGCCTCGAAGAACTGTAACTGTCTATTACCTGTGGGAGAAGTTCCAGGCGCAGTCGGTGAAGTTCCGGGTACAGTTGGAGAAGTTCCGGGTGCTGTTGGCGAAGTTCCTGGTGCTGGAGACAGAAATGATTTTATATTAGGTATTTCAGAAAAGAATGAATTGTTTGTCAATACCTTAACAGCTTATATTCAAGTACTTTCCTGAAAACGTGTAACTATAAAGCAAATTGACAATATTATTCGCCACTGCTTTATAATTATAATTATAATCGCATAGTTGACTTGTTGTCCTATTTACCTATGGTCCCGGGTGCCGTTGGGGAAGTTCCTTGTCCTAGGGAAAGAAATGATTTTATCTTTGATATTTCAGAAAAGAATGAATTGTTTGTCAATACATGAAAAGCTCAAGTTAAACTGGTCGAGTGAGTCGAAAAAATTGACAATATCATCTATTACTGCTGTGTGCAAATAGACTACACCTTCGAAATTAATAATTTTAATTGTATAGATGACTTTAGTATTCTGTTATAACACTCTTGGGAGTTACAAAACCTGATACTGAGCATTTTAACTTCAAATCTGGAATTGACGCTTTTTTAGGTCACTTTATTGCATTCGAGGCACGTTTTGTTTTCAAAAATAGGTTAATGTAAATTAAACAACATATGATTATACTAATAAAATACATAATATACATTTAAGGAAATAGTAAGATGGTATTTGAAAAATCACAAAATAGTACAGGTAGTTATCAAAATGTTTGCATATGTAACCCAGTCCATGTCAAGCAAATTGTCAAATAGTTGACTTTTTGTTTTTCTATTACCTGTGGGAGAAGTTCCAGGCGCAGTCGGTGAAGTTCCGGGTACAGTTGGAGAAGTTCCGGGTGCTGTTGGTGAAGTTCCTGGTGCTGGAGATAGAAATGATTTTATCTTAGATATTTTAGAAACGAATGGATTGTGTGTCAGTACTTTAACTAGTCAACGTAAAGTGTTTGTCTGAAACCTGACATTCAGCTTCGAAATCCTGTAGCTCTTAAGCAAATTGACAAATAATAAAACAAATCTAGTCATGAATATTACCTGTAGGCGATGTGCCAGGCGGTGGGACAGAGGGAGAAGTACCTGGTGGCGGTGCAGTGGGCGATGTTCCTGGTGGTGCTGCAGTAGGTGAAGTTCCTGGAGGTGGGGCAGTAGGTGATGTTCCAGACGGTGGAGCAGTGGGCGATGTTCCTGGAGATGGGGCAGTGGGTGATGTGCCAGGCGGTGGAGCAGTAGGCGATGTTCCAGGTGGTGGGGCAGTGGGTGTTGTGCCAGATGGTGGAGCAGTAGGGGAAGTTCCGGCTGGTGGAGCAGTAGGTGATGTTCCAGGTGGCGCTGCTGTTGGGGATGTTCCTGACGGTGAAACAGTAGGAGAAATCCCTGGTGGTAGAGCAGTGGGTGAGGTTCCAGGTAGCGCTGCTGTAGGTGATGTTCCAGTTGGCGCTACAGTTGGGGATGCTCCAAGTGCTGTGGGCGAAAACGTTAGCTATGTGTTAAAAATATAATTATTGATCCATTTGTAAGTATTGATTTTATTGAAATTTCCAGCTTCATCATAACTATAAGAGACCCTGTAGTAGTTTGTGCGAGAAGTCCCGGGCGCCGATGGCGAAGTTCATGGTTCTGGATATATTAATGATTTGTTTTTCAAGGCTGAAATTAAAGTGCTTGTCTGAAAATATAAGCAGGGCCTCGAAGAACTGTAACTCTCGGGCACATTGACAACATTATCCAACACTGCTTTGTGTAAATAGCCCAACCTGATATAAATAATTGTATTTAAAATAGTTGACTTTTTGTTCTTCTATTACCTGTGGGAGAAGTTCCAGGCGCTGTCGGTGAAGTTCCGGGTACAGTTGGAGAAGTTACGGGTGCTGTTGGCGAAGTTCCTGGTGCTGGAGACAGAAATGATTTTATAATAGGTATTTCAGAAAAGAATGAATTGTTTGTCTATACTTTAAAAGCTTATATTCAAGTACTTTTCTGAAAATGTGTAACTATAAAGCAAATTGACAATATTATCCGCCACTACTTTATAATTATAATTATAATCACACAATTGACTTGTTATCCTATTTACCTATGGTTCCGAGTGCCGTTGGGAAAGTTCCTTGTGCTGGGGATAGAAATGATTTTATCTTTGATATTTCAGAAAAGATTGAATTGTTTGTCAATACGTGAAAAGCTCAAGTTAAACTGATCGAGGGAGTCGAAAAAAAATGACAATATCACCCAATACTGCTGTGTGCAAATAGATTACACCTTCAAAATTAATAATTGTAATTGTATAGATGACTTTAGTGTTCTGTTATAACACACTTGTGAGTTAAAAAACCTTAACCTTATCCCGAGCATTGTACATTCAAATCTGGAATTGGCTCTTTTTTAGGTCACTTTGTTGAATTCGAGGTACGTTTTATTTTAAAAAATAGGCTAATGTAAATTAAACAACATGAATATACTAATAAAATACATAATATAGATTTAAGGAAATAGTTAGATGGCATTTGAAAAGTCGCAAAATAGTACAGGTAGTGATATCAAAATGTTTTCATATGTAACCCAGTCCATGTCAAGCAAATTGTCAATTTTATCTCCCTCTGATTTATATTTATAACCACATAGTCGACTTGTTGTCCTATTTACCTATGGGAGAAGTTCCGGGTGCCGTTGGGGACGTTCCTGGTGCTGGAGATAGAAATGATTGTATCTTTGATATTTCAGAATCGTTTTACAATACTTGAAAAGCTCAAGTTAAACTGTTTGTCTGAAGATAGATCGAGGGGGTTGAAAAAATTGACAATATCATCCAATACTGCTGTGTGCAAATAGACTACACCTTCGAAATTAATAATTGTCCTTGTATATATGACTTTAGTGTTCTGTTATAACACACTTGTGAGTTACAAAAACCTGATCCCGAGCATTGTACATTCAAATCTGGAATTGGCGCTTCTTTAGGTCACATTATTGCATTCGAGGTACTTTTTTTTTTCAAAAATAGGCTAATGTAAATTAAACATTTAAGGAATAGTTAGATGGCATTTGAAAAGTCACAGAATAGTACAGGTAGTGATATCAAAATGTTTGCATATGTAACCCAGTGCATGTAGGTGTGTGGTGCTTCAAATGCCCATGACTTGGACAAGCCATTGGAAAGATATAAAATAATCTTGGTCAGGAATATTACCTGCAGGCGATAGGCCGGTTGGTGGAGCAGTTGGCCGTGCAGTAGGGGATGTTCCAGGTGGTTGAACAGTAGGTGATGTTGCTGGTGGTGGCGCAGTAGGTGATGTTCCAGGTGGTGGGACAGAGGGTGATGTGCCAGGTGGTGGAGCAGATGGGGATGTTCCAGGTGGTGGAGCAGACGGGGATGTTCCAGGTGTTGGCGCAGTAGGTGACGTTCCAGGTGGTGGAGCAGTAGGTGATGTTGCAGGTGGCGCTGTTGTTGGGGATGTCCCTGGTGGTGGAGCAGTAGGCGATGTTCCAGGTGGCGCTGCTGTAGGTGATGTTCCAGGTGCTGTGGGTGAAAACGTTAACTATGTGTTGAAAAGATAATTATTGATCTATTCGTCAGTATCGATTTCGTTGATATATTATTCAGAAGTGTTTCGTGCCATGAGCATGACTTTTGCCACTTTTAAAAGTAAAATGAAGTGACAGTTTTGACAAGGGATTTTGAAGCTGAATAAATTGGAAATAAGATAACCCAAAGCCACCGACCAAATCACCAGTTTGCCTTGAGTGCCTTGACTTTGTAGCCTCTACTTCTATACTGTATCACGTCTCTGCATATATATATTTAATAGGAAGAAAATGGCTAATAGCGCTAATACACTGTGCATGGCAGTAATCTAAAATCGTTACGTAAAAGTTACCAGCTCATTGCTTCAAATAGTTGGACTTGTTTACATATTTAATATGGATTTATCCAACTGGCAACCAGGAAGGAGTAGCAAGTACCAACCTGTGGGTGATGATGGCACTGGTGGTAGCGTTCCTTGTGTTGCAGTTGGTGATTCAGCTTCTACTGGCAATGTAGGTGAAGTTACTACTGGTGGTCCTTAATTATTTATTAAGACATATATCGTAAATTATCTAATTTTTAGTCGACAGAATTAAATAAACTTGATAATATAACATACACAAAATATGTAAGCTATGTGAACTAAGAATTAGTAAGTGTTTTAGAAAAAGTAAGCATACCCTGCCATGAGCACACTTTCAACAGTAAAATGTAGTGACAATTTGGACATGGATTTCCGAATCTAAAGATAATGAAAGGTATAACCCAAGGCCATTAGCCGAATCACCAGATTAGTGGTTTAAGTTTTCTATAAGTAAAAAATTCGAAGTGGTCGGTGTTTTCTAAAGTAAATCAGAAAATGGCGCCATGTGCTCGGCAGGTAATGGCTACAGACAGATTTATCATACCAGTAGTTGAAATACAGAAACTTCCCATTATGTATTTGACAATTCGGAATAGGAGAAATGGTGGCCTTTACTTGTTACATCTGGTACAGATGATGAACAAAATCACTGATAATACAGAACATATTATTTAGAATGTATTTATACCCTACCTGTTGGCGATGTTCCTGGTGTACCAGTTGTCACTGTAAAAAAGAAGTCATTGTAAAGTGTATAGTTGTATTTTGTACGATAAAGAGAGAGAGAGATAGATTAATGCTTTATACAGGTCGGATTTATAGCACAGATGAGAAAGGTTGATACTCCTTTACAAATTTGGTGGTCCACTTAAAGTTCAGAATATAGAAGATACTCACCTACGAAGCAAGCGTGTACACTAACATCAATATTAATTGGTTCGGTAATGTTTGTGGGTGTTATCTCTACCAAAATATCTGTGACAACTACTTCCGGTGGGAATGTAAGAATACCGTCTGAAGGATCATCCTGTTAGCATATATAAATAAACACAAGATATTCAACATATCTAACATGGCTATCCCTAAAAATAAATATTTCGTGGTATCGTCCAAACAGAAACACCAAAGGAATTATAAAGAATAAAATACATTTGAAATTGTAACATATCTGAATTTGGACTTAAGCAGCGTCATTTCTTAATTGTTAAAGATCCGAATACTTACATCAGTAGATTCAAGTAGGGTCCATGGTGCTGAAGGTCCCGTGCGTCCAAATACTCTAAATGTCTTGACATTTTCCCTGACTGGAAGATTTACTTCTGACAGATCAACGGGTTCACCCCCAGTAACTTTCAATGTGACGTTGGTAGGCGTGTCCGATGGGTTAATTGTAAATGGATCATCGCCTGGTCTCAGATCTGCTGGGTTATCTGTCGATGGGAAGGCAGGTTCTTGTTCAAGGTAAGTATCAGGTATAACTGTTGGGCTTCCCATTCCTTCTGTTACAACACATCGTGCTGGAAAAAAAGACAATTGATTGTTGATTGCTAATAATTAAAGACATTTTAGGATAGAATGATAAAATATAATATATGTTTATGATATTTCAAGTCCAATGTTTAATTGTTGAACGACGTTTATATTGTTATGATTTATGATTTAAACATGACTGTATACATTAACTTACGTGTAGTTGATCCCACTGTAAATAATAATAAATAAATATTTTAATAGAATATCAGAATCGTTTCTGAAAGCTTGAGTAATTTAAACAACGCTGCTTTAACTGACTGGTTAATCTCTATCAAACCCTGGTACTATAGCTTGTTTATACAAGAGCAAGAAAAGTATTAAACCTTCCAAATTATATAGCAAGATTGGTAAAATTGAACATATCTGCATATGTTTTTATAGTACAAGCCAGAAATTAAGAAGACATATCTTAATATAAACTAATGTCGGATACAGAAAAGAAAAAAGTTGAATATATATAATTACAGGTTGGTGATGTCCCAATTGCCACTGTAGGTGATGTTCCAATTGTCACTGTAGGTGATGTACCGAGTCCGGCTGTTTCTAAAATAATTAATAAACAGGATGTTAGTTACAGTAGGTGATTGTTTCTAAAATGATCAAAACATAACATGTCAAGTAATAACTTAGATGCATCACGGGTCTTTAGCACTTGCAGGAAATCGAGGAACCCATGTGGTTAGTTGGTTTCATATTGCCCGTCCATTGGTTTAATATTTATATCAGTTCAAAATGATTGAGTATTACAGTTCTCATTTGAACGACAGGAGTGCACCATACGACCCTACATTGTCCCAATCAGTCGACTATTTAATATTATATACCTTCAAAGCACGCTCTGACATCAATCTTAAAAGAAGTAGGCTGGCCTGAAGAGGTTGGTGTTACTTCAATTCTGATTTTTTCGGCTACTGTTCCAGCAGGGAATGAAGCTTTAGGGATAGGTAACGATAAATCAGCCTTAAAAACAATGCAAATCACAGGTTAAAATACACATCAATTAGGAATCTCGAAAAGAAACATGTTGAGAAAGACAATGCTATAGACAAATTAAAATTAATTGGGCAGTGATGTAGGTGATATTTGGTTGTGGCTTGGATAAACATTGTGGGGTGGGGGGGGGGGGTAGCCTCTTATATTTAATCAAAAGTCTCGCCACTGTCTATTGTTATGTATTCAGATGTCGGAGTCGTTCCGATACTGAGTACAGGAATAAACGGAATAAACATACAGCTGACATTGTCAGTCTTTGTCTGTAGCAATACTTGCTACACCAAGCCAGAACGATGTGTACATAAACACACATAATATCAAGACGAAACAAAATGTACTTACTGGGTTCAAGTATGCAGCTTCTGTTTCTGAACCGCCAGTTGGAGTTACAAATACTCTAATAGATTGAACATTATCGGGCGATACAAGCTGCACTGATTTAAGTTCTACCTCTTCATTTGTGACTGGTGTCAAATCAATTGTTACATCTGGTGTACTTCCAGCAGGGAAGGTGGCTGGGTCTGTACTTGCTGGTCTCAGGTTTTCTACATCAGTTGCTGCTGGCACAGTTGTAATACTTGAAGCAGGGATAATAGCAGGATTATCCATTCCATTTACTTCAGTACAGACAACTGTAATTCGAGGAAAAGGCATGCTCATAAAAAAAAGGAACTTGGAATGACTAGTTTTCTATTAGTTGATATTGAATTCCATGTAGTCAAATTTACAGAATATGAAGTTAATAATGTAAACTATAGCTAATACACAATATTTAGAATTAAATTCACGGAAAATGCACGATCACGAAAACAGGAACTTGGAGTAACTAGTTTTCTATTAGCGATAAACCCTTTTAAATATCATCACACTTAATTATTCAGATAAATTCACGGAAAATGCACGATCACGAAAACAGGAACTTGGAGTAACCAGTTTTCTATTAGCGATAAACCCTTTTAAATATCATCACACTTAATTATTCAGATATCACTTTTCAGCCTTATCATATCTACAAGAGGCCTCAAGTAGTTTGCGGGAAAAGTTCCGGGCGCCGATGGCGAAGTTCTTGGTGCTGGATATATAATTGATTTGTTTTTCAGACTTGGACTGCTGAAATTAAAGTGCTTGACTGAAAATATAAGCTGGGCCTCGAAGAAGTGTAACTGTCAAGCTCTTTAGCAATATTATCCATTGCTTCTTTGTGTAAATAGACTACACCAAGAAAAAACAATAACCTCCAATTCTGCTTTATGTAAATAGACTACACCAAGAAAAAAATAATTGTACTTGCATAATTTACCTGTGGGAGAAGTTCCTGGCACAGTTGGTGAAGTCCCGGGTCCAGTTGGGGAAGTTTCTGGTGCTACAGATAGAAATAATGTTATCTTAGATATTTCAGTGGAGAAAGAATTGTTTGTCAATACTTGAATTGGTCAAATTAAAGTGCTTGTCTGAAAACTGGCCTGAAGCTTCGGAAACGTGTAGCTGTCAAGCCAATTGACAATATCACACATTACTTCTTTGTGCAAATAAACTACATCACGAAATAAATAATTGTAATTTAGTGGTCTGCTATAACATCCTTATAAATTAGATAAGCTGTTCCTGATGATTGTAGATTCGGATCTGTAATTGGTGCTTTTATATGACAGGATGTTGCATTCAAACAATGTTGTTGTTGTTTCTCAAAAACTATGCTAATGTAAATTAAACCATATATGAATATACCAATATAACACATTATATACATTTAATGGATAGGAAAGGCGACATTTCAAAAATCATAAAGTATAGCAAGTAGTAATATGAAAATGCTTGAGATTGAACCCCATTAAGAATAGTATTGGGTAAAATAATGATTGATATCAGTGGATAATATGCTTGTCATCCACGGAAAAAAAGCGTATTTCATATTTCGTATGTAGGTGGGTGGTGCTTCCAAAGCCATGGGCATGGTCAGTTCAATGGAAAAATGGCAAAAAAGATCTAGTCATGAATATTACCTGTAGGCGATGTGCCGGGTGGTGGGACAGATGGAGAAGTACCTGGTGGCGGTGCAGTAGGCGATGTTCCTGGTGGTGCTGCAGTAGGTGAAGTTCCTGGAGGAGGGACAGTAGGTGATGTTCCAGGCGGAGGAGCAGTAGGCGATGTTCCAGGTGGTAGAGCAGTAGGTGATGTACCAGGTGGCGCTGCTGTTGGCGATGTTCCTGGTGGTGGAGCAGTTGGGGATGTTCCAGGTGGTGGAGCAGTAGGGGACGTTCCGGGTGGTGGAGCAGTAGGTGATGTTGCAGTTGGCGCTGTAGTTGGGGATGTTCCAGGTGCTATGGGTGAAAACGTTAGCTATGTATTAGAAAGATAATTATCTATCAGTTTGTAATTCTTTGTTTCATTGATATATTATTCCTAAAAGTACAATAGCACCAATATCTTAGGAGGTTTATGATGAAATGACTCGGTAGTGTTTGGTGCCATTGCTTATACAAATACGAAATTTATTATACTATTGCATCAGACAAGAGAACACATCTTCATAGCCAATTTGTCGTGATTAACAGATACAACGTTCTGCATTTTCTATCAATTAGCAAGGCCCATTTAACTCATTAATATGAAAGAAATGTTCCAGGTGTATTGCTAATGTGATATGCGAGTAGATGTTCCAGGTGGCACTGCAGTCGGTGATGTTTTATGTGGTGCTGCAGTTGGGGATGTTTCATATACTCTGGGTGAAAGCGTATGTTACATACTTTTACATACGGAAGCTTATTTCCAATAGATATATTTTAAGCAAACAATACCATAGGGATTAAGACCATTCTGACATAAAAATATAATGTTTACAATTCTGTTCATTATTTAGATTGCATTTGTCAACTTACTGATAACTTTGATATATGCCGTATTTGTTGGTTATGTCTTTTCAGATTATGCATTAAAACATAAATAGGACCAACCTGTGGGAGATGTTCCTGCTGTGGCAGTCTCTTCAAAACATGCTCTTACATCCAAATTAAATTTAACAGCAGCTGTAGAGTTTGTTGGCACAATAGTAACTCGTATCTTTTGAGCTTTGGTTTCTGGAGGGAAATCAGCTTTTGGTATCGGGTCCTGGAGACCAGCCTATGGTTATACAAATAGACCATTTTTAAATTGTCAATTGAAACCGTGGCAAAATAGATAATATTGAGCAAAACGGGTAAAAATTCCTTAAAGATACATTATGGGAGATTTTAATAGAGAGTTGGTCATTCTTGCTATAATAGTTCAAAAATAGATGATGAAAGAAGAATATATTGAAAATTTCAGTCAAATTACTTTATTCTGAACAAAGTTATCACCATTGTAATTTTTGACTAGAAATAGGAGTCAACTCCCTCTTCACCGTCTCCGAGAATGACCGATCGTTTGATTGACAGGCGTTAACTCCACCTACATAATCTCGATTATCAAGTAACGTTTTCAATGGCTGTGGTTGCAATTCAATTCGTATCACATTTATTTTTATTACAAATTAAAAATAAGACTTTTAATATATAGACAAGAAGCGAAAGTTTGAAAGGAATGGACCAACTCAATGAGGCATAATTATAGCCGACTTCTTGTACTGTAACTGGTAGGGCTACGTAACTCTAGAAGCAGACAAATACTAATAGGAAACAGTGATCCAATGGGGCTGCAATTCAACTGGGGTGATGTTAGCTGCGGTGTTTATCAATTTCCATATTTTTTTCTGTAAACGCAAGTGACAAAAGAGCATATAATACCGACATCCAAACTCTCATTTTAACCACAACTAAACATAATCTCAAGGCCGTATATATCGAACTTTCAATCAAATTGACTGACATGCGGCCTCGCTCAACAGCGGCCTCGCTTCGTATACTCTATCATTTAGCCTTGATCTAAAATTTCAGGCAGTATGACGTCAACGTAACGGTTTTTGATTAAAAATTTAATCAATCAATAAAATCCTGTTTAAATCCACCCGAATCCAAGCCATCCGTGCGTCTACAGAGTTGATTTTGTGCTTGTTGTGTAAATAAAGATCTAATTCATAATTTCTTTGACATCTGAAGCCTAAAAAATGACTTGCAATAATCAGATTTAGCTCTTGCATAATGTATGTTTAAAAGATAAATGGCATGACTTTATGAAAAAATAATTAAATTTGACAGGAACTGAAGCGTTCGTTGGCACCAGAGTAACTCGTATCGTTTGAACTTTGGTTACTCGAGGGAAATCCGCTTTTAGTGGCGCGTCCTATGATTTATACAAATAGGGAATTTTTAAATTGCCAACTGAAACCATGGCAGTGCTAATATTGAGCAAAACGGATCAAAATTCTTTAAAGCTCTCCTATTTTTGAATTGTCTACACGTTTTGCCCGAGTTTCTCAAGACATACAATAAAAATGACGTGATTTTATGGAAGAATAATAATACAATTATATAATAAAAATGAAGTATATGTATAATACTGTATTTATTTTGAAATGATCTATTTGGATTTAAATTTAGCCATAAAATATCTATATCTTTTCATGGGATCTGAATGTGGCATCTTTGAACGTGCATATTTTGATTTGTAACTTGTTAGTTCAACCGATGTACAGTTCGGCCCCATCACTAAATTTTATGATATATAAGCTACTTTGCAGATCATACACTTATTGATAAAAAACATTCTTCTTTCGCACTGTCAGAAATAAATGATATACACTCAATGAAATATCTTTATACACAGTAAGTATCCATATACATATATTCAAAAACTAATATTCGTGGCCAAATAACGTAATGTAAAGCACGTAACTGTTTTACCAAATTTACTTCGAATATAGTATTTAAGACATTAGACTTACTTGATCTGTTACAGGAGTTTCATTGCCCTGTGAATCAATCAGCACTATTTCTATGGATTCGAAATTCTCAGCATTCGGGAATGTGATGGATCCCAGATCGACATCCTCATCGGTATTAGGTGAAAGATCTATGGTAAATAGTATAGGATTGCTGCCGTTGGGTATGATAGATAATGGGACATCGCTTGTCCTTAGATTATCCACTTGGTCAGGTGTCAAACCCTCAACACTTGAACTTGGTATAAATGCTGGTTTCTCCATTCCATTTATCTCCTCGCATCTCTCTGAAAAAATTGTGAAAAGAATAAATGTTAACTCCAATGAAATATGGATTCAATTTTCACAGACTTCATGCATGTTTGAGATTTGCCGGTGGCGGTAAAAGAAACTGAGAAACTTGTTATAGTTATTTCACGCATATCAAATACAGACAGACTCTGTTATCATCTACGCTTAGTCTGAGAAGAAAACGTTCCTAGTCGAACCGAGTCATGGTTTTGAAGTAGACTACCTGGGAGTGAAACGTTACACTAAGTTTCATCACTTTCACTCAGTTAGAATCAAAGTAATCTTGCCCCAAAGCAACGACCAATGAAACTGCTTAGCTCTGTCTGCTTAGCTCTAGCGGTAAATATATTTATCATTGAATGCAGTCAAGACATTCGCCTAATGAACATCCACACCATGTTTAAACATTTTATATCAATTAAAAGTAGAGTTGTTTTTCCCAACGCAGAACATGCTCCTCTTCGAACTTCATTAAGGCAGTCAACTAATAAACACCAAGTGTGATGGACAGATGGACGGACGAACCTATTTTAGTAGTCCCCTGCTTTCTGCATATTGTTCTGCATTTAACTTTGCGGAAATTACCGGTCGCCGTTGTTATGCATTTAACTATGGGAGAAGTTCCGGGCGCAGTTAATACTGCTGGATAAATAAATTGTTTGTTTTTAAAGGCTTCGGCTGCTGATCTGAAAATATACCTGGGCTTCGAAGAAGTGTGACTATCAAACAAATTGACAATATTATCCAATGTTGATTAGTATAAATAGACTACACCAAGATATAAATAATTGTTGTCCTGCTATTACCTGTGGGAGAAGTTCCGGGTACAGTTGGCGAAGTTCCGGGTGCAGTTGGTGATGTTCCTGGTGCTGGAAATAGAAATGATTTTAGCTTAGATATTTTAGAAACGAATGGATTGTTTGTCAGTACTTTAACTTGTCAACGTAAAGTGTTTGTCTGAAAACTGACATGGAGCTTCGAAAACCTGTAGCTGTTAAGCAAATTGACAATATCACACAACACTGCTTTGTGTAAATAAACTACACCACGAAATAAATTGTATAGAAGACTTGAGTGGTCTGTTATGACATCCTTATGAATTAATTACATAACATGTTCCTGGTGACTGTAGATTTGGATATGTAATTGGTGCTTTTATAGGGCATAAAATAGAGTAGGTAGTAATATGAAAATGTTTGGGTTTGCGATGGTGAGGGAACCCCATTGAGAACAGTATGCGGTAAAATAATATTTGATATCAGTGGATAATATGCTAGTCATCCATAGAAAATGGAAAGCCTATTTCATATTTCATATGTAGGTGAGTGGTGCTTCAAAAGCGAGGGGCTTGGTCAATTCAATTGACAAATGGTAAAACAAATCTAGTCATGAATATTACCTGTAGGCGATGTGCCAGGTGGTAGGACAGAGGGAGAAGTACCTGGTGGCGGTGCAGTGGGCGATGTTCCTGGTGGCGGTGCAGTGGGCGATGTTCCTGGTGGTGCTGCAGTAGTTGAAGTTCCTTGAGGTTGGGCAGTAGGTGATGTTCCAGACGGTGGAGCAGTAGGCGATGTTCCAGGTGGTGGGGCAGTGGGTGTTGTGCCAGATGGTGGAACTGTTTGGGATGTTCCAGGCGGTGGAGCAGTTGGGGATGTTCCAGCTGGTGGAGCAGTTGGGGAAGTTCCAGGTGGTCGGGCAGTGGGTGTTGTGCCAGATGGTGGAGCAGTAGGGGAAGTTCCGGGTGGTGGAGCTGTAGGTGATGTTCCAGGCGGTGGGGCAGTGGGCGATGTTCCAGGTGGCGCTGCTGTTGGGGATGTTCCTGGTGGTGGAACAGTTGGAGAAGTCCCTGGTGGTAGAGCAGTGGGTGAGGTTCCAGGTAGCGCTGCTGTAGGTGATGTTCCAGTTGGCGCTACAGTTTGGGATGCTCCAAGTGCTGTGGGCGAAAACGTTAGCTATGTGTTAAAAAATAATTATTGATCCATTTGTAAGTATTGATTTTATTGAAATTTCCAGCTTCATCATAACTATAAGAGACACTGTAGTAGTTTGTGGGAAAAGTCCCGGGCGCCGATGGCGAAGTTCATAGTGCTGGATATATTAATGATTTGTTTTTCAATGCTGAAATTAAAGTGCTTGTCTGAAAATATAAGCAGGGCCCCGAAGAAGTGTAACTGTCTATTACCTGTGGGAGAAGTTCCAGGCGCAGTCGGTGAAGTTCCGGGTACAGTTGGAGAAGTTCCGGGTGCTGTTGGCGAAGTTCCTGGTGCTGGAGACAGAAATGATTTTATATTAGGTATTTCAGAAAAGAATGAATTGTTTGTCAATTCTTTAACAGCTTATATTCAAGTACTTTCCTAAAAACGTGTAACTATAAAGCAAATTGACAATATTATTCGCCACTGCTTTATAATTATAATTATAATCGCATAGTTGACTTGTTGTCCTATTTACCTATGGTCCCGTCCCGGGTGCCTTTGGGGAAGTTCCTTGTCCTGGGGAAAAAATGATTTTATCTTTGATATTTCAGAAAAGAATGAATTGTTTGTCAATACATGAAAAGCTCAAGTTAAACTGATCGAGTGAGTCGAAAAAAATGACAATATCATCCAATACTGCTGTGTGCAAATAGACTACACCTTCGAAATTAATAATTGTAATTGTATAGATGACTTTAGTGTTCTGTTATAACACACTTGTGAGTTACAAAACCTGATACTGAGCATTTTAACTTCAAATCTGGAATTGGCGCTTTTATAGGTACGTTTTATTTTCAAAAATAGGCTAATGTAAATTAAACAACATATGACTATATTAATAAAATACATAATATACTTAAGGAAATAGTAAGATGGCATTTGAAAAGTCACAAAATAGTACAGGTAGTTATCAAAATGTTTGCATATGTAACCCAGTCCATGTCAAGCAAATTGTCAAATAGTTGACTTTTTGTTCTTTTATTACCTGTGGGAGAAGTTCCAGGCGCAGTCGGTGAAGTTCCGGGTACAGTTGGAGAAGTTCCGGGTGCTGTTGGTGAAGTTCCTGGTGCTGGAGATAGAAATGATTGTATCTTAGATATTTTAGAAACGAATGGATTGTGTGTCAGTACTTTAACTAGTCAACGTAAAGTGTTTGTCTGAAACCTGAAATTCAGCTTCGAAATCCTGTAGCTATTAAGGAAATTGACAAATAATAAAACAAATCTAGTCATGAATATTACCTGTAGGCGATGTGCCAGGCGATGGGATAGAGGGAGAAGTACCTGGTGGCGGTGCAGTGGGCGATGTTCCTGGTGGTGCTGCAGTAGGTGAAGTTCCTGGAGGTGGGGCAGTAGGTGATGTTCCAGACGGTGAAGCAGTGGGCGATGTTCCAGGAGGTGGGGCAGTGGGTGATGTGCCAGGCGGTGGAGCAGTAGGCGATGTTCCAGGTGGTGGGGCAGTGGGTGTTGTGCCAGATGGTGGAGCAGTAGGGGAAGTTCCGGCTGGTGGAGCAGTAGGTGATGTTCCAGGCGGTGGGGCAGTGGGTGATGTTCCAGGTGGCGCTGCTGTTGGGGATGTTCCTAGTGGTGGAACAGTTGGAGAAGTCCCTGGTGGTGGAGCAGTGGGTGAGGTTCCAGGTAGCGCTGCTGTAGGTGATGTTCCAGTTGGCGTTACAGTTGGGGATGCTCCAAGTGCTGTGGGCGAAAACGTTAGCTATGTGTTAAAAATATAATTATTGATCCATTTGTAAGTATTGATTTTATTGAAATTTCCAGCTTCATCATAACTATAAGAGATCCTGTAGTAGTTTGTGGGAGAAGTCCCGGTCGCCGATGGCGAAGTTCATAGTGCTGGATATTAATGATTTGTTTTTCAATGCTGAATTTAAAGTGCTTGTCTGAAAATATAAGCAGGGCCTCGAAGAACTGTAACTGTCTATTACCTGTGGGAGAAGTTCCAGGCGCAGTCGGTGAAGTTCCGGGTACAGTTGGAGAAGTTCCGGGTGCTGTTGGCGAAGTTCCTGGTGCTGGAGACATAAATGATTTTATATTAGGTATTTCAGAAAAGAATGAATTGTTTGTCAATACTTTAACAGCTTATATTCAAGTACTTTCCTGAAAACGTGTAACTATAAAGCAAATTGACAATATTATTCGCCACTGCTTTATAATTATAATTATAATCGCATAGTTGACTTGTTGTCCTATTTACCTATGGTCCCGGGTGCCGTTGGGGAAGTTCCTTGTCCTGGGGAAAGAAATGATTTTATCTTTGATATTTCAGAAAAGAATGAATTGTTTGTCAATACATGAAAAGCTCAAGTTAAACTGATCGAGTGAGTCGAAAAAATTGACAATATCATCTAATACTGCTGTGTGCAAATAGACTACACCTTCGAAATTAATAATTGTAATTGTATAGATGACTTTAGTATTCTGTTATAACACACTTGTGAGTTACAAAACCTGATACTGAGCATTTTAACTTCAAATGTGGAATTGCCCCTTTTTTGGTCACTTTATTGCATTCGAGGCACGTTTTGTTTTCAAAAATAGGCTAATGTAAATTAAACAACATATGATTATACTAATAAAATACATAATATACATTTAAGGAAATAGTAAGATGGTATTTGAAAAGTCACAAAATAGTACAGGTAGTTATCAAAATGTTTGCATATGTAACCCAGTCCATGTCAAGCAAATTGTCAAATAGTTGACTTTTTGTTCTTCTATTACCTGTGGGAGAAGTTCCAGGCGCAGTCGGTGAAGTTCCGGGTACAGTTGGAGAAGTTCCGGGTGCTGTTGGTGAAGTTCCTGGTGCTGGAGATAGAAATGATTTTATCTTGGATATTTTAGAAACGAATGGATTGTGTGTCAGTACTTTAACTAGTCAACGTAAAGTGTTTGTCTGAAACCTGACATTCAGCTTCGAAATCCTGTAGCTCTTAAGCAAATTGACAAATAATAAAACAAATCTAGTCATGAATATTACCTGTAGGCGATGTGCCAGGCGGTGGGACAGAGGGAGAAGTACCTGGTGGCGGTGCAGTGGGCGATGTTCCTGGTGGTGCTGCAGTAGGTGAAGTTCCTGGAGGTGGGGCAGTAGGTGATGTTCCAGACGGTGGAGCAGTGGGCGATGTTCCAGGAGGTGGGGCAGTGGGTGATGTGCCAGGCGGTGGAGCAGTAGGCGATGTTCCAGGTGGTGGGGCAGTGGGTGTTGTGCCAGATGGTGGAGCAGTAGGGGAAGTTCCGACTGGTGGAGCAGTAGGTGATGTTCCAGGCGGTGGGGCAGTGGGTGATGTTCCAGGTGGCGCTGCTGTTGGGGATGTTCCTGGTGGTGGAACAGTTGGAGAAATCCCTGGTGGTAGAGCAGTGGGTGAGGTTCCAGGTAGCGCTGCTGTAGGTGATGTTCCAGTTGGCGCTACAGTTGGGGATGCTCCAAGTGCTGTGGGCGAAAACGTTAGCTATGTGTTAAAAATATAATTATTGATCCATTTGTAAGTATTGATTTTATTGAAATTTCCAGCTTCATCATAACTATAAGAGACCCTGTAGTAGTTTGTGGGAGAAGTCCCGGGCGCCGATGGCGAAGTTCATGGTTCTGGATATATTAATGATTTGTTTTTCAAGGCTGAAATTAAAGTGCTTGTCTGAAAATATAAGCAGGGAAACGAAAAACTGTAACTCTCGGACACATTGACAACATTATCCAACACTGCTTTGTGTAAATAGCCCAACCTGATATAAATAATTGTATTTAAAAAAGTTGACTTTTTGTTCTTCTATTACCTGTGGGAGAAGTTCCAGACGCTGTCGGTGAAGTTCCGGGTACAGTTGGAGAAGTTACGGGTGCTGTTGGCGAAGTTCCTGGTGCTGGAGACAGAAATGATTTTATATTAGGTATTTCAGAAAAGAATGAATTGTTTGTCTATACTTTAAAAGCTTATATTCAAGTCCTTTTCTGAAAATGTGTAACTATAAAGCAAATTGACAATATTATCCGCCACTACTTTATAATTATAATTATAATCACACAGTTGACTTGTTATCCTATTTACCTATGGTGCAGGGTGCCGTTGGGAAAGTTCCTTGTGCTGGGGATAGAAATGATTTTATCTTTGATATTTCAGAAAAGAATGAATTGTTTGTCAATACGTGAAAAGCTCAAGTTAAACTGATCGAGGGAGTCGAAAAAAAATGACAATATCACCCAATACTGCTGTGTGCAAATAGATTACACCTTCAAAATTAATAATTGTAATTGTATATATGACTTTAGTGTTCTGTTATAACACACTTGTGAGTTACAAAAACCTGATCCCGAGCATTGTACATTCAAATCTGGAATTGGCGCTTCTTTAGGTAACATTATTGCATTCGAGGTACTTTTTTTTTTCAAAAATAGGCTAATGTAAATTAAACATTTAAGGAATAGTTAGATGGCATTTGAAAAGTCACAGAATAGTACAGGTAGTGATATCAAAATGTTTGCATATGTAACCCAGTGCATGTAGGTGTGTGGTGCTTCAAATGCCCATGACTTGGACAAGCCATTGGAAAGATATAAAATAATCTTGGTCAGGAATATTACCTGCAGGCGATAGGCCGGTTGGTGGAGCAGTTGGCCGTGCAGTAGGGGATGTTCCAGGTGGTTGAACAGTAGGTGATGTTGCTGGTGGTGGCGCAGTAGGTGATGTTCCAGGTGGTGGGACAGAGGGTGATGTGCCAGGTGGTGGAGCAGATGGGGATGTTCCAGGTGGTGGAGCAGACGGGGATGTTCCAGGTGTTGGCGCAGTAGGTGACGTTCCAGGTGGTGGAGCAGTAGGTGATGTTGCAGGTGGCGCTGTTGTTGGGGATGTTCCTGGTGGTGGAGCAGTAGGCGATGTTCCAGGTGGCGCTGCTGTAGGTGATGTTCCAGGTGCTGTGGGTGAAAACGTTAACTATGTGTTGAAAAGATAATTATTGATCCATTCGTCAGTATCGATTTCGTTGATATATTATTCAGAAGCGTTTCGTGCCATGAGCATGACTTTTGCCACTTTTAAAAGTAAAATGAAGTGACAGTTTTGACAAGGGATTTTGAAGCTGAATAAATTGGAAATAAGATAACCCAAAGCCACCGACCAAATCACCAGTTTGCCTTGAGTGCCTTGACTTTGTAGCCTCTACTTCTATACTGTATCACGTCTCTGCATATATATATTTAATAGGAAGAAAATGGCTAATAGCGCTAATACACTGTGCATGGCAGTAATCTAAAATCGTTACGTAAAAGTTACCAGCTCATTGCTTTAAATAGTTGGACTTGTTTACATATTTAATATGGATTTATCCAACTGGCAACCAGGAAGGAGTAGCAAGTACCAACCTGTGGGTGATGATGGCACTGGTGGTGGCGTTCCTTGTGTTGCGGTTGGTGATTCAGCTTCTACTGGCAATGTAGGTGAAGTTACTACTGGTGGTCCTTAATTATTTATTAAGACATATATCGTAAATTATCTAATTTTTAGTCGACAGAATTAAATAAACTTGATAATATAACATACACAAAATATGTAAGCTATGTGAACTAAGAATTAGTAAGTGTTTTAGAAAAAGTAAGCATACCCTGCCATGAGCACACTTTCAACAGTAAAATGTAGTGACAATTTGGACATGGATTTCCGAATCTAAAGATAATGGAAAGGTATAACCCAAGGCCATTAGCCGAATCACCAGATTAGTGGTTTAAGTTTTCTATAAGTAAAAAATTCGAAGTGGTCGGTGTTTTCTAAAGTAAATCAGAAAATGGCGCCATGTGCTCGGCAGGTAATGGCTACAGACAGATTTATCATACCAGTAGTTGAAATACAGAAACTTCCCATTATGTATTTGACAATTCGGAATAGGAGAAATGGTGGCCTTTACTTGTTACATCTGGTACAGATGATGAACAAAATCACTGATAATACAGAACATATTATTTAGAATGTATTTATACCCTACCTGTTGGCGATGTTCCTGGTGTACCAGTTGTCACTGTAAAAAAGAAGTCATTGTAAAGTGTATAGTTGTATTTTGTACGATAAAGAGAGAGAGAGATAGATTAATGCTTTATACAGGTCGGATTTATAGCACAGATGAGAAAGGTTGATACTCCTTTACAAATTTGGTGGTCCACTTAAAGTTCAGAATATAGAAGATACTCACCTACGAAGCAAGCGTGTACACTAACATCAATATTAATTGGTTCGGTAATGTTTGTGGGTGTTATCTCTACCAAAATATCTGTGACAACTACTTCCGGTGGGAATGTAAGAATACCGTCTGAAGGATCATCCTGTTAGCATATATAAATAAACACAAGATATTCAACATATCTAACATGGCTATCCCTAAAAATAAATATTTCGTGGTATCGTCCAAACAGAAACACCAAAGGAATTATAAAGAATAAAATACATTTGAAATTGTAACATATCTGAATTTGGACTTAAGCAGCGTCATTTCTTAATTGTTAAAGATCCGAATACTTACATCAGTAGATTCAAGTAGGGTCCATGGTGCTGAAGGTCCCGTGCGTCCAAATACTCTAAATGTCTTGACATTTTCCCTGACTGGAAGATTTACTTCTGACAGATCAACGGGTTCACCCCCAGTAACTTTCAATGTGACGTTGGTAGGCGTGTCCGATGGGTTAATTGTAAATGGATCATCGCCTGGTCTCAGATCTGCTGGGTTATCTGTCGATGGGAAGGCAGGTTCTTGTTCAAGGTAAGTATCAGGTATAACTGTTGGGCTTCCCATTCCTTCTGTTACAACACATCGTGCTGGAAAAAAAGACAATTGATTGTTGATTGCTAATAATTAAAGACATTTTAGGATAGAATGATAAAATATAATATATGTTTATGATATTTCAAGTCCAATGTTTAATTGTTGAACGACGTTTATATTGTTATGATTTATGATTTAAACATGACTGTATACATTAACTTACGTGTAGTTGATCCCACTGTAAATAATAATAAATAAATATTTTAATAGAATATCAGAATCGTTTCTGAAAGCTTGAGTAATTTAAACAACGCTGCTTTAACTGACTGGTTAATCTCTATCAGACCCTGGTACTATAGCTTGTTTATACAAGAGCAAGAAAAGTATTAAACCTTCCAAATTATATAGCAAGATTGGTAAAATTGAACATATCTGCATATGTTTTTATAGTACAAGCCAGAAATTAAGAAGACATATCTTAATATAAACTAATGTCGGATACAGAAAAGAAAAAAGTTGAATATATATAATTACAGGTTGGTGATGTCCCAATTGCCACTGTAGGTGATGTTCCAATTGTCACTGTAGGTGATGTACCGAGTCCGGCTGTTTCTAAAATAATTAATAAACAGGATGTTAGTTACAGTAGGTGATTGTTTCTAAAATGATCAAAACATAACATGTCAAGTAATAACTTAGATGCATCACGGGTCTTTAGCACTTGCAGGAAATCGAGGAACCCATGTGGTTAGTTGGTTTCATATTGCCCGTCCATTGGTTTAATATTTATATCAGTTCAAAATGATTGAGTATTACAGTTCTCATTTGAACGACAGGAGTGCACCATACGACCCTACATTGTCCCAATCAGTCGACTATTTAATATTATATACCTTCAAAGCACGCTCTGACATCAATCTTAAAAGAAGTAGGCTGGCCTGAAGAGGTTGGTGTTACTTCGATTCTGATTTTTTCGGCTACTGTTCCAGCAGGGAATGAAGCTTTAGGGATAGGTAACGATAAATCAGCCTTAAAAACAATGCAAATCACAGGTTAAAATACACATCAATTAGGAATCTCGAAAAGAAACATGTTGAGAAAGACAATGCTATAGACAAATTAAAATTAATTGGGCAGTGATGTAGGTGATATTTGGTTGTGGCTTGGATAAACATTGTGGGGTGGGGGGGGGGGGGTAGCCTCTTATATTTAATCAAAAGTCTCGCCACTGTCTATTGTTATGTATTCAGATGTCGGAGTCGTTCCGATACTGAGTACAGGAATAAACGGAATAAACATACAGCTGACATTGTCAGTCTTTGTCTGTAGCAATACTTGCTACACCAAGCCAGAACGATGTGTACATAAACACACATAATATCAAGACGAAACAAAATGTACTTACTGGGTTCAAGTATGCAGCTTCTGTTTCTGAACCGCCAGTTGGAGTTACAAATACTCTAATAGATTGAACATTATCGGGCGATACAAGCTGCACTGATTTAAGTTCTACCTCTTCATTTGTGACTGGTGTCAAATCAATTGTTACATCTGGTGTACTTCCAGCAGGGAAGGTGGCTGGGTCTGTACTTGCTGGTCTCAGGTTTTCTACATCAGTTGCTGCTGGCACAGTTGTAATACTTGAAGCAGGGATAATAGCAGGATTATCCATTCCATTTACTTCAGTACAGACAACTGTAATTCGAGGAAAAGGCATGCTCATAAAAAAAAGGAACTTGGAATGACTAGTTTTCTATTAGTTGATATTGAATTCCATGTAGTCAAATTTACAGAATATGAAGTTAATAATGTAAACTATAGCTAATACACAATATTTAGAATTAAATTCACGGAAAATGCACGATCACGAAAACAGGAACTTGGAGTAACTAGTTTTCTATTAGCGATAAACCCTTTTAAATATCATCACACTTAATTATTCAGATAAATTCACGGAAAATGCACGATCACGAAAACAGGAACTTGGAGTAACCAGTTTTCTATTAGCGATAAACCCTTTTAAATATCATCACACTTAATTATTCAGATATCACTTTTCAGCCTTATCATATCTACAAGAGGCCTCAAGTAGTTTGCGGGAAAAGTTCCGGGCGCCGATGGCGAAGTTCTTGGTGCTGGATATATAATTGATTTGTTTTTCAGACTTGGACTGCTGAAATTAAAGTGCTTGACTGAAAATATAAGCTGGGCCTCGAAGAAGTGTAACTGTCAAGCTCTTTAGCAATATTATCCATTGCTTCTTTGTGTAAATAGACTACACCAAGAAAAAACAATAACCTCCAATTCTGCTTTATGTAAATAGACTACACCAAGAAAAAAATAATTGTACTTGCATAATTTACCTGTGGGAGAAGTTCCTGGCACAGTTGGTGAAGTCCCGGGTCCAGTTGGGGAAGTTTCTGGTGCTACAGATAGAAATAATGTTATCTTAGATATTTCAGTGGAGAAAGAATTGTTTGTCAATACTTGAATTGGTCAAATTAAAGTGCTTGTCTGAAAACTGGCCTGAAGCTTCGGAAACGTGTAGCTGTCAAGCCAATTGACAATATCACACATTACTTCTTTGTGCAAATAAACTACATCACGAAATAAATAATTGTAATTTAGTGGTCTGCTATAACATCCTTATAAATTAGATAAGCTGTTCCTGATGATTGTAGATTCGGATCTGTAATTGGTGCTTTTATATGACAGGATGTTGCATTCAAACAATGTTGTTGTTGTTTCTCAAAAACTATGCTAATGTAAATTAAACCATATATGAATATACCAATATAACACATTATATACATTTAATGGATAGGAAAGGCGACATTTCAAAAATCATAAAGTATAGCAAGTAGTAATATGAAAATGCTTGAGATTGAACCCCATTAAGAATAGTATTGGGTAAAATAATGATTGATATCAGTGGATAATATGCTTGTCATCCACGGAAAAAACGCGTATTTCATATTTCGTATGTAGGTGGGTGGTGCTTCCAAAGCCATGGGCATGGTAAGTTCAATGGAAAAATGGCAAAAAAGATCTAGTCATGAATATTACCTGTAGGCGATGTGCCGGGTGGTGGGACAGATGGAGAAGTACCTGGTGGCGGTGCAGTAGGCGATGTTCCTGGTGGTGCTGCAGTAGGTGAAGTTCCTGGAGGAGGGACAGTAGGTGATGTTCCAGGCGGAGGAGCAGTAGGCGATGTTCCAGGTGGTAGAGCAGTAGGTGATGTACCAGGTGGCGCTGCTGTTGGCGATGTTCCTGGTGGTGGAGCAGTTGGGGATGTTCCAGGTGGTGGAGCAGTAGGGGACGTTCCGGGTGGTGGAGCAGTAGGTGATGTTGCAGTTGGCGCTGTAGTTGGGGATGTTCCAGGTGCTATGGGTGAAAACGTTAGCTATGTATTAGAAAGATAATTATTTATCAGTTTGTAATTCTTTGTTTCATTGATATATTATTCCTAAAAGTACAATAGCACCAATATCTTAGGAGGTTTATGATGAAATGACTCGGTAGTGTTTGGTGCCATTGCTTATACAAATACGAAATTTATTATACTATTGCATCAGACAAGAGAACACATCTTCATAGCCAATTTGTCGTGATTAACAGATACAACGTTCTGCATTTTCTATCAATTAGCAAGGCCCATTTAACTCATATGAAAGAAATGTTCCAGGTGTATTGCTAATGTGATATGCGAGTAGATGTTCCAGGTGGCACTGCAGTCGGTGATGTTTTATGTGGTGCTGCAGTTGGGGATGTTTCATATACTCTGGGTGAAAGCGTATGTTACATACTTTTACATACGGAAGCTTATTTCCAATAGATATATTTTAAGCAAACAATACCATAGGGATTAAGACCATTCTGACATAAAAATATAATGTTTACAATTCTGTTCATTATTTAGATTGCATTTGTCAACTTACTGATAACTTTGATATATGCCGTACTCTTTGGTAAAATCTTATCAGATTATGCATTAAAACATAAATAGGACCAACCTGTGGGAGATGTTCCTGCTGTGGCAGTCTCTTCAAAACATGCTCTTACATCCAAATTAAATTTAACAGCAGCTGTAGAGTTTGTTGGCACAATAGTAACTCGTATCTTTTGAGCTTTGGTTTCTGGAGGGAAATCAGCTTTTGGTATCGGGTCCTGGAGACCAGCCTATGGTTATACAAATAGACCATTTTTAAATTGTCAATTGAAACCGTGGCAAAATAGATAATATTGAGCAAAACGGGTAAAAATTCCTTAAAGATACATTATGGGAGATTTTAATAGAGAGTTGGTCATTCTTGCTATAATAGTTCAAAAATAGATGATGACAGAAGAATATATTGAAAATTTCAGTCAAATTACTTTATTCTGAACAAAGTTATCACCATTGTAATTTTTGACTAGAAATAGGAGTCAACTCCCTCTTCACCGTCTCCGAGAATGACCGATCGTTTGATTGACAGGCGTTAACTCCACCTACATAATCTCGATTATCAAGTAACGTTTTCAATGGCTGTGGTTGCAATTCAATTCGTATCACATTTATTTTTACTACAAATTAAAAATAAGACTTTTAATATATAGACAAGAAGCGAAAGTTTGAAAGGTATGGACCAACTCAATGAGACATAATTATAGCCGACTTCTTGTACTGTAACTGGTAGGGCTACGTAACTCTAGAAGCAGACAAATACTAATAGGAAACAGTGATCCAATGGGGCTGCAATTCAACTGGGGTGATGTTAGCTGCGGTGTTTATCAATTTCCATATTTTTTCTGTAAACGCAAGTGACAAAAGAGCATATAATACCGACATCCAAACTCTCATTTTAACCACAACTAAACATAATCTCAAGGCCGTATATATCGAACTTTCAATCAAATTGACTGACATGCGGCCTCGCTCAACAGCGGCCTCGCTTCGTATACTCTATCATTTAGCCTTGATCTAAAATTTCCGGCAGTATGACGTCAACGTAACGGTTTTTGATTAAAAATTTAATCAATCAATAAAATCCTGTTTAAATCCACCCTAATCCAAGCCATCCGTGCGTCTACAGAGTTGATTTTGTGCTTGTTGTGTAAATAAAGATCTAATTCATAATTTCTATGACATCTGAAGCCTAAAAAATGACTTGCAATAATCAGATTTAGCTCTTGCATAATGTATGTTTAAAAGATAAATGGCATGACTTTATGAAAAAATAATTAAATTTGACAGGAACTGAAGCGTTCGTTGGCACCAGAGTAACTCGTATCGTTTGAACTTCGGTTACTGTAGGGAAATCCGCTTTTAGTGGCGCGTCCTATGATTTATACAAATAGGGAATTTTTAAATTGCCAACTGAAACCATGGCAGTGCTAATATTGAGCAAAACGGATCAAAATTCTTTAAAGCTCTCCTATTTTTGAATTGTCTACACGTTTTGCCCGAGTTTCTCAAGACATACAATAAAAATGACGTGATTTTATGGAAGAATAATAATACAATTATATAATAAAAATGAAGTATATGTATAATACTGTATTTATTTTGAAATGATCTATTTGGATTTAAATTTAGCCATAAAATATCTATATCTTTTCATGGGATCTGAATGTGGCATCTTTGAACGTGCATATTTTGATTTGTAACTTGTTAGTTCAACCGATGTACAGTTCGGCCCCATCACTAAATTTTATGATATATAAGCTACTTTGCAGATCATACACTCATTGATAAAAAACATTCTTCTTTCGCACTGTCAGAAATAAATGATATACACTCAATGAAATATCTTTATACACAGTAAGTATCCATATACATATATTCAAAAACTAATATTCGTGGCCAAATAACGTAATGTAAAGCACGTAACTGTTTTACCAAATTTACTTCGAATATAGTATTTAAGACATTAGACTTACTTGATCTGTTACAGGAGTTTCATTGCCCTGTGAATCAATCAGCACTATTTCTATGGATTCGAAATTCTCAGCATTCGGGAATGTGATGGATCCCAGATCGACATCCTCATCGGTATTAGGTGAAAGATCTATGGTAAATAGTATAGGATTGCTGCCGTTGGGTATGATAGATAATGGGACATCGCTTGTCCTTAGATTATCCACTTGGTCAGGTGTCAAACCCTCAACACTTGAACTTGGTATAAATGCTGGTTTCTCCATTCCATTTATCTCCTCGCATCTCTCTGAAAAAATTGTGAAAAGAATAAATGTTAACTCCAATGAAATATGGATTCAATTTTCACAGACTTCATGCATGTTTGAGATTTTCCGGTGGCGGTAAAAGAAACTGAGAAACTTGTTATGGTTATTTCACGCATATCAAATACAGACAGACTCTGTTATCATCTACGCTTAGTCTGAGAAGAAAACGTTCCTAGTCGAACTGAGTCATGGTTTTGAAGTAGACTACCTGGGAGTGAAACTTTACACTAAGTTTCATCACTTTCACTCAGTTAGAATCAAAGTAATCTTGCCCCAAAGCAACGACCAATGAAACTGCTTAGCTCTGTCTGCTTAGCTTTAGCGGTAAATATTAATCATTGAACGCAGTCAAGACATTCGCCTAATGAACATCCACACCATGTTTAAACATTTCATATCAATTAAAAGTAGAGTTGTTATTCCCAACGCAGAACATGCTCCTCTTCGAACTTCATTAAGGCATTCAACTAATAAACACCAAGTGTGATGGACAGATGGACGGACGAACCTATTTTAGTAGTCCCCTGCTTTCTGCATATTGTTCTGCATTTAACTTTGCGGAAATTACCGGTCGCCGTTGTTATGCATTTAACTATGGGAGAAGTTCCGGGCGCAGTTAATACTGCTGGATAAATAAATTGTTTGTTTTTAAAGGCTTCGGCTGCTTATCTGAAAATATACCTGGGCTTCGAAGAAGTGTGACTATCAAACAAATTGACAATATTATCCAATGTTGATTAGTATAAATAGACTACACCAAGATATAAATAATTGTTGTCCTGCTATTACCTGTGGGAGAAGTTCCGGGCACAGTTGGCGAAGTTCCGGGTGCAGTTGGTGATGTTCCTGGTGCTGGAAATAGAAATGATTTTAGCTTAGATATTTTAGAAACGAATGGATTGTTTGTCAGTACTTTAACTTGTCAACGTAAAGTGTTTGTCTGAAAACTGACATGGAGCTTCGAAAACCTGTAGCTGTTAAGCAAATTGACAATATCAAACAACACTGCTTTGTGTAAATAAACTACACCACGAAATAAATTGTATAGAAGACTTGAGTGGTCTGTTATGACATCCTTATGAATTAATTACATAACATGTTCCTGGTGACTGTAGATTTGGATATGTAATTGGTGCTTTTATAGGGCATAAAATAGAGTAGGTAGTAATATGAAAATGTTTGGGTTTGGGATGGTGAGGGAACCCCATTGAGAACAGTATGCGGTAAAATAATATTTGATATCAGTGGATAATATGCTAGTCATCCATAGAAAATAGAAAGCCTATTTCATATTTCATATGTAGGTGAGTGGTGCTTCAAAAGCGAGGGGCTTGGTCAATTCAATTGACAAATGGTAAAACAAATCTAGTCATGAATATTACCTGTAGGCGATGTGCCAGGTGGTAGGACAGAGGGAGAAGTACCTGGTGGCGGTGCAGTGGGCGATGTTCCTGGTGGCGGTGGAGTGGGCGATGTTCCTGGTGGTGCTGCAGTAGTTGAAGTTCCTTGAGGTTGGGCAGTAGGTGATGTTCCAGACGGTGGAGCAGTAGGCGATGTTCCAGGTGGTGGGGCAGTGGGTGTTGTGCTAGATGGTGGAACTGTTTGGGATGTTCCGGGCGGTGGACCAGTTGGGGATGTTCCAGCTGGTGGAGCAGTTGGGGAAGTTCCAGGTGGTCGGGCAGTGGGTGTTGTGCCAGATGGTGGAGCAGTAGGGGAAGTTCCGGGTGGTGGAGCTGTAGATGATGTTCCAGGCGGTGGGGCAGTGGGCGATGTTCCAGGTGGCCCTGCTGTTGGGGATGTTCCTGGTGGTGGAACAGTTGGAGAAGTCCCTGGTGGTAGAGCAGTGGGTGAGGTTCCAGTTAGCGCTGCTGTAGGTGATGTTCCAATTGGCGCTACAGTTTGGGATGCTCCAAGTGCTGTGGGCGAAAACGTTAGCTATGTGTTAAAAATATAATTATTGATCCATTCGTAAGTATTGATTTTATTGAAATTTCCAGCTTCATCATAACTATAAGAGACACTGTAGTAGTTTGTGGGAAAAGTCCCGGGCGCCGATGGCGAAGTTCATAGTGCTGGATATATTAATGATTTGTTTTTCAATGCTGAAATTAAAGTGCTTGTCTGAAAATATAAGCAGGGCCCCGAAGAAGTGTAACTGTCTATTACCTGTGGGAGAAGTTCCAGGCGCAGTCGGTGAAGTTCCAGGTACAGTTGGAGAAGTTCCGGGTGCTGTTGGCGAAGTTCCTGGTGCTGGAGACAGAAATGATTTTATATTAGGTATTTCAGAAAAGAATGAATTGTTTGTCAATTCTTTAACAGCTTATATTCAAGTACTTTCCTAAAAACGTGTAACTATAAAGCAAATTGACAATATTATTCGCCACTGCTTTATAATTATAATTATAATCGCATAGTTGACTTGTTGTCCTATTTACCTATGGTCCCGTCCCGGGTGCCTTTGGGGACGTTCCTTGTCCTGGGGAAAAAAATGATTTTATCTTTGATATTTCAGAAAAGAATGAATTGTTTGTCAATACATGAAAAGCTCAAGTTAAACTGATCGAGTGAGTCGAAAAAAATGACAATATCATCCAATACTGATGTGTGCAAATAGACTACACCTTCGAAATTAATAATTGTAATTGTATAGATCACTTTAGTGTTCTGTTATAACACACTTGTGAGTTACAAAACCTGATACTGAGCATTTTATCTTCAAATCTGGAATTGGCGCTTTTATAGGTACGTTTTATTTTCAAAAATAGGCTAATGTAAATTAAACAACATATGACTATATTAATAAAATACATAATATACTTAATGAAATAGTAAGATGGCATTTGAAAAGTCACAAAATAGTACAGGTAGTTATCAAAATGTTTGCATATGTAACCCAGTCCATGTCAAGCAAATTGTCAAATAGTTGACTTTTTGTTCTTTTATTACCTGTGGGAGAAGTTCCAGGCGCAGTCGGTGAAGTTCCGGGTACAGTTGGAGAAGTTCCGGGTGCTGTTGGTGAAGTTCCTGGTGCTGGAGATAGAAATGATTGTATCTTAGATATTTTAGAAACGAATGGATTGTGTGTCAGTACTTTAACTAGTCAACGTAAAGTGTTTGTCTGAAACCTGAAATTCAGCTTCGAAATCCTGTAGCTATTAAGGAAATTGACAAATAATAAAACAAATCTAGTCATGAATATTACCTGTAGGCGAAGTGCCAGGCGATGGGATAGAGGGAGAAGTACCTGGTGGCGGTGCAGTGGGCGATGTTCCTGGTGGTGCTGCAGTAGGTGAAGTTCCTGGAGGTGGGGCAGTAGGTGATGTTCCAGACGGTGGAGCAGTGGGCGATGTTCCAGGAGGTGGGGCAGTGGGTGATGTGCCAGGCGGTGGAGCAGTAGGCGATGTTCCAGGTGGTGGGGCAGTGGGTGTTGTGCCAGATGGTGGAGCAGTAGGGGAAGTTCCGGCTGGTGGAGCAGTAGGTGATGTTCCAGGCGGTGGGGCAGTGGGTGATGTTCCAGGTGGCGCTGCTGTTGGGGATGTTCCTAGTGGTGGAACAGTTGGAGAAGTCCCTGGTGGTGGAGCAGTGGGTGAGGTTCCAGGTAGCGCTGCTGTAGGTGATGTTCCAGTTGGCGTTACAGTTGGGGATGCTCCAAGTGCTGTGGGCGAAAACGTTAGCTATGTGTTAAAAATATAATTATTGATCCATTTGTAAGTATTGATTTTATTGAAATTTCCAGCTTCATCATAACTATAAAAGATCCTGTAGTAGTTTGTGGGAGAAGTCCCGGTCGCCGATGGCGAAGTTCATAGTGCTGGATATTAATGATTTGTTTTTCAATGCTGAATTTAAAGTGCTTGTCTGAAAATATAAGCAGGGCCTCGAAGAACTGTAACTGTCTATTACCTGTGGGAGAAGTTCCAGGCGCAGTCGGTGAAGTTCCGGGTACAGTTGGAGAAGTTCCGGGTGCTGTTGGCGAAGTTCCTGGTGCTGGAGACAGAAATGATTTTATATTAGGTATTTCAGAAAAGAATGAATTGTTTGTCAATACTTTAACAGCTTATATTCAAGTACTTTCCTGAAAACGTGTAACTATAAAGCAAATTGACAATATTATTCGCCACTGCTTTATAATTATAATTATAATCGCATAGTTGACTTGTTGTCCTATTTACCTATGGTCCCGGGTGCCGTTGGGGAAGTTCCTTGTCCTGGGGAAAGAAATGATTTTATCTTTGATATTTCAGAAAAGAATGAATTGTTTGTCAATACATGAAAAGCTCAAGTTAAACTGATCGAGTGAGTCGAAAAAATTGACAATATCATCTAATACTGCTGTGTGCAAATAGACTACACCTTCGAAATTAATAATTGTAATTGTATAGATGACTTTAGTATTCTGTTATAACACACTTGTGAGTTACAAAACCTGATACTGAGCATTTTAACTTCAAATCTGGAATTGACGCTTTTTTAGGTCACTTTATTGCATTCGAGGCACGTTTTGTTTTCAAAAATAGGCTAATGTAAATTAAACAACATATGATTATACTAATAAAATACATAATATACATTTAAGGAAATAGTAAGATGGTATTTGAAAAGTCACAAAATAGTACAGGTAGTTATCAAAATGTTTGCATATGTAACCCAGTCCATGTCAAGCAAATTGTCAAATAGTTGACTTTTTGTTCTTCTATTACCTGTGGGAGAAGTTCCAGGCGCAGTCGGTGAAGTTCCGGGTACAGTTGGAGAAGTTCCGGGTGCTGTTGGTGAAGTTCCTGGTGCTGGAGATAGAAATGATTTTATCTTAGATATTTTAGAAACGAATGGATTGTGTGTCAGTACTTTAACTAGTCAACGTAAAGTGTTTGTCTGAAACCTGACATTCAGCTTCGAAATCCTGTAGCTCTTAAGCAAATTGACAAATAATAAAACAAATCTAGTCATGAATATTACCTGTAGGCGATGTGCCAGGCGGTGGGACAGAGGGAGAAGTACCTGGTGGCGGTGCAGTGGGCGATGTTCCTGGTGGTGCTGCAGTAGGTGAAGTTCCTGGAGGTGGGGCAGTAGGTGATGTTCCAGACGGTGGAGCAGTGGGCGATGTTCCAGGAGGTGGGGCAGTGGGTGATGTGCCAGGCGGTGGAGCAGTAGGCGATGTTCCAGGTGGTGGGGCAGTGGGTGTTGTGCCAGATGGTGGAGCAGTAGGGGAAGTTCCGACTGGTGGAGCAGTAGGTGATGTTCCAGGCGGTGGGGCAGTGGGTGATGTTCCAGGTGGCGCTGCTGTTGGGGATGTTCCTGGTGGTGGAACAGTTGGAGAAATCCCTGGTGGTAGAGCAGTGGGTGAGGTTCCAGGTAGCGCTGCTGTAGGTGATGTTCCAGTTGGCGCTACAGTTGGGGATGCTCCAAGTGCTGTGGGCGAAAACGTTAGCTATGTGTTAAAAATATAATTATTGATCCATTTGTAAGTATTGATTTTATTGAAATTTCCAGCTTCATCATAACTATAAGAGACCCTGTAGTAGTTTGTGCGAGAAGTCCCGGGCGCCGATGGCGAAGTTCATGGTTCTGGATATATTAATGATTTGTTTTTCAAGGCTGAAATTAAAGTGCTTGTCTGAAAATATAAGCAGGGAATCGAAAAACTGTAACTCTCGGACACATTGACAACATTATCCAACACTGCTTTGTGTAAATAGCCCAACCTGATATAAATAATTGTATTTAAAATAGTTGACTTTTTGTTCTTCTATTACCTGTGGGAGAAGTTCCAGGCGCTGTCGGTGAAGTTCCGGGTACAGTTGGAGAAGTTACGGGTGCTGTTGGCGAAGTTCCTGGTGCTGGAGACAGAAATGATTTTATATTAGGTATTTCAGAAAAGAATGAATTGTTTGTCTATACTTTAAAAGCTTATATTCAAGTACTTTTCTGAAAATGTGTAACTATAAAGCAAATTGACAATATTATCCGCCACTACTTTATAATTATAATTATAATCACACAGTTGACTTGTTATCCTATTTACCTATGGTGCAGGGTGCCGTTGGGAAAGTTCCTTGTGCTGGGGATAGAAATGATTTTATCTTTGATATTTCAGAAAAGAATGAATTGTTTGTCAATACGTGAAAAGCTCAAGTTAAACTGATCGAGGGAGTCGAAAAAAAATGACAATATCACCCAATACTGCTGTGTGCAAATAGATTACACCTTCAAAATTAATAATTGTAATTGTATAGATGACTTTAGTGTTCTGTAATAACACACTTGTGAGTTAAAAAAACCTTAACCTTATCCCGAGCATTGTACATTCAAATCTGGAATTGGCTCTTTTTTAGGTCACTTTGTTGAATTCGAGGTACGTTTTATTTCAAAAATAGGCTAATGTAAATTAAACAACATATTAATATACTAATAAAATACATAATATAGATTTAAGGAAATAGTTAGATGGCATTTGAAAAGTCGCAAAATAGTACAGGTAGTGATATCAAAATGTTTTCATATGTAACCCAGTCCATGTCAAGCAAATTGTCAATTTTATCTCCCTCTGATTTATATTTATAACCACATAGTTGACTTGTTGTCCTATTTACCTATGGGAGAAGTTCCGGGTGCCGTTGGGGACGTTCCTGGTGCTGGAGATAGAAATGATTGTATCTTTGATATTTCAGAAAAAATGAATCGTTTTACAATACTTGAAAAGCTCAAGTTAAACTGTTTGTCTGAAGATAGATCGAGGGAGTTGAAAAAATTGACAATATCATCCAATACTGCTGTGTGCAAATAGACTACACCTTCGAAATTAATAATTGTCCTTGTATATATGACTTTAGTGTTCTGTTATAACACACTTGTGAGTTACAAAAACCTGATCCCGAGCATTGTACATTCAAATCTGGAATTGGCGCTTTTCTAGGTCACATTATTGCATTCGAGGTACTTTTTTTTTCAAAAATAGGCTAATGTAAATTAAACATTTAAGGAATAGTTAGATGGCATTTGAAAAGTCACAGAATAGTACAGGTAGTGATATCAAAATGTTTGCATATGTAACCCAGTGCATGTAGGTGTGTGGTGCTTCAAATGCCCATGACTTGGACAAGCCATTGGAAAGATATAAAATAATCTTGGTCAGGAATATTACCTGCAGGCGATAGGCCGGTTGGTGGAGCAGTTGGCCGTGCAGTAGGGGATGTTCCAGGTGGTTGAATAGTAGGTGATGTTGCTGGTGGTGGCGCAGTAGGTGATGTTCCAGGTGGTGGGACAGAGGGTGATGTGCCAGGTGGTGGAGCAGATGGGGATGTTCCAGGTGGTGGAGCAGACGGGGATGTTTCAGGTGTTGGCGCAGTAGGTGACGTTCCAGGTGGTGGAGCAGTAGGTGATGTTGCAGGTGGCGCTGTTGTTGGGGATGTCCCTGGTGGTGGAGCAGTAGGCGATGTTCCAGGTGGCGCTGATGTAGGTGATGTTCCAGGTGCTGTGGGTGAAAACGTTAACTATGTGTTGAAAAGATAATTATTGATCCATTCGTCAGTATCGATTTCGTTGATATATTATTCAGAAGCGTTTCGTGCCATGAGCATGACTTTTGCCACTTTTAAAAGTAAAATGAAGTGACAGTTTTGACAAGGGATTTTGAAGCTGAATAAATTGGAAATAAGATAACCCAAAGCCACCGACCAAATCACCAGTTTGCCTTGAGTGCCTTGACTTTGTAGCCTCTACTTCTATACTGTATCACGTCTCTGCATATATATATTTAATAGGAAGAAAATGGCTAATAGCGCTAATACACTGTGCATGGCAGTAATCTAAAATCGTTACGTAAAAGTTACCAGCTCATTGCTTTAAATAGTTGGACTTGTTTACATATTTAATATGGATTTATCCAACTGGCAACCAGGAAGGAGTAGCAAGTACCAACCTGTAGGTGATGATGGCACTGGTGGTGGCGTTCCTTGTGTTGCAGTTGGTGATTCAGCTTCTACTGGCAATGTAGGTGAAGTTACTACTGGTGGTCCTTAATTATTTATTAAGACATATATCGTAAATTATCTAATTTTTAGTCGACAGAATTAAATAAACTTGATAATATAACATACACAAAATATGTAAGCTATGTGAACTAAGAATTAGTAAGTGTTTTAGAAAAAGTAAGCATACCCTGCCATGAGCACACTTTCAACAGTAAAATGTAGTGACAATTTGGACATGGATTTCCGAATCTAAAGATAATGGAAAGGTATAACCCAAGGCCATTAGCCGAATCACCAGATTAGTGGTTTAAGTTTTCTATAAGTAAAAAATTCGAAGTGGTCGGTGTTTTCTAAAGTAAATCAGAAAATGGCGCCATGTGCTCGGCAGGTAATGGCTACAGACAGATTTATCATACCAGTAGTTGAAATACAGAAACTTCCCATTATGTATTTGACAATTCGGAATAGGAGAAATGGTGGCCTTTACTTGTTACATCCGGTACAGATGATGAACAAAATCACTGATAATACAGAACATATTATTTAGAATGTATTTATACCCTACCTGTTGGCGATGTTCCTGGTGTACCAGTTGTCACTGTAAAAAAGAAGTCATTGTAAAGTGTATTGTTGTATTTTGTACGATAAAGAGAGAGAGAGAGATAGATTAATGCTTTATACAGGTCGGATTTATAGCACAGATGAGAAAGGTTGATACTCCTTTACAAATTTGGTGGTCCACTTAAAGTTCAGAATATAGAAGATACTCACCTACGAAGCAAGCGTGTACACTAACATCAATATTAATTGGTTCGGTAATGTTTGTGGGTGTTATCTCTACCAAAATATCTGTGACAACTACTTCCGGTGGGAATGTAAGAATACCGTCTGAAGGATCATCCTGTTAGCATATATAAATAAACACAAGATATTCAACATATCTAACATGGCTATCCCTAAAAATAAATATTTCGTGGTATCGTCCAAACATAAACACCAAAGGAATTATAAAGAATAAAATACATTTGAAATTGTAACATATCTGAATTTGGACTTAAGCAGCGTCATTTCTTAATTGTTAAAGATCCGAATACTTACATCAGTAGATTCAAGTAGGGTCCATGGTGCTGAAGGTCCCGTGCGTCCAAATACTCTAAATGTCTTGACATTTTCCCTGACTGGAAGATTTACTTCTGACAGATCAACGGGTTCACCCCCAGTAACTTTCAATGTGACGTTGGTAGGCGTGTCCGATGGGTTAATTGTAAATGGATCATCGCCTGGTCTCAGATCTGCTGGGTTATCTGTTGATGGGAAGGCAGGTTCTTGTTCAAGGTAAGTATCAGGTATAACTGTTGGGCTTCCCATTCCTTCTGTTACAACACATCGTGCTGGAAAAAAAGACAATTGATTGTTGATTGCTAATAATTAAAGACATTATAGGATAGAATGATAAAATATAATATATGTTTATGATATTTCAAGTCCAATGTTTAATTGTTGAACGACGTTTATATTGTTATGATTTATGATTTAGACATGACTGTATACATTAACTTACGTGTAGTTGATCCCACTGTAAATAATAATAAATAAATATTTTAATAGAATATCAGAATCGTTTCTGAAAGCTTGAGTAATTTAAACAACGCTGCTTTAACTGACTGGTTAATCTCTATCAAACCCTGGTACTATAGCTTGTTTATACAAGAGCAAGGAAAGTATTAAACCTTCCAAATTATATAGCAAGATTGGTAAAATTGAACATATCTGCATATGTTTTTATAGTACAAGCCAGAAATTAAGAAGACATATCTTAATATAAACTAATGTCGGATACAGAAAAGAAAAAAGTTGAATATATATAATTACAGGTTGGTGATGTCCCAATTGCCACTGTAGGTGATGTTCCAATTGTCACTGTAGGTGATGTACCGAGTCCGGCTGTTTCTAAAATAATTAATAAACAGGATGTTAGTTACAGTAGGTGATTGTTTCTAAAATGATCAAAACATAACATGTCAAGTAATAACTTGGATGCATCACGGGTCTCTAGCACTTGCAGGAAATCGAGGAACCCATGTGGTTGGTTGGTTTCATATTGCCCGTCCATTGGTTTAATATTTATATCAGTTCAAAATGATTGAGTATTACAGTTCTCATTTGAACGACAGGAGTGCACCATACGACCCTACATTGTCCCAATCAGTCGACTATTTAATATTATATACCTTCAAAGCACGCTCTGACATCAATCTTAAAAGAAGTAGGCTGGCCTGAAGAGGTTGGTGTTACTTCGATTCTGATTTTTTCGGCTACTGTTCCAGCAGGGAATGAAGCTTTAGGGATAGGTAACGATAAATCAGCCTTAAAAACAATGCAAATCACAGGTTAAAATACACATCAATTAGGAATCTCGAAAAGAAACATGTTGAGAAAGACAATGCTATAGACAAATTAAAATTAATTGGGCAGTGATGTAGGTGATATTTGGTTGTGGCTTGGATAAACATTGTGGGGGGGGGGGGGTAGCCTCTTATATTTAATCAAAAGTCTCGCCACTGTCTATTGTTATGTATTCAGATGTCGGAGTCATTCCGATACTGAGTACAGGAATAAACGGAATAAACATACAGCTGACATTGTCAGTCTTTGTCTGTAGCAATAATTGCTACACCAAGCCAGAACGATGTGTACATAAACACACATAATATCAAGACGAAACAAAATGTACTTACTGGGTTCAAGTATGCAGCTTCTGTTTCTGAACCGCCAGTTGGAGTTACAAATACTCTAATAGATTGAACATTATCGGGCGATACAAGCTGCACTGATTTAAGTTCTACCTCTTCATTTGTGACTGGTGTCAAATCAATTGTTATATCTGGTGTACTTCCAGCAGGGAAGGTGGCTGGGTCTGTACTTGCTGGTCTCAGGTTTTCTACATCAGTTGCTGCTGGCACAGTTGTAATACTTGATGTAGGGATAATAGCAGGATTATCCATTCCATTTACTTCAGTACAGACAACTGTAATTCGAGGAAAAGGCATGCTCATGAAAAAAGGAACTTGGAGTGACTAGTTTTCTATTAGTTGATATTGAATTCCATGTAGTCAAATTTACAGAATATGAAGTTAATAATGTAAACTATAGCTAATACACGATATTTAGAATTAAATTCACGGAAAATGCACGATCACGAAAACAGGAACTTGGAGTAACTAGTTTTCTATTAGCGATAAACCCTTTTAAATATCATCACACTTAATTATTCAGATATCACTTTTCAGCCTTATCATATCTACAAGAGGCCTCAAGTAGTTTGCGGGAAAAGTTCCGGGCGCCGATGGCGAAGTTCTTGGTGCTGGATATATAATTGATTTGTTTTTCTGACTTGGACTGCTGAAATTAAAGTGCTTGACTGAAAATATAAGCTGGGCCTCGAAGAAGTGTAACTGTCAAGCTCTTTAGCAATATTATCCATTGCTTCTTTGTGTAAATAGACTACACCAAGAAAAAACAATAACCTCCAATTCTGCTTTATGTAAATAGACTACACCAAGAAAAAAATAATTGTACTTGCATAATTTACCTGTGGGAGAAGTTCCTGGCACAGTTGGTGAAGTCCCGGGTCCAGTTGGGGAAGTTTCTGGTGCTACAGATAGAAATAATGTTATCTTAGATATTTCAGTGGAGAAAGAATTGTTTGTCAATACTTGAATTGGTCAAATTAAAGTGCTTGTCTGAAAACTGGCCTGAAGCTTCGGAAACGTGTAGCTGTCAAGCCAATTGACAATATCACACATTACTTCTTTGTGCAAATAAACTACATCACGAAATAAATAATTGTAATTTAGTGGTCTGCTATAACATCCTTATAAATTAGATAAGCTGTTCCTGATGATTGTAGATTCGGATCTGTAATTGGTGCTTTTATATGACAGGATGTTGCATTCAAACAATGTTGTTGTTGTTTCTCAAAAACTATGCTAATGTAAATTAAACCATATATGAATATAACACATTATATACATTTAATGGATAGGAAAGGCGACATTTCAAAAATCATAAAGTATAACAAGTAGTAATATGAAAATGCTTGAGATTGAACCCCATTAAGAATAGTATTGGGTAAAATAATGATTGATATCAGTGGATAATATGCTTGTCATCCACGGAAAAAACGCGTATTTCATATTTCGTATGTAGGTGGGTGGTGCTTCCAAAGCCATGGGCATGGTCAGTTCAATGGAAAAATGGCAAAAAAGATCTAGTCATGAATATTACCTGTAGGCGATGTGCCGGGTGGTGGGACAGATGGAGAAGTACCTGGTGGCGGTGCAGTAGGCGATGTTCCTGGTGGTGCTGCAGTAGGTGAAGTTCCTGGAGGAGGGACAGTAGGTGATGTTCCAGGCGGAGGAGCAGTAGGCGATGTTCCAGGTGGTAGAGCAGTAGGTGATGTACCAGGTGGCGCTGCTGTTGGCGATGTTCCTGGTGGTGGAGCAGTTGGGGATGTTCCAGGTGGTGGAGCAGTAGGGGACGTTCCGGGTGGTGGAGCAGTAGGTGATGTTGCAGTTGGCGCTGTAGTTGGGGATGTTCCAGGTGCTATGGGTGAAAACGTTAGCTATGTATTAGAAAGATAATTATTTATCAGTTTGTAATTCTTTGTTTCATTGATATATTATTCCTAAAAGTACAATAGCACCAATATCTTAGGAGGTTTATGATGAAATGACTCGGCAGTGTTTGGTGCCATTGCTTATACAAATACGAAATTTATTATACTATTGCATCAGACAAGAGAACACATCTTCATAGCCAATTTGTCGTGATTAACAGATACAACGTTCTGCATTTTCTATCAATTAGCAAGGCCCATTTAACTCATATGAAAGAAATGTTCCAGGTGTATTGCTAATGTGATATGCGAGTAGATGTTCCAGGTGGCACTGCAGTCGGTGATGTTTTATGTGGTGCTGCAGTTGGGGATGTTTCATATACTCTGGGTGAAAGCGTATGTTACATACTTTTACATACGGAAGCTTATTTCCAATAGATATATTTTAAGCAAACAATACCATAGGGATTAAGACCATTCTGACATAAAAATATAATGTTTACAATTCTGTTCATTATTAAGATTGCATTTGTCAACTTACTGATAACTTTGATATATGCCGTACTCTTTGGTAAAATCTTATCAGATTATGCATTAAAACATAAATAGGACCAACCTGTGGGAGATGTTCCTGCTGTGGCAGTCTCTTCAAAACATGCTCTTACATCCAAATTAAATTTAACAGCAGCTGTAGAGTTTGTTGGCACAATAGTAACTCGTATCTTTTGAGCTTTGGTTTCTGGAGGGAAATCAGCTTTTGGTATCGGGTCCTGGAGACCAGCCTATGGTTATACAAATAGACCATTTTTATATTGTCAATTGAAACCGTGGCAAAATAGATAATATTGAGCAAAACGGGTAAAAATTCCTTAAAGATACATTATGGGAGATTTTAATAGAGAGTTGGTCATTCTTGCTATAATAGTTCAAAAATAGATGATGACAGATTGACAGGCGTTAACTCCACCTACATAATCTCGATTATCAAGTAACGTTTTCAATGGCTGTGGTTGCAATTCAATTCGTATCACATTTATTTTTATTACAAATTAAAAATAAGACTTTTAATATATAGACAAGAAGCGAAAGTTTGAAAGGAATGGACCAACTCAATGAGGCATAATTATAGCCGACTTCTTGTACTGTAACTGGTAGGGCTACGTAACTCTAGAAGCAGACAAATACTAATAGGAAACAATGATCCAATGGGGCTGCAATTCAACTGGGGTGATGTTAGCTGCGGTGTTTATCAATTTCCATATTTTTTCTGTAAACGCAAGTGACAAAAGAGCATATAATACCGACATCCAAACTCTCATTTTAACCACAACTAAACATAATCTCAAGGCCGTATATATCGAACTTTCAATCAAATTGACTGACATGCGGCCTCGCTCAACAGCGGCCTCGCTTCGTATACTCTATCATTTAGCCTTGATCTAAAATTTCCGGCAGTATGACGTCAACGTAACGGTTTTTGATTAAAAATTTAATCAATCAATAAAATCCTGTTTAAATCCACCCTAATCCAAGCCATCCGTGCGTCTACAGAGTTGATTTTGTGCTTGTTGTGTAAATAAAGATCTAATTCATAATTTCTATGACATCTGAAGCCTAAAAAATGACTTGCAATAATCAGATTTAGCTCTTGCATAATGTATGTTTAAAAGATAAATGGCATGACTTTATGAAAAAAAAATTAAATTTGACAGGAACTGAAGCGTTCGTTGGCACCAGAGTAACTCGTATCGTTTGAACTTCGGTTACCGTAGGGAAATCCGCTTTTAGTGGCGCGTCCTATGATTTATACAAATAGGGAATTTTTAAATTGCCAACTGAAACCATGGCAGTGCTAATATTGAGCAAAACGGATCAAAATTCTTTAAAGCTCTCCTATTTTTGAATTGTCTACACGTTTTGCCCGAGTTTCTCAAGACATACAATAAAAATGACGTGATTTTATGGAAGAATAATAATACAATTATATAATAAAAATGAAGTATATGTATAATACTGTATTTATTTTGAAATGATCTATTTGGATTTAAATTTAGCCATAAAATATCTATATCTTTTCATGGGATCTGAATGTGGCATCTTTGAACGTGCATATTTTGATTTGTAACTTGTTAGTTCAACCGATGTACAGTTCGGCCCCATCACTAAATTTTATGATATATAAGCTACTTTGCAGATCATACACTCATTGATAAAAAACATTCTTCTTTCGCACTGTCAGAAATAAATGATATACACTCAATGAAATATCTTTATACACAGTAAGTATCCATATACATATATTCAAAAACTAATATTCGTGGCCAAATAACGTAATGTAAAGCACGTAACTGTTTTACCAAATTTACTTCGAATATAGTATTTAAGACATTAGACTTACTTGATCTGTTACAGGAGTTTCATTGCCCTGTGAATCAATCAGCACTATTTCTATGGATTCGAAATTCTCAGCATTCGGGAATGTGATGGATCCCAGATCGACATCCTCATCGGTATTAGGTGAAAGATCTATGGTAAATAGTATAGGATTGCTGCCGTTGGGTATGATAGATAATGGGACATCGCTTGTCCTTAGATTATCCACTTGGTCAGGTGTCAAACCCTCAACACTTGAACTTGGTATAAATGCTGGTTTCTCCATTCCATTTATCTCCTCGCATCTCTCTGAAAAAATTGTGAAAAGAATAAATGTTAACTCCAATGAAATATGGATTCAATTTTCACAGACTTCATGCATGTTTGAGATTTTCCGGTGGCGGTAAAAGAAACTGAGAAACTTGTTATGGTTATTTCACGCATATCAAATACAGACAGACTCTGTTATCATCTACGCTTAGTCTGAGAAGAAAACGTTCCTAGTCGAACCGAGTCATGGTTTTGAAGTAGACTACCTGGGAGTGAAACTTTACACTAAGTTTCATCACTTTCACTCAGTTAGAATCAAAGTAATCTTGCCCCAAAGCAACGACCAATGAAACTGCTTAGCTCTGTCTGCTTAGCTTTAGCGGTAAATATTAATCATTGAACGCAGTCAAGACATTCGCCTAATGAACATCCACACCATGTTTAAACATTTTATATCAATTAAAAGTAGAGTTGTTATTCCCAACGCAGAACATGCTCCTCTTCGAACTTCATTAAGGCATTCAACTAATAAACACCAAGTGTGATGGACAGATGGACGGACGAACCTATTTTAGTAGTCCCCTGCTTTCTGCATATTGTTCTGCATTTAACTTTGCGGAAATTACCGGTCGCCGTTGTTATGCATTTAACTATGGGAGAAGTTCCGGGCGCAGTTAATACTGCTGGATAAATAAATTGTTTGTTTTTAAAGGCTTCGGCTGCTTATCTGAAAATATACCTGGGCTTCGAAGAAGTGTGACTATCAAACAAATTGACAATATTATCCAATGTTGATTAGTATAAATAGACTACACCAAGATATAAATAATTGTTGTCCTGCTATTACCTGTGGGAGAAGTTCCGGGCACAGTTGGCGAAGTTCCGGGTGCAGTTGGTGATGTTCCTGGTGCTGGAAATAGAAATGATTTTAGCTTAGATATTTTAGAAACGAATGGATTGTTTGTCAGTACTTTAACTTGTCAACGTAAAGTGTTTGTCTGAAAACTGACATGGAGCTTCGAAAACCTGTAGCTGTTAAGCAAATTGACAATATCACACAACACTGCTTTGTGTAAATAAACTACACCACGAAATAAATTGTATAGAAGACTTGAGTGGTCTGTTATGACATCCTTATGAATTAATTACATAACATGTTCCTGGTGACTGTAGATTTGGATATGTAATTGGTGCTTTTATAGGGCATAAAATAGAGTAGGTAGTAATATGAAAATGTTTGGGTTTGGGATGGTGAGGGAACCCCATTGAGAACAGTATGCGGTAAAATAATATTTGATATCAGTGGATAATATGCTAGTCATCCATAGAATATAGAAAGCCTATTTCATATTTCATATGTAGGTGAGTGGTGCTTCAAAAGCGAGAGGCTTGGTCAATTCAATTGACAAATGGTAAAACAAATCTAGTCATGAATATTACCTGTAGGCGATGTGCCAGGTGGTAGGACAGAGGGAGAAGTACCTGGTGGCGGTGCAGTGGGCGATGTTCCTGGTGGCGGTGCAGTGGGCGATGTTCCTGGTGGTGCTGCAGTAGTTGAAGTTCCTTGAGGTTGGGCAGTAGGTGATGTTCCAGACGGTGGAGCAGTAGGCGATGTTCCAGGTGGTGGGGCAGTGGGTGTTGTGCCAGATGGTGGAACTGTTTGGGATGTTCCAGGCGGTGGACCAGTTGGGGATGTTCCAGCTGGTGGAGCAGTTGGGGAAGTTCCAGGTGGTCGGGCAGTGGGTGTTGTGCCAGATGGTGGAGCAGTAGGGGAAGTTCCGGGTGGTGGAGCTGTAGGTGATGTTCCAGGCGGTGGGGCAGTGGGCGATGTTCCAGGTGGCACTACTGTTGGGGATGTTCCTGGTGGTGGAACAGTTGGAGAAGTCCCTGGTGGTAGAGCAGTGGGTGAGGTTCCAGGTAGCGCTGCTGTAGGTGATGTTCCAGTTGGCGCTACAGTTTGGGATGCTCCAAGTGCTGTGGGCGAAAACGTTAGCTATGTGTTAAAAATATGATTATTGATCCATTTGTAAGTATTGATTTTATTGAAATTTCCAGCTTCATCATAACTATAAGAGACACTGTAGTAGTTTGTGGGAAAAGTCCCGGGCGCCGATGGCGAAGTTCATAGTGCTGGATATATTAATGATTTGTTTTTCAATGCTGAAATTAAAGTGCTTGTCTGAAAATATAAGCAGGGCCCCGAAGAAGTGTAACTGTCTATTACCTGTGGGAGAAGTTCCAGGCGCAGTCGGTGAAGTTCCGGGTACAGTTGGAGAAGTTCCGGGTGCTGTTGGCGAAGTTCCTGGTGCTGGAGACAGAAATGATTTTATATTAGGTATTTCAGAAAAGAATGAATTGTTTGTCAATTCTTTAACAGCTTATATTCAAGTACTTTCCTAAAAACGTGTAACTATAAAGCAAATTGACAATATTATTCGCCACTGCTTTATAATTATAATTATAATCGCATAGTTGACTTGTTGTCCTATTTACCTATGGTCCCGTCCCGGGTGCCTTTGGGGAAGTTCCTTGTCCTGGGGAAAAAATGATTTTATCTTTGATATTTCAGAAAAGAATGAATTGTTTGTCAATACATGAAAAGCTCAAGTTAAACTGATCGAGTGAGTCGAAAAAAATGACAATATCATCCAATACTGCTGTGTGCAAATAGACTACACCTTCGAAATTAATAATTGTAATTGTATAGATGACTTTAGTGTTCTGTTATAACACACTTGTGAGTTACAAAACCTGATACTGAGCATTTTAACTTCAAATCTGGAATTGGCGCTTTTATAGGTACGTTTTATTTTCAAAAATAGGCTAATGTAAATTAAACAACATATGACTATATTAATAAAATACATAATATACTTAAGGAAATAGTAAGATGGCATTTGAAAAGTCACAAAATATAACAGGTAGTTATCAAAATGTTTGCATATGTAACCCAGTCCATGTCAAGCAAATTGTCAAATAGTTGACTTTTTGTTCTTTTATTACCTGTGGGAGAAGTTCCAGGAGCAGTCGGTGAAGTTCCGGGTACAGTTGGAGAAGTTCCGGGTGCTGTTGGTGAAGTTCCTGGTGCTGGAGATAGAAATGATTGTATCTTAGATATTTTAGAAACGAATGGATTGTGTGTCAGTACTTTAACTAGTCAACGTAAAGTGTATGTCTGAAACCTGAAATTCAGCTTCGAAATCCTGTAGCTATTAAGGAAATTGACAAATAATAAAACAAATCTAGTCATGAATATTACCTGTAGGCGATGTGCCAGGCGATGGGATAGAGGGAGAAGTACCTGGTGGCGGTGCAGTGGGCGATGTTCCTGGTGGTGCTGCAGTAGGTGAAGTTCCTGGAGGTGGGGCAGTAGGTGATGTTCCAGACGGTGGAGCAGTGGGCGATGTTCCAGGAGGTGGGGCAGTGGGTGATGTGCCAGGCGGTGGAGCAGTAGGCGATGTTCCAGGTGGTGGGGCAGTGGGTGTTGTGCCAGATGGTGGAGCAGTAGGGGAAGTTCCGGCTGGTGGAGCAGTAGGTGATGTTCCAGGCGGTGGGGCAGTGGGTGATGTTCCAGGTGGCGCTGCTGTTGGGGATGTTCCTAGTGGTGGAACAGTTGGAGAAGTCCCTGGTGGTGGAGCAGTGGGTGAGGTTCCAGGTAGCGCTGCTGTAGGTGATGTTCCAGTTGGCGTTACAGTTGGGGATGCTCCAAGTGCTGTGGGCGAAAACGTTAGCTATGTGTTAAAAATATAATTATTGATCCATTTGTAAGTATTGATTTTATTGAAATTTCCAGCTTCATCATAACTATAAGAGATCCTGTAGTAGTTTGTGGGAGAAGTCCCGGTCGCCGATGGCGAAGTTCATAGTGCTGGATATTAATGATTTGTTTTTCAATGCTGAATTTAAAGTGCTTGTCTGAAAATATAAGCAGGGCCTCGAAGAACTGTAACTGTCTATTACCTGTGGGAGAAGTTCCAGTCGCAGTCGGTGAAGTTCCGGGTACAGTTGGAGAAGTTCCGGGTGCTGTTGGCGAAGTTCCTGGTGCTGGAGACAGAAATGATTTTATATTAGGTATTTCAGAAAAGAATGAATTGTTTGTCAATACTTTAACAGCTTATATTCAAGTACTTTCCTGAAAACGTGTAACTATAAAGCAAATTGACAATATTATTCGCCACTGCTTTATAATTATAATTATAATCGCATAGTTGACTTGTTGTCCTATTTACCTATGGTCCCGGGTGCCGTTGGGGAAGTTCCTTGTCCTGGGGAAAGAAATGATTTTATCTTTGATATTTCAGAAAAGAATGAATTGTTTGTCAATACATGAAAAGCTCAAGTTAAACTGATCGAGTGAGTCGAAAAAATTGACAATATCATCTAATACTGCTGTGTGCAAATAGACTACACCTTCGAAATTAATAATTGTAATTGTATAGATGACTTTAGTATTCTGTTATAACACACTTGTGAGTTACAAAACCTGATACTGAGCATTTTAACTTCAAATCTGGAATTGACGCTTTTTTAGGTCACTTTATTGCATTCGAGGCACGTTTTGTTTTCAAAAATAGGCTAATGTAAATTAAACAACATATGATTATACTAATAAAATACATAATATACATTTAAGGAAATAGTAAGATGGTATTTGAAAAGTCACAAAATAGTACAGGTAGTTATAAAAATGTTTACATATGTAACCCAGTCCATGTCAAGCAAATTGTCAAATAGTTGACTTTTTGTTCTTCTATTACCTGTGGGAGAAGTTCCAGGCGCAGTCGGTGAAGTTCCGGGTACAGTTGGAGAAGTTCCGGGTGCTGTTGGTGAAGTTCCTGGTGCTGGAGATAGAAATGATTTTATCTTAGATATTTTAGAAACGAATGGATTGTGTGTCAGTACTTTAACTAGTCAACGTAAAGTGTTTGTCTGAAACCTGACATTCAGCTTCGAAATCCTGTAGCTCTTAAGCAAATTGACAAATAATAAAACAAATCTAGTCATGAATATTACCTGTAGGCGATGTGCCAGGCGGTGGGACAGAGGTAGAAGTACCTGGTGGCGGTGCAGTGGGCGATGTTCCTGGTGGTGCTGCAGTAGGTGAAGTTCCTGGAGGTGGGGCAGTAGGTGATGTTCCAGACGGTGAGGCAGTGGGCGATGTTCCAGGAGGTGGGGCAGTGGGTGATGTGCCAGGCGGTGGAGCAGTAGGCGATGTTCCAGGTGGTGGGGCAGTGGGTGTTGTGCCAGATGGTGGAGCAGTAGGGGAAGTTCCGACTGGTGGAGCAGTAGGTGATGTTCCAGGCGGTGGGGCAGTGGGTGATGTTCCAGGTGGCGCTGCTGTTGGGGATGTTCCTAGTGGTGGAACAGTTGGAGAAGTCCCTGGTGGTGGAGCAGTGGGTGAGGTTCCAGGTAGCGCTGCTGTAGGTGATGTTCCAGTTGGCGTTACAGTTGGGGATGCTCCAAGTGCTGTGGGCGAAAACGTTAGCTATGTGTTAAAAATATAATTATTGATCCATTTGTAAGTATTGATTTTATTGAAATTTCCAGCTTCATCATAACTATAAGAGATCCTGTAGTAGTTTGTGGGAGAAGTCCCGGTCGCCGATGGCGAAGTTCATAGTGCTGGATATTAATGATTTGTTTTTCAGTGCTGAATTTAAAGTGCTTGTCTGAAAATATAAGCAGGGCCTCGAAGAACTGTAACTGTCTATTACCTGTGGGAGAAGTTCCAGGCGCAGTCGGTGAAGTTCCGGGTACAGTTGGAGAAGTTCCGGGTGCTGTTGGCGAAGTTCCTGGTGCTGGAGACAGAAATGATTTTATATTAGGTATTTCAGAAAAGAATGAATTGTTTGTCAATACTTTAACAGCTTATATTCAAGTACTTTCCTGAAAACGTGTAACTATAAAGCAAATTGACAATATTATTCGCCACTGCTTTATAATTATAATTATAATCGCATAGTTGACTTGATGTCCTATTTACCTATGGTCCCGGGTGCCGTTGGGGAAGTTCCTTGTCCTGGGGAAAGAAATGATTTTATCTTTGATATTTCAGAAAAGAATGAATTGTTTGTCAATACATGAAAAGCTCAAGTTAAACTGATCGAGTGAGTCGAAAAAATTGACAATATCATCTAATACTGCTGTGTGCAAATAGACTACACCTTCGAAATTAATAATTATAATTGTATAGATGACTTTAGTATTCTGTTATAACACACTTGTGAGTTACAAAACCTGATACTGAGCATTTTAACTTCAAATCTGGAATTGACGCTTTTTTAGGTCACTTTATTGCATTCGAGGCACGTTTTGTTTTCAAAAATAGGCTAATGTAAATTAAACAACATATGATTATACTAATAAAATACATAATATACATTTAAGGAAATAGTAAGATGGTATTTGAAAAGTCACAAAATAGTACAGGTAGTTATCAAAATGTTTGCATATGTAACCCAGTCCATGTCAAGCAAATTGTCAAATAGTTGACTTTTTGTTCTTCTATTACCTGTGGGAGAAGTTCCAGGCGCAGTCGGTGAAGTTCCGGGTACAGTTGGAGAAGTTCCGGGTGCTGTTGGTGAAGTTCCTGGTGCTGGTGATAGAAATGATTTTATCTTAGATATTTTAGAAACGAATGGATTGTGTGTCAGTACTTTAACTAGTCAACGTAAAGTGTTTGTCTGAAACCTGACATTCAGCTTCGAAATCCTGTAGCTCTTAAGCAAATTGACAAATAATAAAACAAATCTAGTCATGAATATTACCTGTAGGCGATGTGCCAGGCGGTGGGACAGAGGGAGAAGTACCTGGTGGCGGTGCAGTGGGCGATGTTCCTGGTGGTGCTGCAGTAGGTGAAGTTCCTGGAGGTGGGGCAGTAGGTGATGTTCCAGACGGTGGAGCAGTGGGCGATGTTCCAGGAGGTGGGGCAGTGGGTGATGTGCCAGGCGGTGGAGCAGTAGGCGACGTTCCAGGTGGTGGGGCAGTGGGTGTTGTGCCAGATGGTGGAGCAGTAGGGGAAGTTCCGACTGGTGGAGCAGTAGGTGATGTTCCAGGCGGTGGGGCAGTGGGTGATGTTCCAGGTGGCACTGCTGTTGGGGATGTTCCTGGTGGTGGAACAGTTGGAGAAATCCCTGGTGGTAGAGCAGTGGGTGAGGTTCCAGGTAGCGCTGCTGTAGGTGATGTTCCAGTTGGCGCTACAGTTGGGGATGCTCCAAGTGCTGTGGGCGAAAACGTTAGCTATGTGTTAAAAATATAATTATTGATCCATTTGTAAGTATTGATTTTATTGAAATTTCCAGCTTCATCATAACTATAAGAGACCCTGTAGTAGTTTGTGCGAGAAGTCCCGGGCGCCGATGGCGAAGTTCATGGTTCTGGATATATTAATGATTTGTTTTTCAAGGCTGAAATTAAAGTGCTTGTCTGAAAATATAAGCAGGGAATCGAAAAACTGTAACTCTCGGACACATTGACAACATTATCCAACACTGCTTTGTGTAAATAGCCCAACCTGATATAAATAATTGTATTTAAAATAGTTGACTTTTTGTTCTTCTATTACCTGTGGGAGAAGTTCCAGGCGCTGTCGGTGAAGTTCCGGGTACAGTTGGAGAAGTTACGGGTGCTGTTGGCGAAGTTCCTGGTGCTGGAGACAGAAATGATTTTATATTAGGTATTTCAGAAAAGAATGAATTGTTTGTCTATACTTTAAAAGCTTATATTCAAGTACTTTTCTGAAAATGTGTAACTATAAAGCAAATTGACAATATTATCCGCCACTACTTTATAATTATAATTATAATCACACAGTTGACTTGTTATCCTATTTACCTATGGTGCAGGGTGCCGTTGGGAAAGTTCCTTGTGCTGGGGAAAGAAATGATTTTATCTTTGATATTTCAGAAAAGAATGAATTGTTTGTCAATACGTGAAAAGCTCAAGTTAAACTGATCGAGGGAGTCGAAAAAAAATGACAATATCACCCAATACTGCTGTGTGCAAATAGATTACACCTTCAAAATTAATAATTGTAATTGTATAGATGACTTTAGTGTTCTGTTATAACACACTTGTGAGTTAAAAAACCTTAACCTTATCCCGAGCATTGTACATTCAAATCTGGAATTGGCTCTTTTTTAGGTCACTTTGTTGAATTCGAGGTACGTTTTATTTCAAAAATAGGCTAATGTAAATTAAACAACATATTAATATACTAATAAAATACATAATATAGATTTAAGGAAATAGTTAGATGGCATTTGAAAAGTCGCAAAATAGTACAGGTAGTGATATCAAAATGTTTTCATATGTAACCCAGTCCATGTCAAGCAAATTGTCAATTTTATCTCCCTCTGATTTATATTTATAACCACATAGTTGACTTGTTGTCCTATTTACCTATGGGAGAAGTTCCGGGTGCCGTTGGGGACGTTCCTGGTACTGGAGATAGAAATGATTGTATCTTTGATATTTCAGAAAAAATGAATCGTTTTACAATACTTGAAAAGCTCAAGTTAAACTGTTTGTCTGAAGATAGATCGAGGGAGTTGAAAAAATTGACAATATCATCCAATACTGCTGTGTGCAAATAGACTACACCTTCGAAATTAATAATTGTCCTTGTATATATGACTTTAGTGTTCTGTTATAACACACTTGTGAGTTACAAAAACCTGATCCCGAGCATTGTACATTCAAATCTGGAATTGGCGCTTCTTTAGGTCACATTATTGCATTCGAGGTACTTTTTTTTTCAAAAATAGGCTAATGTAAATTAAACATTTAAGGAATAGTTAGATGGCATTTGAAAAGTCACAGAATAGTACAGGTAGTGATATCAAAATGTTTGCATATGTAACCCAGTGCATGAAGGTGTGTGGTGCTTCAAATGCCCATGACTTGGACAAGCCATTGGAAAGATATAAAATAATCTTGGTCAGGAATATTACCTGCAGGCGATAGGCCGGTTGGTGGAGCAGTTGGCCGTGCAGTAGGGGATGTTCCAGGTGGTTGAACAGTAGGTGATGTTGCTGGTGGTGGCGCAGTAGGTGATGTTCCAGGTGGTGGGACAGAGGGTGATGTGCCAGGTGGTGGAGCAGATGGGGATGTTCCAGGTGGTGGAGCAGACGGGGATGTTCCAGGTGTTGGCGCAGTAGGTGACGTTCCAGGTGGTGGAGCAGTAGGTGATGTTGCAGGTGGCGCTGTTGTTGGGGATGTCCCTGGTGGTGGAGCAGTAGGCGATGTTCCAGGTGGCGCTGCTGTAGGTGATGTTCCAGGTGCTGTGGGTGAAAACGTTAACTATGTGTTGAAAAGATAATTATTGATCCATTCGTCAGTATCGATTTCGTTGATATATTATTCAGAAGCGTTTCGTGCCATGAGCATGACTTTTGCCACTTTTAAAAGTAAAATGAAGTGACAGTTTTGACAAGGGATTTTGAAGCTGAATAAATTGGAAATAAGATAACCCAAAGCCACCGACCAAATCACCAGTTTGCCTTGAATGCCTTGACTTTGTAGCCTCTACTTCTATACTGTATCACGTCTCTGCATATATATATTTAATAGGAAGAAAATGGCTAATAGCGCTAATACACTGTGCATGGCAGTAATCTAAAATCGTTACGTAAAAGTTACCAGCTCATTGCTTTAAATAGTTGGACTTGTTTACATATTTAATATGGATTTATCCAACTGGCAACCAGGAAGGAGTAGCAAGTACCAACCTGTGGGTGATGATGGCACTGGTGGTAGCGTTCCTTGTGTTGCAGTTGGTGATTCAGCTTCTACTGGCAATGTAGGTGAAGTTACTACTGGTGGTCCTTAATTATTTATTAAGACATATATCGTAAATTATCTAATTTTTAGTCGACAGAATTAAATAAACTTGATAATATAACATACACAAAATATGTAAGCTATGTGAACTAAGAATTAGTAAGTGTTTTAGAAAAAGTAAGCATACCCTGCCATGAGCACACTTTCAACAGTAAAATGTAGTGACAATTTGGACATGGATTTCCGAATCTAAAGATAATGGAAAGGTATAACCCAAGGCCATTAGCCGAATCACCAGATTAGTGGTTTAAGTTTTCTATAAGTAAAAAATTCGAAGTGGTCGGTGTTTTCTAAAGTAAATCAGAAAATGGCGCCATGTGCTCGGCAGGTAATGGCTACAGACAGATTTATCATACCAGTAGTTGAAATACAGAAACTTCCCATTATGTATTTGACAATTCGGAATAGGAGAAATGGTGACCTTTACTTGTTACATCTGGTACAGATGATGAACAAAATCACTGATAATACAGAACATATTATTTAGAATGTATTTATACCCTACCTGTTGGCGATGTTCCTGGTGTACCAGTTGTCACTGTAAAAAAGAAGTCATTGTAAAGTGTATTGTTGTATTTTGTACGATAAAGAGAGAGAGAGAGATAGATTAATGCTTTATACAGGTCGGATTTATAGCACAGATGAGAAAGGTTGATACTCCTTTACAAATTTGGTGGTCCACTTAAAGTTCAGAATATAGAAGATACTCACCTACGAAGCAAGCGTGTACACTAACATCAATATTAATTGGTTCGGTAATGTTTGTGGGTGTTATCTCTACCAAAATATCTGTGACAACTACTTCCGGTGGGAATGTAAGAATACCGTCTGAAGGATCATCCTGTTAGCATATATAAATAAACACAAGATATTCAACATATCTAACATGGCTATCCCTAAAAATAAATATTTCGTGGTATCGTCCAAACATAAACACCAAAGGAATTATAAAGAATAAAATACATTTGAAATTGTAACATCTGAATTTGGACTTAAGCAGCGTCATTTCTTAATTGTTAAAGATCCGAATACTTACATCAGTAGATTCAAGTAGGGTCCATGGTGCTGAAGGTCCCGTGCGTCCAAATACTCTAAATGTCTTGACATTTTCCCTGACTGGAAGATTTACTTCTGACAGATCAACGGGTTCACCCCCAGTAACTTTCAATGTGACGTTGGTAGGCGTGTCCGATGGGTTAATTGTAAATGGATCATCGCCTGGTCTCAGATCTGCTGGGTTATCTGTCGATGGGAAGGCAGGTTCTTGTTCAAGGTAAGTATCAGGTATAACTGTTGGGCTTCCCATTCCTTCTGTTACAACACATCGTGCTGGAAAAAAAGACAATTGATTGTTGATTGCTAATAATTAAAGACATTATAGGATAGAATGATAAAATATAATATATGTTTATGATATTTCAAGTCCAATGTTTAATTGTTGAACGACGTTTATATTGTTATGATTTATACATGACTGTATACATTAACTTACGTGTAGTTGATCCCACTGTAAATAATAATAAATAAATATTTTAATAGAATATCAGAATCGTTTCTGAAAGCTTGAGTAATTTAAACAACGCTACTTTAACTGACTGGTTAATCTCTATCAAACCCTGGTACTATAGCTTGTTTATACAAGAGCAAGAAAAGTATTAAACCTTCCAAATTATATAGCAAGATTGGTAAAATTGAACATATCTGCATATGTTTTTATAGTACAAGCCAGAAATTAAGAAGACATATCTTAATATAAACTAATGTCGGATACAGAAAAGAAAAAAGTTGAATATATATAATTACAGGTTGGTGATGTCCCAATTGCCACTGTAGGTGATGTTCCAATTGTCACTGTAGGTGATGTACCGAGTCCGGCTGTTTCTAAAATAATTAATAAACAGGATGTTAGTTACAGTAGGTGATTGTTTCTAAAATGATCAAAACATAACATGTCAAGTAATAACTTGGATGCATCACGGGTCTTTAGCACTTGCAGGAAATCGAGGAACCCATGTGGTTAGTTGGTTTCATATTGCCCGTCCATTGGTTTAATATTTATATCAGTTCAAAATGATTGAGTATTACAGTTCTCATTTGAACGACAGGAGTGCACCATACGACCCTACATTGTCCCAATCAGTCGACTATTTAATATTATATACCTTCAAAGCACGCTCTGACATCAATCTTAAAAGAAGTAGGCTGGCCTGAAGAGGTTGGTGTTACTTCGATTCTGATTTTTTCGGCTACTGTTCCAGCAGGGAATGAAGCTTTAGGGCTAGGTAACGATAAATCAGCCTTAAAAACAATGCAAATCACAGGTTAAAATACACATCAATTAGGAATCTCGAAAAGAAACATGTTGAGAAAGACAATGCTATAGACAAATTAAAATTAATTGGGCAGTGATGTAGGTGATATTTGGTTGTGGCTTGGATAAACATTGTGGGGGGGGGGGGGGTAGCCTCTTATATTTAATCAAAAGTCTCGCCACTGTCTATTGTTATGTATTCAGATGTCGGAGTCGTTCCGATACTGAGTACAGGAATAAACGGAATAAACATACAGCTGACATTGTCAGTCTTTGTCTGTAGCAATAATTGCTACACCAAGCCAGAACGATGTGTACATAAACACACATAATATCAAGACGAAACAAAATGTACTTACTGGGTTCAAGTATGCAGCTTCTGTTTCTGAACCGCCAGTTGGAGTTACAAATACTCTAATAGATTGAACATTATCGGGCGATACAAGCTGCACTGATTTAAGTTCTACCTCTTCATTTGTGACTGGTGTCAAATCAATTGTTACATCTGGTGTACTTCCAGCAGGGAAGGTGGCTGGGTCTGTACTTGCTGGTCTCAGGTTTTCTACATCAGTTGCTGCTGGCACAGTTGTAATACTTGAAGCAGGGATAATAGCAGGATTATCCATTCCATTTACTTCAGTACAGACAACTGTAATTCGAGGAAAAGGCATGCTCATAAAAAAAAGGAACTTGGAATGACTAGTTTTCTATTAGTTGATATTGAATTCCATGTAGTCAAATTTACAGAATATGAAGTTAATAATGTAAACTATAGCTAATACACAATATTTAGAATTAAATTCACGGAAAATGCACGATCACGAAAACAGGAACTTGGAGTAACTAGTTTTCTATTAGCGATAAACCCTTTTAAATATCATCACACTTAATTATTCAGATATCACTTTTCAGCCTTATCATATCTACAAGAGGCCTCAAGTAGTTTGCTGGAAAAGTTCCGGGCGCGGATGGCGAAGTTCTTGGTGCTGGATATATAATTGATTTGTTTTTCAGACTTGGACTGCTGAAGGAGTGTAACTGTCAAGCACTTTAGCAATATTATCCATTGCTTCTTTGTGTAAATAGACTACACCAAGAAAAAACAATAACCTCCAATTCTGCTTTATGTAAATAGACTACACCAAGAAAAAAATAATTGTACATGCAGAGGTACTTGAGATTCAACCCCATTAAGAATAGTATTGGGTAAAATAATGATTGATATCAGTGGATAATATGCTTGTCATCCACGGAAAAAAAGCGTATTTCATATTTCGTATGTAGGTGGGTGGTGCTTCCAAAGCCATGGGCATGGTCAGTTCAATGGAAAAATGGCAAAAAAGATCTAGTCATGAATATTACCTGTAGGCGATGTGCCGGGTGGTGGGACAGATGGAGAAGTACCTGGTGGCGTTGCAGTAGGCGATGTTCCTGGTGGTGCTGCAGTAGGTGAAGTTCCTGGAGGAGGGACAGTAGGTGATGTTCCAGGCGGAGGAGCAGTAGGCGATGTTCCGGGTGGTAGAGCAGTAGGTGATGTACCAGGTGGCGCTGCTGTTGGCGATGTTCCTGGTGGTGGAGCAGTTGGGGATGTTCCAGGTGGTGGAGCAGTAGGGGACGTTCCGGGTGGTGGAGCAGTAGGTGATGTTGCAGTTGGCGCTGTAGTTGGGGATGTTCCAGGTGCTATGGGTGAAAACGTTAGCTATGTATTAGAAAGATAATTATTTATCAGTTTGTAATTCTTTGTTTCATTGATATATTATTTCTAAAAGTACAATTGCACCAATATCTTAGGAGGTTTATGATGAAATCACTCGGTAGTGTTTGGTGCCATTGCTTATACAAATACGAAATGTATTATACTATTGCATCAGACAAGAGAACACATCTTCATAGCCAGATACCACGTTCTGCATTTTCTATCAATTATCAAGGCCCATTTAACTCATTAATATGAAAGAAATGTTCCAGGTGTATTGCTAATGTGATATGCGAGTCGATGTTCCGGATGGCACTGCAGTCGGTGATGTTTTATGTGGTGCTGCAGTTGGGGATGTTTCATATACTTTGGGTGAAAGCGTATGTTACATACCTTTACATACGGAAGCTTATTTCCAATAGATATATTTTAAGCAAACAATACCATAGGGATTAAGACCATTCTGACATAACAATATAATGTTTACAATTCTATTCATTATTTAGATTGCATTTGTCAACTTACTGATAACTTTGATATATGCCGTACTCTTTGGTAAAATCTTATCAGATTATGCATTAAAACATAAATAGGACCAACCTGTGGGAGATGTTCCTGCTGTGGCAGTCTCTTCAAAACATGCTCTTACATCCAAATTAAATTTAACAGCAGCTGTAGAGTTTGTTGGCACAATAGTAACTCGTATCTTTTGAGCTTTGGTTTCTGGAGGGAAATCAGCTTTTGGTATCGGGTCCTGGAGACCAGCCTATGGTTATACAAATAGACCATTTTTAAATTGTCAATTGAAACCGTGGCAAAATAGATAATATTGAGCAAAACGGGTAAAAATTCCTTAAAGATACATTATGGGAGATTTTAATAGAGAGTTGGTCATTCTTGCTATAATAGTTCAAAAATAGATGATGAAAGAAGAATATATTGAAAATTTCAGTCAAATTACTTTATTCTGAACAAAGTTATCACCATTGTAATTTTTGACTAGAAATAGGAGTCAACTCCCTCTTCACCGTCTCCGAGAATGACCGATCGTTTGATTGACAGGCGTATAATCTCGATTATCAAGTAACGTTTTCAATGGCTGTGGTTGCAATTCAATTCGTATCACATTTATTTTTACTACAAATTAAAAATAAGACTTTTAATATATAGACAAGAAGCGAAAGTTTGAAAGGAATGGACCAAATCAATGAGGCATAATTATAGCCGACTTCTTGTACTGTAACTGGTAGGGCTACGTAACTCTCGAAGCAGACAAATACTAATAGGAAACAGTGATCCAATGAGGCTGCAATTCAACTGGGGTGATGTTAGCTGCGGTGTTTATCAATTTCCATATTTTTCCTCTAAACGCAAGTGACAAAAGAGCATATAATACCGACATCCAAACTCTCATTTTAACCACAACTAAACATAATCTCAAGGCCGTATATATCGAACTTTCAATCAAATTGACTGACATGCGGCCTCGCTCAACAGCGGCCTCGCTTCGTATACTCTATCATTTAGCCTCGATCTAAAATTTGAGGGAGTATGACGTCAACGTAACGGTTAATCTCTGCTTACGACACCATTTAAAAATTTAATCAATCAATGAAATCCTGTTTAATTCCACCCGAATCCAAGCCATCCGTGCGTCTACAGAGTTGATTTTGTGCTTGTTGTGTAAATAAAGATCTAATTCATAATTTCTATGACATCTGAAGCCTAAAAAATGACTTGCAATAATCAGATTTAGCTCTTGCATAATGTATGTTTAAAAGATAAATGGCATGACTTTATGAAAAAATAATTAAATTTGACAGGAACTGAAGCGTTCGTTGGCACCATAGTAACTCGTATCGTTTGAACTTTGGTTACTCGAGGGAAATCCGCTTTTAGTGGCGCGTCCTATGATTTATACAAATAGGGCATTTTAAATTGCCAATTGAAACCATGGCAGTGCTAATATTGAGCAAAACGGATCAAAATTCTTTAAAGGTCTCCTATTTTTGAATTGTCTACACGTTTTGCTCGAGTTTCTCAAGACATACAATAAAAATGACGTGGATTTATGGAAGAATAATAATACAATTATACAATAAAAATGACGTACATGTATATGTATAATACTGTATTTATTTTGAAATGATCTATTTGGATTTAAATTTAGTCATAAAATATCTATATCTTTTCATGGGATCTGAATGTGGCATCTTTGAACGTGCATATTTTGATTTGTAACTTGTTAGTTCAACCGATGTACAGTTCGACCCCATCACTAAATTTTATGATATATAAGCTACTTTGCAGATTATACACTCATTGATAAAAAACATTCTTCTTTCCCACTGTCAGAAATAAATGATATACACTCAATGAAATATCTTTATGCACAGTAAGTATCCATATACATATATTCAAAAACTAATATTCGTGGCCAAATAACGTAATGTAAAGCACGTAACTGTTTTACCAAATTTACTTCGAATATAGTATTTAAGACATTAGACTTACTTGATCTGTTACAGGAGTTTCATTGCCCTGTGAATCAATCAGCACTATTTCTATGGATTCGAAATTCTCAGCATTCGGGAATGTGATGGATCCCAGATCGACATCCTCATCGGTATTAGGTGAAAGATCTATGGTAAATAGTATAGGATTGCTGCCGTTGGGTATGATAGATAATGGGACATCGCTTGTCCTTAGATTATCCACTTGGTCAGGTGTCAAACCCTCAACACTTGAACTTGGTATAAATGCTGGTTTCTCCATTCCATTTATCTCCTCGCATCTCTCTGAAAAAATTGTGAAAGAATACATGTTAACTCCAATGAAATATGGATTCAATTTTCACAGACTTCATGCATGTTTGAGATTTTCCTGTGGCGGTAAAAGAAACTGAGAAACTTGTTATGGTTATTTCACGCATATCAAATACAGACAGACTCTTTTATCATCTACGCTTAGTCTGAGAAGAAAATGTTCATAGTCGAACCGAGTCATGGTTTTGAAGTAGACTACCTGGGAGTGAAACTTTACACTAAGTTTCATCACTTTCACTCAGTTAGAATCAAAGTAATCTTGCCCCAAAGCATCGACCAATGAAACTGCTTAGCTCTGTCTGCTTAGCTTTAGCGGTAAATATTAATCATTGAACGCAGTCAAGACATTCGCCTAATCAACATCTACGCAGAAAATTTCACCATTCAAGTTAGTCAAGGGATTCATCTATTTCAACCAATTAGAACCAAAGTTATCGTGTTCAAATGCATCAACCAATCAAATCTCTACTTAGCCCAACGCAGAACATGCTCCTCTTCGAACTTCATTAAGGCATTCAACTAATAAACACCAAGTGTTATGGACAGATGGACGGACGAACCTATTTTGGTTGTCCCCTGCTTTCGTCAACCAATTAGAACCAAAGTTATAAATATTGTATTACTATTACCTGTGGGCGAAGTTCCGGGTGCAGTGGGCGAAGTTCCAGGAGCTAGAAATAGAAATGATTTCATCTTTATCTGATTTATTTTCATAATAGAATCAACGCAGGTGTTAAATCCTGGCCTTAAATACTTCAGAAAAGAATTGTTTTCATTACTGAGGTGTCGACAAAGCTTAGCGGTGATATCTGTTTGTAAGTAGATTACATCACTAAATAAAAAATTGCAAAGTAAGACTTGTTGTTCTGCATTTAACTTTGGGGAAAGAAGCTGGCGAAGTTTCAGGAGCTAGAAATAGAAATGATTTCATCTTTATCTGATTTATTTTCATAATAGAATCAACGAAGGTGTTAAATCTTGGCCTTAAATACTTTAGACAAGAATTTCAAGTGTTGTTCTGAAGGCGGATTTGGCGTGTCGACAAAGGTTCGCTGTCAGGTAAACTGGTAATATCTTTTTGTAATGAGATTACACCACTAATCTAATAAAAAAACTTTAAAGCAAATCTTGTTGTTCTGCATTTAACTTTGAGGAAATTACCGGTCGCCGTTGTTTAGCTTAGATATTTTAGAAACGAATAGATTGTGTGTCAGTACTTTAACTAGTCAACGTAAAGTGTGAAAACGGACATGGACATTCGAAAATCTGTAGCTGTTAAGCAAATTGACAATATCACACAACACTGCTTTGTGTAAATAAACTACACCACGAAATAAATAATTATAATTGTATAGAAGACTTGAATGGTCTGCTATAACATCCTTATGAATTAATTACATAACATGTTCCGGGTGACTGTAGATTTGGATATGCAATTGGTGCTTTTATAGGGCATAAAATAGAGTAGGTAGTAATATGAAAATGTTTGGGTTTGGGATGGTGATGGAACCCCATTGAGAATAGTATGCGGTAAAATAATGATTGATTTCAGTGGATAATATGCTAGTCATCCATAGAAAAATAGAAAGCCTATTTCATATTTCATATGTAGGTGGGTGGTGCTTCAAAAACGATGGGCTTGGTCAATTCAATTGACAAATGGTAAAACAAATCTAGTCATGAATATTACCTGTAGGCGATGTGCCAGGTGGTAGGACAGAGGGAGAAGTACCTGGTGGCGGTGCAGTGGGCGATGTTCCTGGTGGTGCTGCAGTAGGTGAAGTTCCTGGAGGTGGGGCAGTAGGTGATGTTCCAGACGGTGGAGCAGTAGGCGATGTTCCAGGAGGTGGGGCAGTAGGTGATGTTCCAGGCGGTGGAGCAGTGGGCGATGTTCCAGGTGGTGGGGCAGTGGGTGTTGTGCCAGATGGTGGAACTGTTTGGGATGTTCCAGGCGGTGGACCAGTTGGGGATGTTCCAGCTGGTGGAGCAGTAGGTGATGTTCCAGGAGGTGGGGCAGTGGGTGATGTTCCAGGTGGCACTGTTGTTGGGGATGTTCCTGGTAGTGGAACAGTTGGAGAAGTCCCTGGTGGTGGAGCAGTGGGTGAGGTTCCAGGTAGCGCTGCTGTAGGTGATGTTCCAGTTGGCGCTACAGTTGGGGATGCTCCAAGTGCTGTGGGCGAAAACGTTAGCTATGTGTTAAAAATACAATTATTGATCCATTTGTACGTATTGATTTTATTGAAATTTCAAGCTTCATCATAACTATAAGAGACCCTGTAGTAGTTTGTGGGAGATATCCCGGGCGCCGATGGCGAAGTTCATGGTCCTGGATATATTAATGATTTGTTTTTCAAGGCTGAATTTAAAGTGCTTGTCTGAAAATATAAGCAGGGCTTCGAAGAACTGTAACTGTCTATTACCTGTGGGAGAAGTTCCAGGCGCAGTCGGTGAAGTTCCGGGTACAGTTGGAGAAGTTCCTGGTGCTGTTGGCGAAGTTCCTTGTGCTGGAGACAAATGATTTTATATTAGGTATTTCAGAAAAGAATGAATTGTTTGTCAATAATTTAACAGCTTATATTCAAGTACTTTCCTGAAAACGTGTAACTATAAAGCAAATTGACAATATTATCCGCCACTGCTTTATAATTATAATTATAATCGCATAGTTGACTTGTTGTCCTATTTACCTATGGTCTCGGGTGCCGTCGGGGAAGTTCCTTGTGCTGGCGATAGAACTGATTTTATCTTTGATATTTCAGAAAAGAATGAATTGTTTGTCAATATGTGAAAAGCGCAAGTTAAACTGATCCGAGTGAATCGAAAATATTGACAATATCATCCAATACTGCTGTGTGCAAATAGACTACACCTTCGAAATTAATAATTGTAATTGTATAGATGACTTTAGTGTTCTGTTATAACACACTTGGGAGTTACAAAACCTAACCCTGGGCATTTAACTTCAAATCTGGAATTGGCGATTTTTTAGGTCACTTTATTGCATTCGAGGTACGTTTTGTTTTCAAAAATAGGCTAATGTAAACTAAACAACATATGCTTATACTAATAAAATACATAATACACATTTAAGGAAATAGTAAGATGGCATTTGAAAAGTCACAAAATAGTACAGGTAGTTATCAAAATGTTTGCATATGTAACCCAGTCCATGTCAAGCAAATTGTCAAATAGTTGACTTTTTGTTCTTTTATTACCTGTGGGAGAAGTCCCAGGCGCAGTCGGTGAAGTTCCGGGTACAGTTGGAGAAGTTCCGGGTGCTGTTGGTGAAGTTCCTGGTGCTGGAGATAGAAATGATTTTATCTTAGATATTTCAAAAACGAATGGATTGTGTGTCAGTACTTTAATTAGTCAAAGTAAAATATTTGTCTGAAACCTGACATTCAGCTTCGAAATCCTGTAGCTCTTAAGCAAATTGACAAATGGTAAAACAAATCTAGTCATGAATATTACCTGTAGGCGATGTGCCAGGCGGTGGGACAGAGGGAGAAGTACCTGGTGGCGGTGCAGTGGGCGATGTTCCTGGTGGTGCTGCAGTAGGTGAAGTTCCTGGAGGTAGGGCAGTAGGTGATGTTCCAGACGGTGGAGCAGTAGGCGATGTTCCAGGAGGTGGGGCAGTAGGTGATGTGCCAGGCGGTGGGGCAGTAGGTGATGTGCCAGGCGGTGGGGCAGTGGGTGTTGTGCCAGATGGTGGAGCAGTAGGGGAAGTTCCGGGTGGTGGAGCAGTAGGTGATGTTCCAGGCGGTGGGGCAGTGGGCGATGTCCCAGGTGGCGCTGCTGTTGGGGATGTTCCTGGTGGTGGAACAGTTGGAGAAGTCCCTGGTGTAGGAGCAGTGGGTGAGGTTCCAGGTAGCGCTGCTGTAGGTGATGTTCCAGTTGGTGCTACAGTTGGGGATGCTCCAAGTGCTGTGGGCGAAAACGTTAGCTATGTGTTAAAAATACAATTATTGATCCATTTGTACGTATTGATTTTATTGAAATTTCCAGCTTCATCATAACTATAAGAGACCCTGTAGTAGTTTGTGGGAGAAGTCCCGGGCGCCGATGGCGAAGTTCATAGTGCTGGATATATTAATGATTTGTTTTTCAAGGCTGAATTTAAAGTGCTTGTCTGAAAATATAAGCAGGGCCTCGAAGAACTGTAACTGTCTATTACCTGTGGGAGAAGTTCCAGGCGCAGTCGGTGAAGTTCCGGGTACAGTTGGAGAAGTTCCGGGTGCTGTTGGCGACGTTCCTGGTGCTGGAGACAAATGATTTTATATTAGGTATTTCAGAAAAGAATGAATTGTTTGTCAATAATTTAACAGCTTATATTCAAGTACTTTCCTGAAAACGTGTAACTATAAAGCAAATTGACAATATTATCCGCCACTGCTTTATAATTATAATTATAATCGCATAGTTGACTTGTTGTCCTATTTACCTATGGTCTCGGGTGCCGTTGGGGAAGTTCCTTGTGCTGGTGATAGAACTGATTTTATCTTTGATATTTCAGAAAAGAATGAATTGTTTGTCAATATGTGAAAAGTGCAAGTTAAACTGATCCGAGTGAATCGAAAAAATTGACAATATCATCCAATACTGCTGTGTGCAAATAGACTACACCTTCGAAATTAATAATTGTAATTGTATAGATGACTTTAGTGTTCTGTTATAACACACTTGGGAGTTACAAAACCTAACCCTGGGCATTTAACTTCAAATCTGGAATTGGCGCTTTTTTTAGGTCACTTTATTGCATTCGAGGTACGTTTTGTTTTCAAAAATAGGCTAATGTAAACTAAACAACATATGCTTATACTAAAAAAATACATAATACACATTTAAGGAAATAGTAAGATGGCATTTGAAAAGTCAGAAAATAGTACAGGTAGTTATCAAAATGTTTCCATATGTAACCCAGTCCATGTCAAGCAAATTGTCAAATACTTGACTTTTTGTTCTTCTATTACCTGTGGGAGAAGTTCCAGGCGCAGTCGGTGAAGTTCCGAGTACAGTTGGAGAAGTTCCGGGTGCTGTTGGTGAAGTTCCTGGTGCTGGAGATAGAAATGATTGTATATTAGATATTTTAGAAACGAATGGATTGTGTGTCAGTACTTTAACTAGTCAACGTAAAGTGTTTGTCTGAAACCTGACATTCAGCTTCGAAATCCTGTAGCTCGTAAGCAAATTGACAAATAATAAAACAAATCTAGTCATGAATATTACCTGTAGGCGATGTGCCAGGCGGTGGGATAGAGGGAGAAGTACCTGGTGGCGGTGCAGTGGGCGATGTTCCTGGTGGTGCTGCAGTAGGTGAAGTTCCTGGAGGTGGGGCAGTAGGTGATGTTCCAGACGGTGGAGCAGTGGGCGATGTTCCAGGAGGTGGGGCAGTGGGTGATGTGCCAGGCGGTGGAGCAGTAGGCGATGTTCCAGGTGGTGGGGCAGTTGGTGTTGTGCCAGATGGTGGAGCAGTAGGGGAAGTTCCGGCTGGTGGAGCAGTAGGTGATGTTCCAGGCGGTGGGGCAGTTGGCGATGTCCCAGGTGGCGCTGCTGTTGGGGATGTTCCTGGTGGTGGAACAGTTGGAGAAGTCCCTGGTGGTAGAGCAGTGGGCGAGGTTCCAGGTAGCGCTGCTGTAGGTGATGTTCCAGTTGGCGCTACAGTTGGGGATGC